TGGATGTACTGACCCCTTTAAATTATAAAGTACCATTCTTTATCCTTGGTAATAAACTTTGCTTTAAAATGTACTCTGATATTAATACAGCCACTCCAGCTTTATTTTGACTAGTTTTAGGATGGTATATCTTTTTTCATTTTTCTTCTGTAGGGTAAATTAGGATTGATTGCCTTTGGAAAGCAAAAATACAGACAGAAATAGAAGCAAAAGGTAAACTCATACTTCATCGCTTGGAAAAAGTACTGCGGGTTACCATAAGGCCTTTAATTAAAGTGTTGGTTTATTTTTGCTCCTTTCCATCTTAAGATATACTAACTTTAGTGCCTTGTAGAATATAAGACCTATAAAAATGTTCAGAAATGAACAGTTACATGTGTAAGCTGAGGATAGTATATTCATTTCCTTCATGATCCTGTTCTAAAGGTTTGCAAAATTAATTGTAAGAAAACCATGGCATTCGGGACATTACAGACCTCCAGACACACTCTGACTCAGTGACATTCTCCCATGATTAATGGAGAGAAAGAGAAGGAAAATCAATAAAGCAGTACTATAAATTAAAAAATATGTTAAGTAAGCATTCTCTTCCCCTTAACCAACTATATAAAAAGATAAGCAGAAACCTGGGTGAGACATGGGTAATGACTGGAAAAAGTATCTTGGATGAGTCGAATACATCAACCCTTTGATAGCTTTCTAAAATAAATATTTATGTGATGATTTTAAATAGCATTTTTATTGAGATAGATTTCTTATAACATAAAATTCACCATTTTAAATTGTGTAGTTTAATGGTTTTCAGTATATTCACCATGTTGTACAACCATCACCACTATCTAATCCAGAACATTTCCACTCCCTCAGAAAGAAACTCGGCACTGCCCTGGGCAGTTTAGCTAAGTGGTTAGAGCATCAGCCTGCAGACCAGAGAGTCTTGGGTTCGATTCTGGTCAAGGGTGCAGCTTCAGTTGTGGTTTGTCCCTGGCCCTGGTCCAGGTCGTGTGGGTGACAACCAGTCGATGAGTCTCTCTCTCACATGGATGTTTCTCTGTCTCTGTCTCCCTCTCTCTCTCCTTCCCTCCCTTCCACTCTATCTGAAGATAAATGGAAAAATATCCTCGGGTGACGATTTAAAAAACAACAACTCTGTACCTATTAGCAATTAGTCCCAATTTCCCTTTCTCCCCACCCCCAGCAACCACTAATCTACTTTCTGGTTTTATAGATTTGCCCATTCTGGCCACATGCGATATGTAGCCTTTTGTATCCACCTTCCTTCACTTCCAAAGTTGTTACATGTATGATGAATTGTATCATACTCTTCATTCAGATATTTCACTTGACAACAATAAAACCACTTGCCCCTAGTGGTGATAGATATGTAACAATATCTATAATAATAATCATAAGAGTAATAATAATAATAATTAGCAGACCCTAGTTCTAGTGGTAATTTCTTCCCACTTTAACCTTCAAGGACTTTGGTCTCCTCTGTTGTACAATATGGATATCAGGTGAGATGATTCAAGTTCTCTCTTTCTTCTTCCTGAAGACATGGAGAGACATATTCCTGTCCTTTTTGGGGGGGAGGGAGGATTGTTGCAAAAACAACTAGCTTCGGTTCCCGCTAAGGGCACGTACCTCGGTTGCAGTTTGTCCCCGGCCCTGGTCGGTTGTGCGGGTGGCAGCCACTGGATGTGTCCCTTTCACATCGATGTTTCTCTCTCTCTCTCTGTTCCTCTCTCTCCCTCCCACTCTACCTGAACAAAAAATGGAAAAATGTCCTCGGGTGAGGATAAAAAAAAAAAAAAAAGAAAAGAAAACTTTAATTCCTAACTTGATCTGGAGATAGAAAATTTCAGATAGCTGCTGTCAGTAACACTCTGAGCTGACGGTGAACTCAGGAAGTTGACACCAGTGTCATAATCAGGAGAGAAATATAACAATAAGCAGGCTGAGCCGTTTCTATCAGTGTGTTTCCCTCCACTTCTGAACAGGGATAATGTGGTCAGTAATTTCCTCTGTGACATCCTCCCTGATAAAAGGTTCCACACTTTAAAAAAAAGAAAAAAGCTATTAGGATTTGCACAGGAGCTCTGCAGGGTTGGCTCTCCGTGTTCGGTGTCTGTTGAATGAATAGTGGACGTATGGAGGGATGGCCGGGGGAATGGATGGAAGCCGTGTCACTAAAGACAGATCTCAAAGGAAGAATAAAAAAGACATGCTGAGTTTTGTTCATCCCTTCTTACAGTGGAGAGAATAAATATAAAATGTTAATAATTAAAGGAACAGTGGTTCATAAATGTTTATTTTATTAATTTGATACAACACTAGATACAGTACATTTAATATGCTGCTTGGTAGCAGAAAGTAATCAGCACCAGTTTATGTTAAATTATACAGAACTGTACTGTTAATGAAAACATGTACATATTCTTTTTGGCTGTATTAAAAAATGAACAAAAGAAGAAATGTAAATAAATGTCACCTGGTCCATGTTTACCACTCCTTGGAAGGAGATAAAATAATGATTGTGCATTTTACAGGTTTATGTTTAGCAAATATATGCTGTATACATGTATGTTTTTGTTAAAGAACAAATATCACAAGATTCTGAAAAGCTGCACACTGCTGTGCTGGGTTTATACTCTTAGATAAACTGGGTCTTTTCCTGAGTCACTATTCAAGTGTGGGGAGAAGCGCCGGGTGGCTTCAGGTCTTTCTGGTCCTTTTCTTCTTAGCTACCATCTGTCCCCACTTCCTCTTACTCAACCTTCTCTCCTCTCTTCCCTTTCCTTTACTATAATCTCCCATTCCTATTCCCGTTCTACCATTACTCCATTTCCTTCCTTCCTGCTCCAACCAGAACCTGAATGGTGACAGTGACCAATCAAGGTGGAGAGAACCAGGACCATCATTTACTTCTCCCAGCCCTCAATGAAGCCCACTCTTGAGAAAGAAATAAAGGCCGTGATGAATCTTGCCCAGCACCCACACTTGCCTGAATTTTTATTTGTATCTTCTTTCAATTACTTGGATATTACAACTTAATTAATGCCTTCATGATCAGGAATATTTTTAAACATCTTTGCAGTATTTCTACTTGCGATTAAAATTCAAAACAGTCTCTCTTTGTGCTCACATTGTAATTACACTTAAATATTACTGTCACTGCAGTTATATTCATTGTATAATAAAATCTACCACGCCAAACAGGTTCTACATAGTTGCCATGGTCCTGGATTTTCCATTTTAAATAGTTAATATAGTTCTCAAGTTTCAGTAGGAAGGTGTGGCCCTTGAATTCCTCGTTCCTTGAATGTTTACTTTCTCTGCTAGGATGTAACCCGTAGGTAAACAACTCTTCGTTTCTTTATCGGGCATCACACCTATCACACCTTTCCACACTGCAGAAGCCAGAGGGTCAGAGGGGATGGGAGCTGGTTGAAGGATGGGTCTGCATGTCCTGGTTAAGCACCAGAGACTGCTTGTGTCATACAGGAGACGGCGTAATGCCAGGGAAGGAGCCTCCTGACTCCATGGTGAAGTTTAACTTTATGAAGAGGTAGAATGTCTAAATCTTATCCCAGCCTCTCTTTGTAAATATTTCTGTTAACCAAAATCTTGATAAATTAGGGTAAATAAAGCAAACTTGTCCTGTTTTAGGTCTAGAAACTTAACTGAATTTCTTCAGTGTTTTGTAAGTGTCACTCAAGGTTCATCACAATGAAACCTGCACTGAAGCTCTGGTCTCCATGGCAACCTCCTTTGGAATCTGAAGTTACACTGGTTACATTTGGTACAACCATATCTTTTAGTGATTGTGAAAAGAGGAAAACTGAGTAAATGTTTCCGAAATAAATGTCTAACTTCCTGTAATTAAAGCTTGATTTCAGGAGGGAGTCCGTATACGTCTGCAACATGCTTCCCTGCGACAGAAACGTTTCCCTCAGCTGACATTATAAATTAATAAGGTACCTTTACAGTAGAGAATAGAGTTGACATGGCATTTCTACAAATATTAAAGGTTGAAGGGCTCAAATTTGCACCAAAATCCTGCCTGAGAATATAGGCTTTCAGGGGCTTTGTGTTCAGTATTATTTTTCTCTGTTCATCAGCATAGGTCATTGGACTCTTCTGAGGATGCAGTATTTTTCTTCCACACATTAACCATTATTTATATATACTATTTATTCAAAATGTCCTTGAGAAATCCCAGTCAGTTCTATAAACACGAATGAATAGTGAGGCTTATGTTACTTCAAATTTCTCATGACTCTGTAAAGCCGGGGAAAGCCAGTCATTAGCTTTGGAATGGCACAATGCCAGCACCCTTCTTGCGAAAGGGGATCTGGCTCGTGCGGTGATGGGTAGGCTCTGGAGCACAGGCAGCCTCTGAATTCTCACCGGAGCCAGAACTTTGCAGAGGAGCTCCATCGGCAAGATTCTTCCACCTAAAGCCTGCCTTTTTCACCACAGAGAATTCTGCTTCTGACCCATCGCCTCTTAGCTCAGGTTTCACATTTGAAATGGCTCCAAAGGGACAAGGCAACCCTGTGCCATTCAACCTTGACTTAATGAACTAGGGTTAGCTTCACTCAGACCAAAGTGGCAGAAGGACTTGCAGTATTGAGTGAAATTGTTTGAAGTACTGTGAATAAAAAATCCAAAGACCATAAAATTGGTGCTGAGATATGGAATGGGGTCAGGGTGGTGGTCTCCTAGAACAGGTAAATCTTGTATTATAAATAATACATCAGGCATTTATTGAGATGTAAGAATTATATTTCTTCCTGTAAGAAATATTCATTGATCAGTCTTCCTGGAGCTATTCATTTATGTTTCTTTCTTTCTTTCTTTTTTTTACTTAATACAATCACTCATACACTATGATAGAAAAATGTACCAAGTCAGTCATGACACCTTGTTTTCTATTAATCAATAAGCATAAATCCTGTAAATAAATAGGTGAGAAATCCCATCAGGCACCTGTAACGCCAGTGACATTTAGAGTTTCCAAGAACACACATAATTGTGAGCTTTGCCCTTCCCACAGTCCTTTGTTTGCCATTTTCCTTGTCGTTGAACCAAAACACAGTTCGTGCCAGGCTTTGAACGTCGAGGGGGACCTCTCCTCCAGTTGGTGAAGGTGACAGGTTCGCCGCCAATCCACTCCCAGTGGCCAGCATGCACTTTTTCATTCAAACCTAACATAAGCCAAAAGAATGTGCCAAACGATTTCATTACATTTACATTTGGATATTATAGCAGCCCATTGTTCAAAGCTCAATAGTCACATGCCAACATATGCCTATGTGCTAAAACATGGAAAAGGACCTGGGGATCCTACAGGGCACAACTGTGCACGTAAGGCTTTGGGGTCAGACCAATCCACATTTAAACCCTAGCTCCAGCACGTGCTCATGGAGCATCTTTGGGAAGGTTACTTAACTGCTCTAAGTTTTATTCTCCCCATCTACACATTGGAATGAAAATAGTATATCTATGGCTGTTTTGAGAGTAAAATAAGATAATGCATGAGAAGCACAAGGTATATACAAGTGTTAAATTAATTTATTATTTATATTATTCTATAGAAAGAACTACTATCACGGGACAGAGATACATTCTTGTCTATTCTTCTTCTTCCTCATTATTTAAATGTCTTGGTTTTCCTATGTGAAAGAAGCTTATTAAGTATTATTTTTAGTCTGGAGCTTCAGACTTTTTCAATGTGCGACAATCCCAACAAAACGCGACTTTTCTCAACTTGCTTCTCTACTCCCTCTGACAGTGTTTGAAAATTACACTCTAATGTTGCAAAGCTCTTGCAATTTTTATTACAGAAGTGTTCTTCCTCCTCCCCCTCTTCTATAAGAGAAATAGAAAGAATAAAATGGGAAACGGATCCTCTGCACTAGCATGATGCGACATCTCCCCAACCAAATGCGACATGAGGACAATCTTGGTTACATAGCACACAACCTTCTCCCAGCTGACTCTCGGGCAATAGTTTGGGGTAGAATAAAATTAAGTACTTTTGGTTAGAAATAACCTATCCTGTTCTAGGTTGTTTCCTTGAATTATTGACTAGGTCACGCTATGCCTAAGTATTTTGTAGGGATAGGGCCTTAAAATCAGTTGTGGATGTAAAGAAAACTTACCCTGTATCCTTAATAATTTCAGAATTAAGAGACTGAGTAATAAAGAGATCTTGAGAAGCCAAGAATAGTGTATTAGTGTTCCCTGAAATACAATACTTTTAAGGAGAAATGGTGAGAATACTGACTTTGATAGGTCCTGAGTATTCTATTTCTGTGGCTTGAAAGGATTTGTATTATTGTTAAAAATGTAGAAAATATTAAAACTTTGGAAAACAAGAAATAAAATTAAGATCACCTATAATCCTCAACTGGAGGTTAAACATTTCTAATTCTTTGACATGTTTCTTTTAATATATGCATGTATGTGTACATATTATATGTATATAAATGTGTATATATATATAATGTATATAAATTGCTTTTTTATTTTAAACTATTTCATGCTTCATTTGGTTGTGTACTCTGCCTTTTTACTTAGTACCTTGCCACAAATGCACTACATTACATATTTTATGTATAATGTTCATCTAATATATATTTATTGAATGTTAATAAACGAGGCATTTTATCATGTCTTTAATACTTAATGCTTTTGTAAAGCATTAAATATTAAATATTCCTTCACAGGTCTATACTATAACTTATTTAACAACCCCCTATTTATAGCTATTTCTAATTTTTTACTTTTAGTAATACTACCTTTTGAATTCTCTTACCTATACAAAGACTCACATCCCTTATTATTTCTTTGAGATTGATGTCTAAAAATGAAAGTATTGTGTAATTAAGATGAGTTTGAAAAAAACTATTCAGCCATCTAACATAACTTGTCATTATTAACCACAATCTTTGGCCCACGGAAGAGAGTCATTCTCTTCGTGTTCTTGTCCAAACCCCCAGCCCCCAGTGCGGCTGCGCGAATACTTGCCTATCCAGAAGGGCGTCCTTCCGCTGAAGTCCCAGAGCCACTGCATGTGCTGCCTGGACAGGACAGTCACAAGGCTGCCCAGGTGACTGCAAGCAAATGAATGGAAAGGAGAGGTCAGTGACAAGGGGTTCAACATTCCTGCTGATATGATATGCATGGCAGAAATCAAACCCAGGTTAAAATAGAAAAAAAGTACATATGCAGAAAAAACTTTCCACGATTTTAATACTCTATTTTTTTTTTTTAATTTAATGAGTTTCTGCAAGGTTGGGTAAGTGACCAGCAAAAAAACATGATGTTTTATTATAATATCTGGACTTTAGAAACCACAAATTCAATAGGTTTTCTGTGTCTTTTTAGAAAATCAGCAACTTCTTACTTATAAAGATTAATTACTTAATGTCAAAATATTAATCCTCTCATAGGAAGTGTATCTCTAAAGGGTGTAAAAATTCGGCTGTTAATCTGATCAGTAATGTAACCCAAACAATTCAGACAAAAGGACTTGAGGCCTACATTCTGAGCTTGGTATGTTTAGTCAAATACCCCAATAACTGGTCCTTTCATCATACTCAGTGAAATGAGCATGGCCTCACTGTCAAACCTCCTATGAGGTGCAGAAGTTAAAGCACCTGTTCTTAAAATATGTTTTTTTCCTCATAATAGAATTCTTTTTTAATAACTTTAAGGTATACAACATAATGACATGACTTACGTATACTGTGAAATGATTATCGCAATAAATTAACATCGCTATTTCTGCACATACCAGAAAAGAGAAAAAAGTTTTTTCCTTGTGATGGGAATTCTCTTAACAACTTTTGACTACACCACACAACAGTGTTAACTATGGTCATCAGGTTGTACATTGCATTCCCAAGTACTTATCTGTTTATCTTATAAATGATAGTTTGTACATTTTGATTACTTTCATCCAATTCCCCTGTCCTACATCCCTCACTTCTGGTAACCACAAGTCTGATTTCTTTTTCTATTATTTTTGTTTTTGTTTTTTATATTCCACATATCAATGAGATCATATAATACTTGTCTTTCTCTGTCTGACTTAATGCCCTCAAAATTCATCCGCGTTGTCGCAAATGGCAAGATGTCCTTTTTTATGCCTGAATACTATTTCATTGTATTGTATTTATGTACCACAACTTCTTTACCCATCCATCTGGCGATGAACCCTGAGATAGTTCCTATGTGTTGGCTATTGTAAACATTGCTGCTATGAACATGGGGGTGCAGATATCTCTTCAATACAGTGTTTTTGTTTCCTTCAAGATATATTCCCAGAGGAGGAATTGTTTGATCACATGGTATTTCTATTTTTAATTTTTTAAAGAGCCTCCAAACTGTTTTCCACAGCAGCTGTACTAATTTACAATCTCACCAAGAGGGTATAAGGGTTTCCTTTTTTCCATATCCTCACCAGAATTTATCTCTTATCTTTTTTATGATAGACATTCTAACCAGCATGATAATTCTTTATGGATTATTTTTTCAGCTAGACGAATTATTCCTATAAGCAATATTTAATTGTGTCTAATTCCTCAGCAGTGCTCAAAAAGCTCTTTAAAAATGCTTCGAGTAAAAAGCTAATAGATAATTATTTTCTTCTTTGTTTTTTGAATGGAAAGTTTCTGACAAGAAACAAAGTCACGTAATCTTCTTGTCTGGTTAATATCTACTGATATTTTTTAAAGTAGAAAACAAAATTAGCAATACTTGTATAAGTTGAGAAAATGGTTGAACTGAATTTTATCCAATTTGCCTGTCTTTCCAAACATCAGATCAATTTCTTTGCTTTTCCAGATCACATATAGTGAACATAATTTATTCATTTCTTAATGACTATTTTCCCACCAATACCTGTCCTTGGTTGTTCTATAATGCAGTGGGACTTGTAGGCCTTCTGAGACATGTAAGGCTCTTTATTCCTCTTCTGAGTGGCCTTAGCCTGCTGAATTTGGGTTTTGTGATTTTTCTCTGATTTCATTATTTACTGTCAGCTCCTGTCTGACAGTTCAGCTGATAGGAGAGCACACCTTTTCCCTGGCCCCTCACCTCCAACACAGTAATTCTAATGTGCTGACAGTTAGAATACAGAATATCAAATATATGTAAAACTTAGGCCAAGGGAAGGCTTGAGGGACTTTCTTAGTCTATATGGTGTATTGGACAGAGTACAGGAGACCTGGCTTCCACTTTCTGTTCTGCCCCTAATTCCCTTCTAGATGTAACTTCAGCCTCATCTTCATCATTTGGAAGTAACAGGTTTTAGTTAACATCTCCTCCTGTTTTAAGATTCTTGAAACGATCTTTAAAAGAGACTGTAAAATCCATTTTACCTAGTCCAAGTTTGATTCCCTTTTTGACTCTCTGAGAAGCAAAAAGTCCCAAAGGATCAAGATGAGAAAATAGCTGTGTTTAGGATAGGAGGTAAAATGTAAGACCACAGTCATTCTTTTTTTTAAAGAAAGAAAGTTAGGTACTTGTATGTTGATTATTTTATAAAAATATTCTTTTCATGCTCATATGCATATAAGGTACAGTGGATATTGATAGATAAATATGTATATAGAGATAAATAAAAATAAAATACAGAGACATACATGCAAATAAATCTTTGGACAGCTTTGAAATTTTAAATCATTCCAAGTGTAGTATTTAAAAGAGAAACCTTACTTTTTATAGTCACAGAAATACACATCTACTTTTTTGAAACTTTTTAAGTATAGCTATATTTCAGAGTAACTCTTTAAGGATGGGTCAGCAGGGGTTCTAGACACTCCTGTGGAAAAACAAAATGGTTTCAAAGAATTATCAAATGTACAATGACTGGCTAAGGAAGTGAGCAGATGAGATTACAATATGTAAATTCAAGAAATACCCAATCTAGCAGTCTGGCTCCTCTGGGTTAGAAAAATAATAAAACACCAGTGGGGAGGAAAGGAGATTGGAGATAAAGATTGACTTGAGCGGGTGATCTGATTAGGAACAAGGGATAAAGTAAAATGTGCTGTTCTTCATGAAACTCGGGTGCTGCAACTGACCCTCTTGAAAGGACCTCCAAATAGCAAGGCAGCCCAGGGAAACATAACTCAAAATTGAACAATGGTCCCTGAGACCAAATCAAAGACGTACTAGTTGCATATTCATTCTAATTATAGAATCTAAAACCATCTCATAAACATATTTCATAAGGTAAACATCCAGGTTATAAAATGTTGAAATTACAAACTTTTCATCGCAGAAGGAGTTGATAATTCCCAGAGGGATACACATTTCTCAAGCTATATGAGTTGGAGAAAAAAAGAACAAAATGAACCTGAAAAGTAATGAGCGAGGAGAAGCAGGGAAGCCCACAGGATGAATGAACATGTTGAATGGTAAGGGAGAAATTGGGGTTCAGAAAAAATTATACTGACGAGGTACCTTTGCCTCCCAAAAATGTTCCTCTTAGACTAATTAATCCAAAGGAATATGGAGATCTTTTATTTTTCTTTTAGTGTGCTTTTCATCTGCAGCTAGACAGTTTCTGAAATGCCTGCAACTAGTATTAACTATTCTTGGGGTAATCATTCCTGTTGTCCTCCTGACATAAAATGCATAGTGAAGTATCATACCAAGAAAATCAGATGAAATATTCATACCCACTCTTTCAATTAAAATTTTCAAATTAGAAGTCTTCTTTATGATAATTTAAAAATCTCATACCATATATATTTTCTTTGTCTCTCTTACAACACCCAGGAAGACTATAAAAAATAGTATTTGATAGATGTTTTGATTTCTGGACCAATATGGTGAATAGACAATGTGTAAATTGAATCTATATTACTGATAGCTAAATAGTCACTGTATAAAATATGATGAAAAACTCTAATTGCCCCTAAAAATTCTCTCTTGCTCTGAAAGTTTTCTCAATTTTATGTCTAAAATGAAGTCACAGTCCTACAACTTAAAAACAATTCTGAGATCAGAATTTACAAAAATAACATAAAAACATACGAACAAATTAGTTCTGACCTTGCTTATTTCATGTTTGTTTTGCTAGATATGATCACTAATCTCCTTAAATTAATAGGGGAAACATACATGTTGTATGTAATATTACAAATATTGCTTATAAATCCTATTATTACATTTAGGTCCAGAGAACTTTTTAATTGAACCTAGAGTAAGACATCAACACAATGAAAGTTAAATTCTAAATTCTGTAATTTAAATTCAATGACTTTTACATTCTTGATAGAGTTTAGTGGGAAGAGTTATGTGGGAGCAAATGATCATGACTGTATGACAACTTTACTGAAGCGAAATGCAGGGTTTAAGGTCTTGTCATATGAAGAGTTATGATGTCTATATCTCTGAAGTTCATTAATGAATGAGGAATGATTTAGTTATTGGATTTGTGGGGTCAATACTGGGAATAATACTTGAAAGTGTGGTATGGTCTATAGTAAGTGTTCAAATAAATAAATAAATTTATTTATTTATAAACTCAGAACTTGATTGTACCTTAGGTTTGCCCTGAGTGGTTATTTTTATTCTAACCCAAATAAAACTTAGGATTGATGATTTAATAGAAAATCCTAATATGTCTTTGCTGTGACAGATACAAAATTATTAACACATAGTTTTGAAAACCTGCTTTAGGTTAGCCCAATACAAAGTAAAAATAGGCATCCTTGTCAATATACCTGAGTACAAGAGAAAATTACGCCCTCTCTCTCATTTATTTGCTTGTATAACCATGAGCAAGTGATTTTGCTTCCCTGCATCTCTTTGTTTTATCTGTAAAATGTAGATAATAATATCTGCTTTCCTCACTGAAGTCATGGGAGGATCAAATAAGCCACTATATATGAAAAAATTTTGTAAACTATAAAATGTAACCTGAAAGTAAGGCGTTACTGGGAGAGAGGCATGTGGAACTGGGTCAGTGTAAAAGGGTCATGGTGAGAAGATGCTTCCAACCACGTTGTGAGTGAAATCTTAGACCAAATACATGAGGAAGTAGCTAGGTTTTTAAATTAATTTGTGCCTTAATTGTATTACTGGGATAAGTGAACTGTATAATAGTAATAGGCATATGAAGAACCCCTTTATAACTAGTCTTACCATTAAAATCTATCTAAATTAGATGGATCAATAAAATAATAAAATAAAATAAACAGAGATATTGGAGGACAAATACAGGGTTGTCAACATGAAGCCATCAGCAATATTACTTACTTTTTAATTAAAAGTTGCCATCGATGATTTTTGATACTCAAAAGCTAGAAGATTAAATCTCAGAAGAGTAGTCTTTCTAAGAAAGGACAGTCACCATTGATAAATAGATGAAAAGATATCACTTAATACATGTCCTCATTTTTCTCATAACATTAAGAATTAAGGGAAGCCTCATGGCCACAGGAATTCCTTGCACTGTCTTTAGAAAACCGCTGGAAGATGAACAATAAGGCTGCTTCCAAACTTCGGGGTTTCTGTTGCTCTGCTCATAATATTTTACCAATAAATCCCAGCAGAAACTGTACTTCTACACTTGTCCTCATTTTTGTCAGTAGAGAAACCCTCTGTAGCATGTTATAACCTTGCCCTTGCTAATTCAGAAAGCTCTGATTCCACATCAAAGCTCTTTCCTTAAGGATGAAATAAAACCTATCCTACAACTTGTAAGCAAATATTACATAGAAGTAGGACATCTAGACCCTGGACCACCAGAAAAACAAACAAGTGGGTCCCATGGAAATTAAGTCTAAAACATGGCTGGAGGCAAAAATGACAAAACTGAAGCCATCCTACTTCAGGACCATCATGAGAGGGCAGGGTTCTTCGGAAAAGACAACAATGCTGGGAAAGAGAAGGCGGCAGGAAAAGAGAAAGCTAAATATGAGATGGGTTGACTCCATAAAAGAAGCCTAGGCATGATCTCCAGAGGCTGAGCAGGGCTGTTGAGGACAGTGTATTGTAAACATCACTCATTCATAGTTACTAGGAGCCAGAGCCAATTCAATGACACGTAACAACAAGGACATTTGATTACTTTGGTGAAGAAATTGCTTAATTGTTTTTTAACATATAGCATTATGGAAATATATGTATTTAAACAAAGAATATTCATAGGATATTTTTTAAATTTGACTTATTTTATACCACCAACTCATCAACAAAGACATGAAAGCCACTGACTAACCTCTATGTTACCTTTACTTATACTTAGGACATGAAATGCAACTGTGAAGAAAAGGATGGTTAATTTGACCAGTTTTAATATATACCATTAAAATATCTTATTAGTTTTTTTAAATCTATGTATAATTTCCATACAATAAAATGCATACATTTTAAAGTATTCACTTTGATGAATTGTGTCAGTCACCCACAGATTCTTCCAGAGATAACTATTTTTTATTTCTAGCACCAACTAATAGATTAGTTGTTTTCTGTTTATTTAAGTGAAAGCATACAATATGTATTTTTTTATATTGGGTTGTTTCCTCTCTACACAATGTTTTGGAGATTTATCCACATCATTGCAGGTTTCAGAAGTTCATTCCATTTTACTGTTTATAAAATAATTTCCCCCAACAAATGTATCTACAGAATTCTCTTTTGATAGAGAAAATAAAAAGAATGCCTATAAATCAATAACAAAAAAACAAATGACCCAAACTATTATTATTACGAAAAAGATTGAAAAGAAGTTGTGAATTTTTAAAAATTTTTTATTCCTCCTGGGTAAATCTTAAGGAGTAAAATTGCTGGATCACAGGGTAGAAAGATAAATTTAAAAGACTTGCCAGACACTTCTACAAAGTGCTTGTACCATTTTACACATCCACCAACAATACATTCGAATTCCATTTGCTCTACAACACATTATATTGTATGTCTTTGTGATTTTAACTATTCCAGTGGGTGTGAAATGGTGTTTTATTGTGATTTTAATCTGTATTTCTCCACGTCTAATGGTGGTGAGCACTTTATTATGTATTTGATGACTAATGTATATCTTCTCTTGTGAAGTCTCCAAGTCATTTGTTATTATTTTAAGCAGGTTGTCATTTTATAATTGATTTGTAGAAGTTGTTTGTATTTTCTTCATCAGATATGTGATTTAAGATTAACTTTTCCCACAGGTGGTTTGCTTTTTCATTTTTTTATTAGTGTTTTTAGAGAGCATAACTTCTGAAATTTGATAACATGCAAGATCTGACTGATAGCCACCAGGGACTTCTCTAGTATCAATTTCCAGCCATAGGGTATATTAGTCTAATTGCATTGTTTTGGATAATATCCAGATAAGCTAAAAAGGAGGGTCAGAGATACTTATGCTTTCTAAAGTCCTTTTGGACTAGGTAAATTTTGTTGTCATTATTTGACCACAAGTCATCCTTCATTGAGTGTCCCACCTACCGATGACCCTCTGTCCAACTTGTCTGGTTTCATAATCATAAATGTCTCTTACATCGTCATAGGTCTGAAGCCATAAGACCTTTCCTTGCCACATATTTTCAAATCAATGAGCAGGAATTCTTATTTAATTTAAAAAATGTAATTCTTATTTAATTTCTTTAAAAGAAGATAGAACCTGCAACGCTGCTGACTCAGAAAATCTCCTTCTGACTTTCTCCAAAGGACTGAGATAAAGAAACTAGACAATAGAGATGTGGCAATGATGCAGTTTAACCATAAAAAAGCAAACTCAGAGGTCAGTCCCAAATGCATCCTAAGCTACAGGTCACTCTCAGGAAAGACAAAGCCAGGTAGGTATTAGACACTCAACACTTGAATAAATGAAGCGAACCTACAGTTCCACGAGAAAACGAGAAGAGAAACAGAGGAGAAACAGCAGTCAAATGTGCAGCAAGGTTTCTTACTGTTCCCTGCAAGCGCGGGCCGCTGTGTTCCACGTGACTTTCAGTTCTGTGATCAGGGAGTGGCAGTAGCCTGAGTGATGGTGCCACCCAGCTGGACAGGATTTGTCTTCCGCCTCCTGAAAAACAGTGGCCTGTGTTCACATCACAATGGTCTTTGCAATCTAGTTTGTTCTCAGCATAGAGAGTCCTGTGAGTCCCTTAACGTGGACAGACTCGTTCTGTCCCTGGGAAAGGGGTCAGCCCGAATCTCAATTCTCCACCTTCAACAACTGCATGGTTTCCTACAGAAAACATTACTAAAGCGAGTGATGTTTCCATCTTAAACCTCTGACATTTGATAGTTAAACAAATACTTCTTAAATTGTATTGGTTTGACTGACGTATTTTCTCAAAATCTGAAATTGCATGGACATAACTAACGCGCTCTGTGATTTTGAAAACCCCACTGGGGCCATTTCTTCCTCTTCTCCTTCCAAGCAGACATCTGAGCTGGCAGGGCGACCTCATCAGAGGCCACCCTGCAAGGGGTGTGCTCAGCCTGTTCCCACCTTGGTTTGGGGGCTCCACGCTGTCCAGGCAATCCCATTGCACTTGTACAGCTTTCGGAGGTGTTCTTCGAAATGGAAGAGTCCCTTCAATTCCCGCGTGCAGTTCCTTGGGAATGAGGGCAAATGGCCCTGTTAGGAAGGAAAGGCCATTGAGATCTGGTTTAATGTATGCGGATCCCGTTCTTACCCGCTCTGGGCCCTCGTTTGTTGAGTAGCTTGTGTGTTGAGCAGACTGTCCCCGAGCTTGCTTGGTCCAGGGAGCAGCTTGTCGTAAGGTGCACAGGACATGAAAAGGTTCTCATACCTGTCTGGGGAAGTGTGAGCTGGCTGTGGATTCCACCTTCTCTGCCTGAGGCAGTCCAGCCACTTTGAAGGATTTTTGTGGCCGACTAATAGTGGACACTTTGGTCTTCCTTCTGGGACTCGGGGAACTGTCATCCTCCAGCTGCAGAGACACCGTTCCATGATACTGAGGGAATCAACGAACAACAATCAAGGAAAAACAAACACCAAGGTAGCAAACAAAAACATTTGTTGTAAAAATGAGCAATTCAAATTCAAAAATTGGATAAAAGCAAAAAGGTTTTTTTTGTTTGTTTTCTGAGCACCCAAGCCTCCAGAACAAATTTCAAATCAGGTTTTTAAGAGAAATGAATAAAAGACATAAAAGATAGATTTCCTAACTATTTTGTATCCATAAATACAAGAAACTTAGCAGTTTTATCAGACTGTGCTTACATTATAGATGATGTCTGTCCCATTTCTATAAACAGAGGATGGACGAACCTGAAATCGACAGAGAACAAAATTGGCTTGAATAACTAGCAATAGGTTAAAACCTTTCCAGTGAGATCTTATTAATGTCTGAAGAATTTTAAAAGATGTTTCTCAAGGTCTTCCATGTCTAAATCATTGGAATTTTATACATCACTGGACCTAATCACAACTTACCAATTTTGATTCATACATTCATAGTCCCAGTTAGGGAGAAAAAGACATCCTTATTCTGTTGGTACATCTATAGTGCACACCAGTCCATGAACACACACACACACACACACACACTCATGAGTGTGTCCCTGGTTGGATTGCTGAGCTAACAAGGTCAAGGTCATGGTTTCCACACCCAAGTAATCTCATTCTATTTTAGGGTCACTGGTCATTCCTTATCTGTCTTGATTACGAAAGGAACCAAAGCAGAAATTACATGGACAAGTCAGTATAACTATCACCTCAATTAGTACAACTAATGACGTGGGACAGCATTATGATATTTGTATACAAAAGGCACTGTGTGATGGCCCCCACTCACTATAAGAATCAAATCAGTTTCTTCTGTGCTTAGGAATATTCATCAATATCTTTTGATTCTTTTATATGTACTTCAAACATAAAATCCCAGGAGGTCCCCATCCTTACTGTTCTGCCATTCCCTCGGGTTCTAAGCTTCATTCCATAAAGATCTGTAGAATCAAAGCCCTGTGGGGTGTCTCCCCTGTTGACTGCTAGCCGCTTGGAAGATGGAAGAGGTCTTCTTTCCAGATGAAAGGAACCAGAAATGGTGGGGGAGGAAGACCCTGAGGACAGCGGGTGCCAAATGCCCTTCTTCCATGCGTTGTGCTTGTTTAGGCTGAAGGAGTATGAAGGATGGCACTGTCCTGGGGGCATGCAAGACGGCAGGTCAGTTCATTCATTTTACACAGACAGATAAGTGATCACATGGACACAGCCCCTGAAGCAGCTTGTCATGAAACTTAGATGGATGGTTTTCCCACCAGATGTTGCCTTTTTGCCATTTGCCAGAAACTCCCTTCCCCTTCATCAGTTTCCATCCGGGAAACCTGTGCCGTCTGCACATCTACAGGGGGACTGTAAAGTCATGAAACCGATTTCACAAACCACAAATGAAAATCACTGTTGTGGTTTCAGAATCATCCTTAGACCATAACAACCTCACTGCTGTTTATATTATAGTATCCTCAATACATCAGGTTTAGTCACCGATCAAGGATCATTCCACAAAGTGATCATCCTTTCCCCAATCGCTTAGAGGTAAAAACTGGAGATGTTTGAAGAGATCAGTGAAATCGAGTAACAGCTATAAAAGTGATCAGTCAATTGCTACAGAGCAAAGATCCAGTAAGTCTTAACAGAGCTACTTCTATTGGCAATTAGTATGAAAAGAATCTAAACCCAGAACTCACATCTGGATATTTTATATTTCATGTGTAAAGTGTGTGCTCCATGTATTTTTATATACTTAACATGACCAGAAAATTCTACTGAAAAAGAAATAAATTTGGTGAGAAAAGGTTGTGGGGAGACATATTGTGGAAATAAGAGTATTGTAAAAGAAAGATGGTAGTGTTTATTTTTTTAAAATATGTTTTTGATTTTTTAGAGAGAGAGGAAGGGAGAGAGAGATAGAACCATCAATCGGCTACTTCCTGCACGCCCTGCATGGGGATCGAGCCCGAAAGTCGGGCATGTGCCCTGACCAGGAATCGAACCCGGACCTCTCAGTCCATGGGACGATGCTCAATCCACTGAGCCACACCGGCCAGGCAAGAATGTTTATTTTTATTATAGTGTGACAAAGAGGAGATAATAGATTTCAAGTAAGGAAAACATGAACCATAGGGCATGGTAGGTATGAAAACAGCGAATTTAGAGCTAGCATGGTTACTGGACAGTTGTCAAATGCTATGGAGACAATTAAGAAGAAGGTATTTGGCAGGAAAAAAGCCAGAGCACCAAGGACTTTGTGGGTCTTTGTTTTATTCAGTTCACAGGTTGTTCTTCAGGGCATACTATCCGGGACCCCTCTGGCTCCGCAACCCGAGGTTGCTCACCAATGTTCTCCAGCTGCTCCCGCATTCGCTCCCAGCCAGCTGCACCTTTCCCGTCTGTTTTCTCCCCATCCCTGCTTTCAGACCTTTCCCGGTCGCGCTCCAGTGGGGGCTCAGCTTCTCGCATTAGGAACTGTCTTTAACAGGGGAAGATAATTACAGCCCTACACACTCTCCCCCTCGGTGAGAATGACAACCGGGTAGGAAAGAAAAGGAACTGCAGCCCTGACTTGTTGCTTTTCTGAACCGATAGCTCTTAGCAGGGGGAAAGCCGCACGGAGCAGAAGGCAGGATAAAGCGCCTACATCACGACCGAGGTTGCTTTCTTGACAAGAAATCAAGCATTTGGTCGCGAAGGCGCTATCAAGCACGCTGGCTGTTGAAAGCAAGCAGCCGCGGCGCTAGGACCACTTCTGATTTCAAGACGAGGATCAAAAGAATACCTCCTTTTGAGTCCAAAATTTTCACTGCAGCTTTTGTCTTTGTGCCAAGAACCGCATTCACAGGGGAGTTCAGAATTACTTCAAAGGCCTCATCATCTTCCTCTAATCCGTCATAGGTAATTGCTATATTCCACATCTTAGTTGACATTCCTACAAGAAGTAAACATTTTAATTACTCTTTAATTGCTATTTCAATCACCTAGGTGTCAGAGAAATATATTAATTAACATGTCTACAGCTAGAATGCGGTAGCCTGAGTGAGCCATTGTACTGCTACCAACTTACTGAGGTCCTGCTGTTCTCCCAAATAATATGAAAAGACCACATTTGTTCCTGGACAATGATGATTTCATTTAAATGCAAACACTGTAACAAAAAAGTAAGCTGCGTTTTGCAAAGGATGAACATAAAAAAAGGGTTAGTAGATGAGATCCAAATTTAACCCCCCCACACACACCTGCCCCTTCTCTACTTAAGAATAAACAAGTACTGCAATCTTAAAAGCTTACTAGTTTCAAAACTCTTAAGATGCCGGTACAGACAGTTCTAAGTGATTATTGGATGGTACTTGGTGCTATTCATGGAACCCTTGAAATGATTGATTTCTAAAGACAGCTGCCTCCATGGCTGCCCCACTTCCTGAGATCTTTCTAGCCTGCAAATGCTTTTTCTAATGATGTGATACTCGTGGTCTGATAGCCTCCTAGAGAGAATTTATGGGCTGGGAAGTCTAGAAATAGACTGAGCCAATTTGTTGTCGTCTTTTCCTTTCTGTCTGCCTCTGTTGGTGGAGTTACAATCAAGCCTGGTTTGCAATAACTTTGTGAACTTAATACTAAACAGTTTTGATGTTTCAAACATATCCCCAGCCATCCTATCCCTGCAAAGACGGGGTGCATAGCCACCCAGAAACACAAACTATTAAAGCTGGGAGAAACTGCTGAGACTATCTAATCCTGACCAGTTTCCATGACGTGGGTCATGGGACATGCTCTTGTGTTTATTTACAAGAAAAATAGCAAGAAAAAAAGTACTGTTTGGTGAAGAAAAGGCTCAAGTTTAAGAGGACAAAAGATAATAAACATATGATTTAACCTTCTAGGACTAAGTTTTGAAAACTTAACTCCATCATTTACTCATTGGCTATTTAAGTGCTTTTATTCCCATATATTCATCTACGTAAACAGTTAAACCCTTTATTTCTAGCCTTCTGTAAATCTGAGTACTTTTCTCCTTGCAGATTGTTTTCTACAGATTTATGTCTTTCAACTGTGCCATCTGCACGGTGGCCTTCTTCTGAAGACACCTCAATCTAGGCTTCGTGATCTAATCGAAGTCTCATCGATCTCCAATCAAATCCAATGGAAAGATGAAACTGTTCACTTATACTACTCTTGGCTGCACTGAAAGGGAAAAAAATTAAGAGTATTTGAAATAATTTTATTGATTTAAAATAGGCTGACAGCTAATTTGGTAAGCTTTCAATATCAACTGAGTTCTTTAAATCAATTACTTTCACACTCTGCAAAAAGAGAAGGTGAAGTACCTAATATAAAATATTACATAAGTCCCACCACACAGATAGATGAATCAATTCATCCAAATACTTAATTTTGTATCCATCATAGACTTACCTTTGATTCCGATGCTATGGAAAATACCAGAGGTGTAACATAAGCAAGCCTGACATAAAGGAATGTAAAACCTCTTAGAAGAGACAAGATGTAAGCACAAGAAAAGTCAATTATTCAAGGCTACGTATGGTTAGCTGCCCAACGGTGGTAAGTATTGGAGGTACGTGGGCTCCAGAGCTGGAAGGATTTGGAGGGAAGAAACGGGAAAACAACAAAAGCAAAGGCGGAAATATCCGGAAGCAGCCGCCCGGCTCAGGGAGAGTTGAGCAGATCAGCTGTGGAAACAGAGAGGTCACGGGGGTCACCGGGTGAATAGGCATGGCAAGGCTGCAGTAGCAGTGTTTAGTCAGGCTGCAGAGAGCCCTGGACACTAACTAGGTGGCCAGATTCAGACTTGACACCACAGGAAACAGGGAAGCCCTTGAAACTGGATGTCTTGAAAGAATGAAACTGAAAGTGTGGTGTGGGAGGACTTAGGGGCCCAGGTGGAGAGGCTAGAAGTTGGGAGACCACTGGGCAACCACTGTAATGAAACTGGCAAAAGAAATGAGAGGCTGGTCCTGGCCGGTTTGGCTCAGCGGTTGGAGCATCGGCCTGTGGACTAGAGAGTCCTGGGTTCGGTTCCCGCTAGGGGCACGTGCAAAAAAAAAAAGAAATGAGAGGCTGGACAATGAAAAAAGCGCATAAATACAAGATTTTTACTATTCAAAGAACTGTTTGACTCTCAAAGCCCATAGAGTTAAGCATGATTCAAATAAAAATCCAATACAGAAATAAATATTTCCAAGCCTAACCAAATGCCCTCTTATTTTAAGACTTTTTTTTTTCTTTATGAAGTAGAACCAGATGGCTAGAAAAAAACTATTCCAAGTTTAAGTGCTTCTGATTTGTTTGCCTGCATTTCAGCTGTGTTTCTATGCCTCCCAGGTGTGCATATAGGCCCAACATTTTTAGGTTAATGGGATTGGAAGTAAAAACTTGCTTGTTTTTTTCTTTTTCCTTCCTTTCCCACTTTCAAGGTGAGAAGTATTTGTTAAATTACTGAGCTTATAAGCAATTTCAGAAGGCTTGAACTGGCCCCCTGTTCCCATAAAACAAAAGGTGTGGAAGAGAGGAGAGAGGTGTCGTTTTATGCAGACATATCCTGCTTTACAGAGTAGGCCCATTTCTGGCTATTTTCCTGCAAAGCAGACTTCGCCATTGAAAGACATTTTCTCCCTGTTTTTAGTAGCTGCCACAAGAGAGATCTGTTTCTTTGGAAAACATTTTGACTCTTGGGAATGATGGCGTCTCAATGAAGAATGCAGCAAACCTTTCAAGAACACATACTTTAAGGGAAAACAATCACTTTATTACGAATATTTACACTTTGACTCAAGATTAGTCACCTAATCAAGGGGTCAGAATTAGATTTTGGTTTGGTACAATGGCTGCAAGGCAAGCTTACTTGAGTAGAGCTGACTAACCTGAAAAATCACTCAGTTTCTCTCCAGCTGCCTCCCAAGAACCCTGTAACCTTATAATATCCCTCTGTCTTTGATGTCTCATTCTGTTTTTTCTCCAATCATGGAAACTGCTGTTTTTAAATAGATGAACAGATTGCTTGGGCAAAAGGGATGGGGGTAAGGATGGAGACAACAGACCCAAAAGAGGCAAGAATTAACAAATGGGAGTAAGTAAATACTCACAGGACATGTGGACATGGGAAACTTAAACATTCTCTAAAGTAAGCCTTTAGTTTCTGACTAATAAGTTCCTAAACAATGAACAACCAAGTATTGTTTCTTTTTAATTTATAAGATATGTTTATTTTTTTCTTAACAAGCCTAAATAATCTCTTAAGTCATAACTATTTTGGGCCCCTAAAAGCCGTTAGTACCTACTCAAAACAGCATATAAACCCTTCTAGGCAAATGGGTGTTTATCTTAACCCAATGGAATCTCCAAGAAGTAGCTTTCAGAAAGCCCTCTTGTGTGATACATTCTAGTTCCTATCAATCCAGAAGAAGCACCTGGTGGGCTGCTCAAATCTACGGAAAGCCAAAATCGCTTATAATCTGTGACAAACAAAGCTCAAATAGTAAAGATAATATATGACAAAGACTCTTGTGACAAAGACTCTTGTGACAAAGACTCTCAGCTCTCAAAAAGGGGAAAGGTTGGGACTGCCGTCGCATGAAATACAGAAAGGGCTATTGAAAGTGCACCCCACCCCTGCGCCTTAGGGCTGACCCGAACATAAGAGCCTGCGGCGACCTGAAGGTAAACATCAAATACATAATGGGAATAGTTCTCACAAAGTGTGGTCAGCCTAAGGAACAAACTTTTGCGAGTTAGATACTCGATATCACAGAAAGGAGGCCAACAACAACATTTGGGTTGTTGCGATGTCAATTTAAGGTCCATTGTGATAGGTAGAATGTTGTCACTCCAACATCCATATATTGAAGTCCTAATTCCCAGTTCCTCCTAATGTGACCTTATTTGAAAATAAAATGGTCTTATAAACAGGGGAAATTTGAACAGAGACCCATGTAAGGAGAATGCCAATATGGCCATGAAGACAGCAGAAACCAAGAGACGCCAAAGATTCTAGCAAATCAAACCACTAGAGAATGGAGCGCTCACAGCCCTCAAACCTGGGTCCGAACTTCTGTTCTTCAGAACTGGGAGGAAACAATTTCTGTTTTTAAGCTACCCCGTTTGTTGGATACTTTGTTGGGGTGGCCCCAGCAAACAGTCATCCAACATCAAGCTACTTGTGATAAACTCGAGGAAGGCATTTCTTTTCCATGTTTAATAGTAAAGTTGTCAATGTGGGGCTGCTGATGGCGTTTCAACCCCTTTGTTTTGCCTTAGCTGTAAGCATCAAGTCAGCAGCAGACAACGGCAAACTCTTAGACTTGATGGTGTGTTCTTAGAGCGGAGAACACCTCCTCTGCGCACACCACAAGGCCCCAAGTGCTGGCGGCTCCTCAGGGCCCTTTCCATTTGCCCCTGGGCAGGTGATGCAGAGCCAGGGAAGGTGAGAGAACCATGCAGAGCAGTGAGTGAGGGCAACCTGCCCCCACCTACGGAAGCCAGGGAAAGAAGGCACGGGTCCAGCCCCAGTGCTCTAGGCACAGTTCCCCCGGAAGTGTGTCCATCTTTCATCTGAAAGTCCCCTCCTCCTCCTCCTTCTTCTTCTTCTATCTGCTCAGAATTCTTGGAAATCTTCCAGGATTTTCTTTAGTCAGAACAATGGTTCATCCTTTTGAGTCCCAATGTACTATTGGTGAGTTGGTTTTGTTTTTGTTTGTTTGTTTTTAATTAATCCTCACTCAAGGATATTTTTCCATTGATTTTGAGAGAGATAGAGACAGAGACAGAGAGGGAGAGGGAAAGGGAGAGAGAGAGAGAAACATCAATGTGAGAGAGACACACTGATTAGTTACCTTCTGCATGTGCCCTGACCAGGGCCAGGGACAGAACCTGCAACCCAGGTACATGCCCTTGACCGGGAATCAAACCCGCAACCCTTCAGTCCAAGGGCCAACACTCTAACTGCTAAGCCAATGCTCCAGGACTTGGTAGGTTGCTTTCATGCCTGTATTCCCCACATGACAGAACAGCCTTGAAAGCAGGCACCGTATTTTTGTGTTCCTTTCTGCACCTAGCAACATTTTTTCACAGATGGAATGCAAAATATGTGCTATCTAATTAAATAATAATTTCCCCCTGGAATCTCCTTATATCAACCTATTCCAATAGAAATAATTTAGGAATTCCCTTTATGAATCCGCGTGAATATAACATTCTAAAAATTTCCATCAAAATTTGAGGCAATTAAATTAGTTCAACTTTAAATAATTTTAAAAATAACATTACTTTTGTTTGCTTTTACATTTTAGATTTTTTTTATTCATTATGATCTCATTTTCTTATTTTACTTTATTTATGTATTTTTGTTACAGATGTTTCTCCTTTTTCTCCCACTGACACCCTCCTCCCCCTCCCTCCCCGCCCTGTCCCCAGCTTTGTTGTCCATGTCCATTGTTCATGCATACATGCATATAAGTTCTGTGATTTATCTCCCCCCCACCCCTCTTCTGGGGATTGTCAGTCTGTACCCCACCTCCATGTCTCTGGGACTACCCTGTTCTTCAGACTGTTATGTTCATTATATTCCACAAATAAGTGAGTATGATCTCATTTTCTTAAAAATATTTTTAAATTGATATTTAGAGAGAGAAGAAGAAAGAATGAGAGAGAGAGAAACATCAATGTGAGAGCTGAACATCAATTGGCTGCCTCCTGCACGCCCCCTACCTGGGACCAAGCCTGCAACCCGGCATGTGCCCTGACCGGAAGGGAACCAGCGGCCTTGCCGTGCATAGGCCAATACCCAACCAACCGAGCCACATAGCCAGGACTATTATGATCTCATTTTAAATAAATATTCACTTGTAATAAAATAAAATATGAGAGGCAGAACCTCAAGTCCAAATTGGAGTGGGTGATACGGTTCCTTGAGGAGTTTCTAATTGGCTGAAGTTTCATAATGTTCTGTCGTCTCCAAAATCTTCAGACTGTCTTACAAAAACATGAAACAAACTGTAGACACAAAACGTACCTGGGTCAAACTGAATCAGTTTAGATGGAGTCACTGTAAAATCTTTTCCAACTGTAGCTGACACTTGGTTGACCTTAAAAGGGGGAAAAAATGTCCCTTTTTAATAAAAATAAATATTCTATAATAGAGAAGCCTGTAGTCTAGACTAAACTCACTCCTAAAATGTTTTTAACATAATGTGTTTTTTTATTATAATAAATCATTTTTGATCCAAGCTACATGGATCTTCCTTCAAGTTAACATTTTTCTAAACTAATATCAATGGAAATAAAGTTTTTTGGTTTCTTCTTTATAAATGATTCAGTTACTGGGGAAAGGCGGTTTACATGAATTTTAAACAATATTTTTCTCTTTGTTACCAGTGGGATTTTATCTAATTGCCTCCCCTTTATCCCAACCTGGTTCTAAAATAGTGCCCAGAGGGAAGGCCAGCCGAGGAGAGAGGCGAGAGGCGGGAAGACACTGGCCGGGCAGCTGCGCGCTGGGGGCCGGAGCCCCGAGGTCTGTATCCTGCCAGCTCCAGGGCCCCGAAAGCCTTTGACTGGACGAATTAGAGCAAGTCTGCTACTTTCCTGGAGGAAAGAAGCCGCCCCTCGCGGACGTGAATGAGGACTTTGTAGGGATCCCAGACCTGATGAACAGATGCACAAAGGCATCCACACTCTACCGAGTTGCAAAACAAACAGCACCAACAGCACACACAAACGTTGCTCTAATTTAAAGAAACTATCAACTGACGCCCTGTTCCCCATTCCTAGGGCTAAACGCCAGAGGTGATTTAAGGGCTCTCAGCCGTGGCTTAACTGCCCCCGGGAGCGCCTGCTTATGTATAAGGTTAAGACGTGTCTTTGGCTGCAGGAGAGGTCACCGGATGAGAACCCTGTGGAAAGCACAGGCAGCTGTTACTTGTGCGTTTTTTGGACGTTTAAGGTGGTTAGGGAAGTGGGCTAATCTATTTCTTCACTTTCTGACAAAGAAATGAAATGCACAATTTTAAAAGAACTCTTCTTATTTCTATGACCTGAGACGTTATCTCCATTTTTAATCAAAAGCCCTGCCGTCTACCAATGGGTCTGGGTGGACACGGTTTGCTCAGGAGGTTTGCTCAGGAAGGGGGTTGCCTCCTAAAGCCCCCTTGCTCTTTGCCTGCAGTGCCACAGCTCTCCCTGTGGAGTCTGTCCCCGCGCCCACACCCGCTGCGCCCGCACACCGTGCCCCGGGCTGGGTCCCCGCGTGGCTCCCGCACAGTCACCGGTGTTTACCACCGCTGAGCTGACACAACCTGCGTGGGACAAGGAACGGTCTGAGGCGAGGGAGTTGGAGAAAACAGTGCGGTGAAGGTGCACGATTTCAACGAGGGCAAACAGCGCGGGTCAAGTGCTTGCTCCGTCCCTGCTCCCGGTCAGGTCGCAGGAAGCTGTGGGAGGAAGCAGCAGGCTGTGGCTGTGGGCACAGCCGTCCCTGGAGGACTCGGGGCTGAGGCTGAGGAAGGCGTGCACACCCAGCTGGCAGGTTCACCGTGTGCATTCAGCTTAAGTACACAAAAGGGTCCACGTCTCACCACATCTGTTCTTTCTACCTGGCAAGGTGAATGGTAGTGTGGCCCAAGGCTCCAGACTCCAGCATTTGGAGCTCTCCATGGAGGACCCCAGGACTACTAGAAAACCATCCAGGCAGATTCTTTCTTTCTCCATAAGCAATCTGCTGGAAAATTAGAGGGCACACCACGCTGATGTTTCAACAGCAATAAAGCACCCACAGATCTGGGGCGAAGAACCTACACCCATTGGAAAGGTAAAGACCGAGTCTGGCTGTGGTAGAATTGAGGTGTACAAGGTTCTGGGGGTCATTTGAGGTTATTCTTGTAATTCAGACATAACCGAGATGCCATTTTATTCCAGAAGCTAATACCAGCATCCCTTTCATTAGACCGAGGAGGGGAGTCTCAAGGCTTGTTTGCTGTCATTAGTACGTAAAAGCTTTGCATGCTTTTATTCCCTTCAGTGCTATTGTGGTAGCAACTCCTAAGTTTCAACTGGAGCAGCCATAGGCTGTGCTTCCAGATCCATGTCAATAGAAAGGGATAGCAAGTTGACTGATCCCAAAGTGATTATTGAAAATTTCTTATACTGAAATATGCTCTCTTAATTTTGCATGGCTTTCGGACACTTAAGATAGGTTTGTCTCCTGATTTTCCTTACCCACTGAGTCCAAAGGAAGTGATCCTGGTGCTTACTAAGGGAAAGCCATTTGGGGACTGAAGCTGGCTTGGGTACCTCACAGCATGTCTTGCCTACAACACCTCTTTCCAAAGCAGAGTGTGGCCCAAGTTCATGAGGTTGGATATATCTCCCTCTGAAACCAAACTTCAAAACTTAATAACCAGATTTAAAAACTAAAAATGGGCTAGAAATATCCTATCTAGGAGTTAATGAAGCTAGATAAGGATGGAGGGACAAGGAGATTTGGTACCTAGAATCTCCAGAATAGTGTGACAGTCCCACAGTGTTAAATTTCCTTGGTCACTCTGATTTTTTTCTAAGAAAATAATCAAAGGCAATAATCAGCAACCTAAGTTTTGGCTTTGACAGTCTGCATATGAGAGCTGGTACCTTTACACTCACGAAGGCCGAGTCCATGGAATAGCCCCGTCTGGTGATTTCCAAGGGCAACACCCCCACGTTCTCACAGACCTCATATTCAGTTTGTGACCACTCAATGTGAGACCACTTCAGTTCCAAACTGTGTGTGAAAGAAAAAGAAAAGGGAAAATCGTAAGAGATGCGTATACATGTCCACAGCAGTCCTCTGGGTAGGACACCGAACCACTGGGGCACATCCCGGTGACAAACGTGGCTCATCAACCTACACCAACGCTAGAGATCTGGACACTTGTTTGCTGCATTTTAGTTCACAAAGAACTTTTGCTAACCTTATCTCATTTAACACTCTCTTATAGCAACACCATGAGATAGACAAATTATTAGAATTCTATTTTGCAAACGCAGAAACTGAGTCTAAAAGACTGTCGGCGTGCCCACAGTTGCCAATGACCAGAGGACTCAAACTTGAGTGTTCTGAAGGGAAAGGAGCCAGCAGTTGTGAAGCCCAAGGAGACATTCATTTTTGGAAAGGACACTGATGTGGAACCTATTCTCGTATCTTTGGCCTTCCGCATCAGTCCACCAAGAACTGTTCCCAGTGCAGATCTTTTCTGAACTTGGGGTCAGTTCAATAACAAGCTGTCTTTGAGGATGTGCCTACAAATTAAAATGTGCAGGTGTTTTATAAGCATTATCTGTTTCTTCTTCTATGCATATAAAAGAACTCGACTACGATGTAGCTCAGATGCAGCTATACAGCTGAATGAACCTCATACAGGGTTGTCTTTGTCCCCACAATGTATTTGGCGAGCCCAACATTTGATGGAAACTGTCTTCTTTAATCCTCATATGGAGAGAAACTTTTTTTCTTTTCAGAAAAAAAGACCGAGCCCAAGAGAGATTAAATAACTAGTTCAAAGACAAAAAAAAAAAAGCTATGACAAAGCTAATAGATAGCAGAGAAGAAATTCCCAGGATAAATCTGAAGCCAAATATCCTGTTCCGTCTGTACCATTTTTCTTCCCAACTGAAGTTCATGACTCTTGTGTTTGAGCTCCAGCAGAAAAACACAATTATATCTTTATCCTGAACTATTTCCCTCTTTGAGGTTAAAAAACTTAAAATGTTATGCTCAGACATTTCTCCCCAAACACGTTGTTACGTTTCTTTACCCCGTAACCTTCAGAAATATACAAGACACTAGCAATCTTTACTGTGATCATTTAACACACGTTCATTGCTTTTGTTTCATTCATTCCCTTTCATTTTACATTTACAAAACCCTCAGTGGTTGCCTTGCTATATTTTCAAACTGCCAATTGGATTCGGGCTCTTTCCTCTAGATTAAAATTTTTTAAATATTTTTTTTCTTGCAGAACTAGAAGTGCTGGGTGAAACTAGAACTGGAAACATGGAGTCCTCAGATCTCACAGGACTCTCCAGGCTTTCATGGGTCTATTCATGTTAGAGAGTGAGTTCATCTTCTAACAATCTTTAGGGCTTTATGTCCTTACTCCAATCATATGTCACAGTCACATCCCATGTACTAAGTCCACTAGCAAAACAAACTCACTAGGACTGTCTCCTGCTTCAACGACCATGGACCGTGGGACAGACGTGGAAGCCGGAATTGTTGCAGAGGTTAGTGAAGCTCTAGGAACACTGATGTTTATTTATCAATAGATATGAAATTTATTGTTACTGGCATGTTGGGCTTCATAAAATTTTGACATAAAAATAGGATCCTTACATTAAATAATATTGGAAACCTCGTGGGTCTTTAATGCACCTGAACTCCAATCTGACATGAAATGGATCAAGGAATAAAGAAATAAATGACTATGCTTTAAAAAGTACAAGACAACAAGCAACAAGGGTATTATAAATTCCAATAAAAATAACATTCTATCATTATTATTCCAATTAATTCTGTTATTATTCTAATCTAAATACCATGTTGCAAAGAATTCCTGAAGGATTCAGGCTAAAGGAGAAAGGAGAAAATCAGCAAAAGAGATTGGGTGAAAAGGCAAAAAGTGTGAAGCAGGAAAGCAATGGGAATGGGGGAAATAGATAAATATGAATGAATTTCAGCTAAGTCTCAGTAAGGCTCAAATGAGTTTCCATGTCCAATCTCCTGAGAATTTATCCCCTGCTAACGCTAACCGTGACAAGCAGATTCATCAGTGTCCCGGTGCAGACCCAGAGGACCTCAAGGCCTGAGCTCCGTGCAGTCTGACGGTGGGCCGAGGTCCGTAACGGTCTATGCACTTCAGCTGCAAAGCGCAAAGGGCCTTGGTGTTTGGGAAGCGCCTGTATTTCCCTGCTGCACCATTGGAGCGAGGCATGATGCACAGAGGTCCAGGTTGTCGTTACACAATGTTCTATTTTATTTTCTTGAAACCACTCACTACAAATAATAAAGATCTACTGAGAAGCCATAAAATTTAGGCTCGGCTATCTATTAAAAAAAACATAAAAACATTGCGGACCACTTGTACACCTATGGGATACGTGTAACACGCGTTTGGAATGTTTTCGCAGTGCTGTGTTTGAGGACATCTTTCTACGCTGAGACTGTGGTTGCCTAAACTCTACACAACGCCCGGAGGAAAGGGAAGAAGCAGAGTCGCACACGTGGGAATTCCCTGCCAGAAGCCACAGCTGTATGCGTGGCATCAGTGGGCCACCAGATGCAGGAGCCCGGCAGAGAACTCTGGAAAGCTCTGAACATGTAAGTGTCATGTAGATAGGGGTTGGTTCAAACCTGCACATTTTAATGTCCCCCCACCCCCTTCCCCCTTACTGTTGAGTAAAACTCATTCTAAGGTCAGAAACAAAGCCTCTGACATACTTTTGCAAAACGCATATGGCAGTCATTTCAAGTCACTGAGCAGGAGGTGAGAACTCCTGGAGCCCCAGGTCTGGGTTTCTCAGCCTTGACCCCATGGACACCTGGGACCTGACAGTTCTTTGCTGTGGAAGGTGGCCGGTGCCCGGTAAGATGTCCAGCAGCGTCGCTGGCCTCGACCCACCAAATGCAGTGGCTCTGCGCCCTCCAGTCACGACACACTCTTCCCACACATTTCCACATGTCCCTTGTGGGGAAGTCATCCCCAGCTGAGAAACACTTTGCTAAGTGATTGGGGGGCACTCATCACAAGAGAAAATTTGATGTGATGTGAAAACTAAACTTTGGTTCCTACAACCACTGTCGTGAATGGAAGACATAGGATGAAGTAGTAGAGATTAAACTGGATTAGAGGTCATGAGGCTTCTGGTCCCTCTGTCACTCACTGACTCCAAGTCAGGTACAAGAAGCTGTGTAAACACTCAATTTAAAATTGCAATCCATTTCCAAAGTCCAGCTTCTGCGATTCCCCTTATTCCAACCAACTTTTTCATTTTCCAAAATATGTATCACATACATTTTAAACATACTATTTAATTTATTTAGATACTATGTATGCTCCAAGTAAAGCAGGGTCTTGTTCATTGATGTATTTCCAAGTCCCTTAAAAGGCAAGTGAATGCTCAATAAATATTTGTTAAATAAATTTTCTTTATTTTTAATTTTTTAAAATTTTTTATCCTCACCTGAGGACATTTTCCCTTTTTTTTTTTGTTCAGATAGAGTGGGAGGGAGAGAGAGGGAGAGAGAGAGAGAGAGAGAGAGAGAAACATCAACGTAAAAGGGACACATTGAATGACTGCCACCCGCACAACCCAACCAGGGCCGGAGACAAACTACAACTGAGGTACGTGCCCTTATCGGGAACCGAACACAGGTCTCTCGGGACCGCAGGCCGACTCTCTAACCACTGTGCCAGACTGGCCAGGGCATGTTAAATAAATTTTCTTTAGCCCACTGTTTCCTAAGCTAAGTTGACGACCAAAACTTTTTTCTCCACAGCCCTATTAACATCAGACTGCATACAATTTGGGGGGGAAATGCTAGCCTAGGATGATCCTCATATGTCCTCTCTAGCCCTGATTTATTCTGGGTTCTTTGGCTATGACTGGACTTCACTAGAGAGAAAGATGGCTTTGGTGAAAGAGCATTCTACCATGCATCGTGATTTCGTAACACACATATATGCTATTTTCTAAAGAGGGTGCACGGTTCCCAACATTTGGCAGTGTCTAGAGAGAGCCTGGATTGTCACAGGGAGGGTGTGGTACCAGCATGTAGTGGGTAGAGCCCTGGGACGCAGCTAAACATCCTGCAACACACGGGACGCCCACCCCACCCCCACCCCGCGACAAAGAATCGGCTGGCCCAAAATGTCAATGGTGCTAAAGCAAAGGCATAATATATACTTTCTGACAGTTTTATTTTGTGGTTACTTGATTCATTTATATGAAGGAACCGTAAACTTAAAGAAACATTTATGATTAAAACTCCAGTTGGAGATTTAGGACATCAATCTAGGTTAACAAGAGTGTGTAAAAACTAAAAGGTACTTAGCCGCTCTATACCTGTTTCCTCACAGCCCTCAGCGCAATAATCATGAGTCTGTGTACTTCAAAGGGTTAATGAACCTTAATGAATACCCATTAAGTATTTTGAGCTTCTCAGTGAAAGGTTTGATAGAAGCTAAAACTGTGATTTGTGATTAAATTATTCTTGTAACTAGATCTTCATCTGTAATCAAGTGGCATATGACTCTAAAAAACTGATGTTAAAAAATATTTTTCCAAGTAGTCAATCTAAGATTTATCCATTCAAAGAGGATGCTATTAGGCTCCATAATGGAATGCTGGGAACATGTGGGTTTTCCTGTCCGTCTTCCTCCCGTGACCCTGGGGAAGCGTGTCTGGCCAGAGGCAGCGCGGACACCCACACGAGCGCTCTGGACGCAGGCTGGTCTCACAACCACTGACTAGTGTGTGGCTGCGGTCAGCTCCTCAGTCTCGCTGGCCCTCGTCCTGATCTTCACAATGAGGAGACTCGCACTCATGTCAAGGGATGAGGATGGACATGTGTTAACACGCAGAAAGCACCTGCACACCGGAGTGCATTTCCCTTTCCTTCCCCTGCGTTTGCCCAGAGTGAATCTGGAAACACTCTAACTTCTGGCTGGCGGTAGCACGAGAGCTTTACCCAGCCCGTTGTTTCAACCTCTTCCCCCGCAGGGTGCTTCATAAAAGCTGCCAAAGCATTGCAGAGTTCACCTATTAGACCTTCCTTTTCTTTTTCATTTCTTTGGTCCCTTCTCTTTTAAGGCCAAGAATGAACAAAGAGCCGCTGGAGTGAGGGCTGCCGGAGGGAGGAACTGGGCGCTGGAGGCAGGCAGCGGCTGGAGCAGCCGGAGCCCAGTGGGGACAGCTTTTCTGTCGAAGGTCACGTTCTGTCTGCGCTCCAGAGAGAGGTCAGTGTGGAAGACATGAGGAAACCGCTCAAAGTTGGCTGCACGCTGTGGTCTGCAAAGGTGTTCCGATCGATGAACGGTGTGGGCCCTGTGTCGTTCAGTTCGAGAATTCTGAGCATCATCTTGAGACCCAGGTTTGGACGGGAGAACAGACTTGAGTCTGTGAGCGAGTCGCGCCGAGGCATGAGCCACCAAGGTGAAGAAGATGAGCGTTCTTTGAGGTCAGGAGGTCAGCGTTCACTTTCGGCTCTGCCACTCAGCCACGTAAGTGACTTCAGGCCAATTACTTAAATGCTTTGAGCCTGGTTTCCTTGTAACCCTCAGAGGACCATGCTTTGTAGATTAAATTAGACAACGTATGTGAAAGTACCTAGCACAGTACCTGAAATTTAGGCATTTAGCCATGTCTAAATCTTTATGCAAATCTCCATGGACTTCAGTGTTATAAAATAATTTTTATTTATGATGAAATGCCTCCCAAGTATTCCATGAAAAACTGGTTCCATGCCCTGGCCAGTTTGGCTTAGCTGTTCGAGCGTCGGCCTACAGACCAAAGAGTCCCGGGTTTGGTTCCCGCTAAGGGCACGTACCCAACAAAAACCAAACAAAAAAACTGGTTCCATGAGCTAATGTAGGGGTGGGGCAGTAAAGGGAGGGAGAAGTATTTCTATAGTCAAATCAAGTTCAGATGTGCTACATACTATATTCCTCCCTCAGAGATCCCCAGTCCATAGAAGGGTCTCTATGATTCTGGGATGTGATGCAGTTAAACAGCACACAATCTAGCTAGATACTAATAACCGTATTAGTTTAGCCCAAATCAGATTTCATAGCATCTTTTTTTTTTTTTTTTTTTTTAAATCCTCACCCGAGGACATTTTTCCATTTTTTGTTCAGGTAGAGTGGGAGGGAGAGAGAGGAACAGAGAGAGAGAGAGAAACATCGATGTGAAAGGGACACATCCAGTGGCTGCCACCCACATGACCGACCAGGGCTGGGGACAAACTGCAACCGAGGTACGCACCTTTAGCGGGAACCGAACCCGGGTCTCTCAGGACCGCAAGCCGACACTCTAACCACTGAGCCAAACTGGCCAGGGCCATAGCATCTTTTTTAATGGAACATTCATTGACTCTTCAGGACTGGTATTCCATAGAAATGGTGCAAGAGCAAAAACTTATTAGCAATCAAGATTCTGGGACCTTCCCACTGAACATAGGTCCTTCTCATTTTTTAAGAGACCCCCCCAACCTTCTGCTCCAGATTGCACCCATCAGTCCCTTTAGCTTTATTACAGATGGGTGTTGCTCCTTCAAAGAGGCAGAATATTAATCTATTCAAAGAATAACACAAAGTGGTACAGCATTTAGCTTGTTGATTATGAGAATATTTTTTTTTTTTTTTTTTTTTTTTTATTTATTTTTATCCTCACCCGAGGACATTTTTCCATTTTTTGTTCAGGTAGAGTGGGAGGGAGAGAGAGGAACAGAGAGAGAGAGAGAAACATCGACGTGAAAGGAACACATCGAGTGGCCGCCACCCGCACAACCGACCAGGGCCGGGGACAAACTGCAGCCGAGGTACGTGCCCTTAGCGGGAACCGAACCCGGGTCTCTCTGGACCGCAGGCCGACGCTCTAACCGCTGAACCAAACCGGCCAGGGCGATTATGAGAATATTGATAGTTCACTTTGTGAATCAACCCAGCATCAATTTCTAATTAGAGGTGGGCTTTAGCTGGCTACCTAATGTCTCTGGAATACTTCTTCAAACAGTCAATCTTTGCACCCACATGAACGAGCAACAATAGTAATCACTACCACAAGTTAAACTTGTTAATGACTTTAAATATAAAAAATGCCTTCATAGGTTTTTGCCTCATTTGTTTCTCCAAACAAATTTTGGTGTTGCCCCCATTTGACAGATGAGATAACTAAGGCCTGAACAATTGCCTAAGTTAATGGCAGAGTCAAAGCCCAAACCCTGCTCTTTGGCTCTAAATCCAGTGGTTTATTATGTATTTTCTTTAAAAATTCCTGGGGTGTAGACATAGAGTACATGGTAATATTAATACCTATAAGTTATATTTTAAAAAACCACTAAAACTTAAGATCCTTGAAGACTAAGTATTCGTCCCTTCTTGCTGCCTGGGTGGCCAGTGATTGGAGTGAAAGAAGCCAGAGCCTGTGGCTCCCTTCCCGTAAGCCAGTTAGCATTCCTTGATAAGAGGGACAAGGAGTTCTTTCATGCACTGAGGACAACCATGGACTCTAGAGCCATACTTTCCGGTCCTGAATCCCAGCTCCTTCACTAATTAGCTACATAAGCTTGGAAAAATCACATCCTATTTTCCTACTTCAGTTTTCTCACATGTAAATTCTGTATTATGATGGTAACTACCGCATAGGTGGTCATGATGATTAAATAAAAAGCAATGAAATAGAGCAGAAAACAATTATATTGCAAATGCCTGTGATTTATATTGTATGTGTAACCAGATTCTTGTTGGCTGTCTTGGGAAGGCAAACCACTATTGATAAGATTGTTTCTTACTGGGAAAAAAATGTGCTTCTTGTTCCAAAAACCTCTAATCAATGAGGGTGGAGACAACTACACCATTAAAAAATTATGGACATAAATGCTGAGTAATTTCTACCTTCCTCTGTCCATTCTAAAGAAAACAATTTAATATACATCAGAACCAAATTAAAATTATTTTTTTGTTAACCTTTGGTAAACATTTTGTTCCATTGATTTAAATCATTTCAAGCTGAATTAGAAACACCTTCATCATTAGTATATGAAAATTAATATCTGACACAAGCAGAAGCCAATTTAAAATAGCCTCATTAATCCTAAAAGCTGAGGATTATTTTAAAACATAAATATCTTCACAAGCAATTCCTTTGTAACAACGAAGAATAAGAAGGGCATGTAAGTGAAGTAACATCAGTGCAGTATTATTGCTGGGGCAAGAATTATCATCTGTGCTGTGTTCACGCACGGAGGGCCAGCAGTCAGCATTAGGTCAGCAGCGAGTCTGAACAGTATTCTTATTTATATTTTTTAGTTGAACTATTAAAAAGCAAGTAAAGTCAATTTATTAATGTTTTAGGAGCAGGGTGTTTTTTTTTTTTAACATTCTCTTGAGTCGAAAGATGTTTGTCTGAAATTGCCAGTAGTTATACTTTCTCTAAAGGAAATCTTGTGGAATCGTTTCTCCTAGGCAAGAGCCCTGTAATGAGTGATGATCTGTTTCAATTTTATAATTTCATGATTATATTAAATGTCAGGGGTGAGGCCTTCCTTGTTCATATCTATTTATCAGTGTCTAATATTGTGCACGTAGCATACAGCAGCCACTCAATAAAAATCTGTGGGTTAATAAATCGGAGCCAGATAGTACACCTTATCAGGGCAATGGAGGTGGAACCCTGGGAACGTGTTTTGTCAGGAGGGGGCCGGTTTTTCTAACAATGTCTACAGAGACCTCTGCTGGTAAATGTTGGAACTACAATCAGGATCAGAAAGAAAAAGCAAGAGAGCAGAGGTGAATTTCTCAGTTTTCTTTGTCCATATTCTGTCATAAAATCCCATAAAGAGGATGTACTCACTTGCGATGTGTAGCTTTACTAGGATACAGTTAATACCAACTTTTCTTTGAGGTGCCTGGGGAAGGGTATAAACGTCAAAAGAAAGAAAAACAGCACAAGAACCGGACTGTAATACATCCCTCTGCAGCCATCCAATAACTGGTCATTATTCAAGGTCCACCTTCCCAAAGGGTCTAGAAGAGGGACCCAGTGAGTGAAATTACTGTGGTCTGTAAATCTTGTGAATTTTGAGGATTTCTTACTCTTGTTATTGTGAGGGTTGTACACATTTTACAACTTCTCGGTGTCAGTTCATTACCTCCCCGTCTATTTTCCTCGTTGCCTGTCTTCATCTGACCTACGATAGGTTTATTAACTTGTAAAGGCAGTCTCAAGGAATCTTTTTTTGGTTTGGTTTTCTGGAAGGGAAGAGCGGCTTTGCTAACCCTTCCCGGCTGCCGCCTTCCTGGCTGTCCGCGGACTGTCACTAACACGGTCCTAGAGTGACCTCTGGCTGCGCGATTTGTACATGAGCCCGCAAGCTGCGTCCTGGGTGCCAGTGAACTGTCGCCACAGAGCCCCTCGCCTGTGAACCTGCGAGCATTCACACGCATGCACTGAATGACCCAGCGTGGCAGCGCGTAGCTTTCTAATGCTTTAATACTCTGCAGCGCTACTGGTTTTTCAATTATACAGCAGTCATAGGAAGAAAAATCACTCTCCAAAATACACTCCACGAGCTTGTGAATTGATCTATTAATTTATCCTCTTAGATTCTGTTGGAAAAACAATTCATCTTCCTAATCAGAAACATTCTGGACATTATATGCAGGACTACCGAATAAGCAAAAGAATTTACATTTGAGGAGTGGCCGAGTTCCCTGTAGGGTCCATGATTTGAAATTCCATGGTATCTGAATTAAATTCCAAAGATGCGTTTATGATGTAAAGAATGGTCTTACTGTTTAAGTCCTTTTGGCTAAATTTCTCATGGATAAATTCACCTACAGAAAAGAAATAAATGGCTTTAGTGGGTAAGCAAACACATAGTAAATAAGAGCTGATAAAATTGTATGGCTATTTTATTTTAAATATCAGCTTTGAAAATCTCTAAAGTATATATTTTAAAGAAATTAACAATATTACAACCATCTTAATACTCGTATGCAATGAACTTAAATTAGTCTTTAAAGTCCACTTTGTCTCAGAAATATTGTGCCTTAAAGAAAATATAAAAATAGAGGGAGAAGAGATAGATACAGTAATAAAATCTGTAATTCTGTGCCATCCTCTTTAGTGATATATTTTGATCACCATCTTCATAAAGCAGAAATAATATACAATCCAGAGAAACCATTATACCAAAAACAAACCAGAATTTTTCAAATAAACTCATAGCATTTAGAATTTATGATAGAAACACATTAATCACAAATATGAATTTGGCCCTCACACTCAGTGTTCCTCTGAATACTTTATAATCTAGCTGTTTTTGTTTTTTAAGTAAAACAACAACAGTATATAAGGAAATGACATATCAGTATTTGGTTCTCTCATCAAGATGAATTTGAGAAGGCTCTGCTTCAAACTCTCTTTTTCACCAATACTGATTTATAAACGGCATCTATCAGTAAGCCCTTGGGAGTGTTTACCAAATGGGCCTGCACTTAATTAAATTACTTTCTAGCATTGCCAGCCACTGGGCATTATAAAATGAGCAGTTACAAGGATTCAGGAAGACAGTACCTGTTGTGTTCTCCAGATGTCCATGTTGGGGGCCCCGTAAAATCTTAAAGATAATCTGATCGTCGTCGGTGTCAGGGTCCGATGCCTTCAACACACGAGAAGTGATGTAAATCCCGTAACAGCCATTTTTCAGAAGCCCCACTTGAGAAGGGGAACGCAAGTGTGTGAGGTGGGGGGCTGTTCTGTCCAATGGGTCCACCTAAATTGTCAATAATTACACACAAGTTCATACAAAGGCTTCTTATCTCCATGGGGTCTTAATGGTTAACAATGACAAACTCCTGAATTTCATTCAGATTCCTTATCCTTTTCTTTGGTTAATTCCTGCTAAAGACTGTCTTGTTCACAATATTCTCAGCAAAATCATAGTGCCTGGAACTGAGGTAGATTTTCCATTGTAAACTTTGACCCAGCTTTATGTATTTGTTTGACTCCCCCATTAGGATTGAAGCTCTCCCATCTATTACTTACACCTGGCACAGTCCTGCACAACAGGAGCTCGAGGAGTATTTGTTGAATGAATATATTAAGATTGACCCAAGAACTGTATTGCAAATTTCATGTTAGCTCCACAGAAGGATTCCCCCATTTTTCCAATATTTGGTTATTTACAGAAACAAGGGTATATGGGTTTACAAATGCTTTGAACACTTTTTGTTATGTCTTTGTTCAAATAGCAAAAAAATGTTCAATAAAAATAGAAATACTTCAGTAAGAAAATAATGCAGGTAATTATTTATGGGCATGTGTGTATCTGTTTCATTGAGGATGAGAACCAGGAAACTAAACAGGTGAAGTCAATTTGTGAAGATGGTGGATGGGCAACTACTCATGAGTGAAAGAAGTGTGTAGTTTCCAACACTACAAAGAGCCTCATTCTGTGTGGTATGGAGCTTGGTCCACCTTGCAAATAACTGTTGTATGTTAGGGATGCAACAGGTTGAGGTGGATTATCACAATCCACCACTGACACTAGAAAACAGGTGCAAGAACACTAATTTCATTCTCCTTACTCCTAAACATTCAATTCTTAACTTCATTTCCCCAAAAATGATTTCACTATAAATCTTAGTTCACCCTAGCAAAGTGAAGAATACACACACACACACACATACATATACACACACATACATATACACACACACATACATATACACACACACATATATATACACACACACATATATACACACACACATATATATACATATATACACACACACATATATACATATATACACACACACATATATCATGATGATATAATGAACTACTATTCAGCTCTTAAAAAAGAAAAAAGAGGTAGAATGAACTCTTAATAATTTCTGCAACTTAGTGTTGACTGGTTAAAAAAACCATTGTTTTTACAGGATAGAAGACAACGATAATACCATTTTTGTTCAATCAAACACATATATATGTTCATAAGACATAGGCAAAGCTGCGGGAGCATTTGCACAAACCTATACATTTGTCTTGGGGTGGAGAAAATCCACCATTTCTCCTTTGTGTATTTCCATATGGAATTTTTAAATAACCAAATAGTAGTTTTCCCTCTCAGATTGGCAAGGTCCTTGTTGATTAACGAAAATAATCATAAGAAGTTGACGATGACACAAATAAATGGAAGAGTATACCATGCTCAAGAACTGGAAGAATCAATATCATTAAAAAGTCCATACTACCCAAAGCAATATACAGATTCAATACAATTCCTATCAAAATACAATGGCTTCTTTCACAGATCTAGAACAAATAATCTTAAAATGTATATGAAATCATAAAAGACCCTGAATAACTGAAGCAATCTTGAGAAAGAACAACAAAGTTGGAAGTATCATATTCCCTGATTTGAAACCATACTATAAAACTATAGTGATCAAAATAGTATGGTACTGGCACAGAAACAGACACATAGATCAATGGAACAGAAATGAGAAAGCCCAGGAATAAGCTCATGCTGATATGGTCAAAAATCTACAACCATGGAAGCAACAATATACACTGGGGAATAGTCTCTTTAATAAATGGTATTGGAAAAGCTAGACAGCTACATGTAGAAAAGAAAAAAGAAAGAAAATGGACCACTTTCTTTCACCATATAAAAAATAAACAAACAGCCCTGGCCGGTTTGGCTCAGGGCCTGCGGTACAGAGAGACCCAGGTTCGGTTCCCACTAAGGGCACGTACCTCGGTTGCAGTTTGTCCCCGGCCCTGGTTGGGTCGTGTGGGTGGCAGCCACTCGATGTGTCCCTTTCACGTCGATGTTTCCCTCTCTCTCTCTTCCTCTCTCTCCCTCCCACTCTATCTGAACAAAAAATGGAAAAATGTCCTCGGGTGAGGATAAAAAACAAAAACAAACAAACAAAAATAAACAAACAAAAAAAGGATTAAAAACTTAAATGTAGGACTTGAAACCAACAAACTAGAAGAAGAGATAGGCAATAAAATCTTTGACACCAGTCTTGACAATGTCTTTTAGATACGTATCTTCGGGCAAGGGCAACAAAAGCAACAGTAAACAAATGGGACTACATCAAACTAAAACGTTTTTTCACCGCAAAAGAAACCACCAACAAAACAAAAAGACAACCTACTGAATGGGGGAAGATATTCACAAATGATATATCTAATAAGGGGTTAATATCCAAAATATATAAAGTACTTATACAACACAACATCAAAAAATATATGATTAAAAAGTGGGCAGAGGAGATAGATATTTCTCCAAAAAAGACATACAGGTGGCCAACGGACTCATGAAAAGATGCTCAACATCAGTACGCATCAGGGAAAGGCAAACCAAAGCCATAATGAGCTATTTATACTATTAGAATAGCTATTATGAAAAGACAGCAAATAACAAGTGTTGGCGAGGATACTGGGAAAAGAAAACCCAACTGCGCTGGTGGTGTGATTTTAAACTGGTGCAGCCACTATGGAAAACAGTGTGGAGATTCCTCAAAATTTGAAAGTGGAAATACCAGATGACACAGCAATTCCACTTCTACGTATTTATCCGAAGAAAACAGAAACACTAATTTGAAAAGACATATGCATTCTCGTGTTCCGTGATAATGCAAAGATATGGAAGCAGCCTAGTTGTCCATTGACAGATGAATAAATAAAGAAGATGGGGTACATATGAAATGTAACTCAGTCATTAAAAAAATAAAATCTTGCCATTTGTGACAACATGGATGAACCCAGAAGGTATTATGATAAGTAAAATAATAATTTAAACTGAAAAAGACAAATACCATATGACTTCATTCACATGTGGAATCTAAAAAACAAACATACGAATAAACAAAACAAAATAGAAATAAAATCATAGATGCAGAGAACAAAATATTGGTTACCAGAGGGGAGGGCTGTGGGGGATGGGCAAAAAGGTGAAGGGGATGGAGAAGTGTAAGCCTCCAGTTACAAAATAAATTCGGCTCAGGGATGTAATGCACAGCATAGGGGATATAGTCAATAATATTGTAATAACGTTGTACGGTGATGACTGGTTACTAGACTTTTTGTGGTGATCAGTGAGTAAAGTACATTAATGTTGAATCACTATGTTGTAAATATGACACTAATATAAAATTGTATGTGAAATATACTTTAATTTTTAAAAAAATTTTTTAAATATTTTTTCTTTATTGATTTTAGAGAGAGGGAGGGAGAAGGAGAGAGAGATAGAAACATCGATGAGAGAGAACATCAATTGGCCGTCTCCTGCATGCCCCCACTGGGGTTTGGGCCCACCACCTGTGCCCTGACCAGGAATTGAACCAGCAGCCTCTTGGTGCATGGGTCAACGCTCAGCCACTGGGCCACACTGGCCGAGCTAATTCAAAATCTTTTGAGAAAAATCATAAATCATGTTGGGTAATGTCTGAAGGAATAGGCATTCTATATTTTGCTGATAGGAGTGCAAATTACTGAAAAATTTCTGAGTAGAAATTTGGAATGTACGTATACTGAAATGTGCATATACTTTGATCCAAAACTTTCACTTTTTAAAGTATATCCTCTGGAAATATTTAGACATGTACATAAAAATGTATATATATGGATACTCACTAAAATATAATATATAGCAGCAATTAACAAAAATTCCAGAAGACATAAAAGTCCAACAGTGGATTTGTAAACCATCTCTACCTGAGACTAAATGCTATGCTGCCTTAACAATCACGTTTTCAAGAATGATTTAACGACATGAAAACAATTTCATAACATAATGAAGAGTGGAAACAGGCAATATGCATAATAGTGCATATAATACTGCGCCGTTTTTTATTGCACAGGATAAAAGAATGGAAGGAAGTCACCAACAGTAGCTATCTTTGAGTGGTATGATTGTGAAGGATATTTTTTCCTTGCCCTTTTCTGTAGTTTATGAATACTTTACAATAAATAATCATGAGTGGGAAAGCAACAGATATTTTCGATAGTCACAGTTATTGTCCTGTTCCGGAAGGTGTGATGGTACCTCAGAGCCGCAGCTGGTGGCAGGAGGGCAGTCAGAGTTCTCAGGACCCCTGAGTGGAGAAGAGCCCACAGCGGAGAAGGTGGCCCGCAGGGCGGTGGTCAAAGCCCCGAGAGAGAAAATAAATATACTTCCCGCCAAGTAAGAAATTCTTAAAGTTGATAAGTAGCTGAGCGTAGGTGGGTTTTTAAAATGTTATGTTTTCCTTGAAAACAAATGTGTTACAAGAGGGATGAATACCTGTTGTGATCATTTATTTCTTTAAAATGTTAATATCTAAACTTTGGTTATGTGGTCCCGTTGTGTCTGGTCATACTTGCTCTAAAACATCTTATTAAAATTCTAAATTCCTCAAAAGCACGTTTTCTGCCTCAGTATACCAGAAGCATTTTAAAATCTTGGAGTATAGGACATTGTTGTTGTTATTTATTTTTTTTAAAGGTCATATAGCAAGATATGGTTAACACATATAAACAAATCTAAAAATATAAAACAAGACATATAAGTACTGTATTAAGGAGTTATGTATTGAAAGGTTCTGCACAAAAACAGGAGAAAGTCCTTGGCCTGGAATATTCAGAGGAGGTTTTATGAGAGAAATAAAAATCCCTGAAGAGTGGCTGGGATTTAGGAAGGATGAAGGGAAGGGGAAAGATGTCTCAGTTATCTATTGCTGTGTAAGAAATGACTCCAGAACACTGTGACTTAATAGCACAATGATTCATTTTTAAAAAGAAGAAGATATATATCCTTAAGATTACTTGTGTTGGATTTACTGAAAATCTGAGACATTCCTAAACCATAGAAAGCAGTGGTCCTTTGTCCCTCACCTCCAGCCCCGATCCCTTTTAAGGAAGATGACAGAAACCCTGCAGTGTCTTGGTCAGACAGGCATGGTTTCCTACAAAATGAAAGTCAGAGTAGCACCTGCTTGTACTAGTAAAATGCACTTGAGACTTGCGCTTAAATCCAGTAGATATGCCCTCGGTTTCCAATGTTGGGACCATAGGAGTAGTACACCCATACTCGGCAGACTTCATTGGACCAGTTCATCACTCAGCGTCCGATGACATCACGTTGTCTTGCCAGGAAAAGCCCCTGAAGGCAGGAAACTGAGGGGTCATTTCTGCAGGGCTGCTTGGGGCAGGCGCTGCTTGACCTCCCTGCTCAGACAGAGTGGGGAATCCAGAGGGATTATAGGAGAAAGTTCGAGGCTTTCTTTGTGAGGTTTTTACACATAATGATTTGGGGGAGAGTTGCAAGGAAAACCTCATACTTTTGATGAAAAAGAACCTTTAGAACACGCATCCAACATTTTCTTAGGAGTAAATTCTGAAACTTCTAAAAGATCACTCTCTCAGGATAACCATGCTCTTTAAGATGACTATTGGTGATGGGAGAGGCCTAAGTTCTTGCACTTTTTTCAAACTCTCCCCCTTTTCCTTCTGCACCCTGGCATGCAGGAAGAAACTCCTATGTTTGCATACAGAATTGATGACTGCTACAAATTTGCTGCCGAGAGACCCAGAAAATTATTTCTGGTTGGAGAGTACGATGACATTTCTCTACCTAGCGTGGGGAATCAGAAGTCAATAAAAAGACAGTAACAGGCTGATGAGTGAGAGGGAACTAATAACAATAAAAACATAGTAAGAAGTAAAACAATAATTTTACTCTGCACGAAGTACTTCTTATATACTGTACCAGTGACTTCAATACCTTCTCTCTTCACCCAGTACATCGTAATTTCGTTACATTTTCTGGACCTCTTTAGTGCCAAGGACCCTCTGAGCCTGCTCTCTACATCACCACGACTCTCCACCTTTCCACTCAGCCCATCTTAGAGATGGTGAAAGATAATTTTATGTGTCGACGTAGCTGAGCTATGATTCCCAGTTGTTTGGCCACACACCTGTCGAGATGTTGCTGTGAAGATATTTTTAGATGGGATTACATTTACCTCAGTGGACTCTGAATAAGGCAGATTACCCTCTAGAATGTTGGTGGCCCCCATCCAGTCAGTTGAAGGCATTAAGAGAAAAGGCTGAAGCCCCTGAAGAGGAGGTTCTGCCTCCAGGACCGCTTTCAGACTAGTGACTGAGACAGCAGCTCCCGTTGGAATCTCCATCCTGCTGGCCTGCCCCACAGATTTTGGACATGTCTGACCCTGCAGCCATGTGAGCCAATTCCTGAAAATAAATCTCTTTATATATATTCTTATTGGTTCTGTTTCTCTGGTGAATCCTGACTAACACAGAGACTAAAGAGCAAGGGGAAAGGAGGATTATTTTGCATAATCAGAAGGTATCCTGAAGTGGGAGACAGATACATCTTCTCTGCGGTTGGTGGAAGTGTGTCGAACAGGGTGAACTGCGTCCAAGATGAGCGGACTCGAGGCTTTGAGAGCCACACACACTTGATGTGTTTTGACTAAAAAAAGAAAAACGCATTGTGCCCTCCTAGAGTCATCGTCAGCGTCCACACCAGCGCGGAGTACAGCGCAGCAGGAAGGACACCAACTCTGGGCTCAGAAAGATGGGAGGTTTTTCTGTATATTTCAACAAATTATTTCACTTCTAAACTTCTGAACGTCTATAAAATGGAGATAATAAAATATACCTCGGAGGATTTTTATGAGAATTAAATATGTAAAGTGTGTCTGATGTACAGTTGATGTTCAAACAATTGCAGCGGTTGCAAATATTACCCTCATCATTATAATACATGTAATTTTGATGCGGCCTTGTAAGTTTTCATGTGTTTAGTTGGAAACCGTTAAAATGACAGTATATGGCACAGACCAGTAAGCATCATCATAATAGTATAGTTAAATATTATAACAGTAGTTTCAAGAGACTGAAAATCTAATATGTCTCAGGCAGAACGCTGGTGCCTTGAACACCTAATCTGATTTCATTCTCACCACAGTCCTGTAAGGCAGATTTGTCCACACAAGGGGACTAGAATCAGAAGAGTTAAGGAACGCTCTCAAGGTCACTCAGCTAATAAATGGCAAAGCAGAAATCCCAACCTAGGCACGTCTGACTCCGAAGCCTGTGCTCTGCTCCTCTCTGTATTGTCTACCACTGACTCTTGAGGTCAGTCATTACCCGCACACAGGATCACATCTGTTTTGCTCACATTAATGTGCCGGGTGCCTTTCTTGGTCCCGGGCGTGCTGTCGACACGGTACATATTTGAATGAAAGGAAGGAAGGAAAGAAGGAAAAAGTTTCCCTTGAAGTTGTTTTCTGCACATCTCTGGCAAGAAACTGTGCGTTTCTCATACTTGCCTGGATGGTGAATGAAACAGGTTCCTGCCATACTCTCCCATTCACGACAAAGCCTTGGTTTGTCCTATCTGTGGCCACAAAAGTAAAGCTATCCGTGCGGGCGTCCCCTCCCGAGTGCCTGTAGGCCACGTTCCCGCGGTCAATGTCCTGCTGCGTGAAATTGTGCTGGCGCAGCACCGTGCCCCGCAGGCAGAGCCGGCCGTGCTGTGGGAGCTGGGCCAGAAGGAAGGTGAGGTTCTCCACCGGGGTGTCAGCGTCGGTCAGCTGAAGGAGGTCAGGGGAAAGCAGGCCTGTGGCCCCTTGGGCCAGTCTCAACCCCTTGTTCCTGGTCACCACGGGTAAGGCTCTGTCCACAGTCTCCAGTATGATCTCAAACGCCCCATGCTTGGTCTGCAGTCCATTGCTGACAATGAATCTGGCAAAGAGAGGCAAGGCAGCCTTCAGCATGGATTCTTGTGTCACCATCTACTGGAATGAAATGATAACAACACACCTTTACTGAAGGATATGTCGTGCTGGGACGCCAGCGAAAACTCAAGGGCAGGTCTTTCAGAAGGACGCCGTTCTGTTAAGTAAGTCACTAGGTAACACACAACTTGCCCACTCCACACCCCAAAGCATTTTCTCACTAAGAGTGATGGTAGGCTGGATGGAGCAGGCAAACGCCGACAGCGGTATTCTCAGGCTTGTTGGGGCTCAGTGCAGTTCCTTACTCCAAGGAGGGATTTCACACCCAGCTAGACCCACTGCATGAGTTTGCAGAGCACACTCATTTTATATACAGTGATACCTCGGTTCTCGAACGCCTCGGTTTTCGACCAAATCGGTATTCGACCAGGAGATTCGAGAAACTTTTGTCTCGGAATCCGAACAAATATTTGGAACTCGAACTTCCGAGATGAGCCGAGTTGAGCCGAATGGCGTTCATTCGGCCCAGCGCGCCTTGCTGCGTCATCAGTGTGAGTGCAGAGAGAGTCACGCTTTGTGGAGTCACGCTTTCCTATTGGGTTTCATTGCTTCGGTTCTCGAACAATTCGGTTCTCGACCGTCCTCCTGGAACGAATTATGTTCAAGAACCGAGGTATCACTGTATTTGTAGTTTTGCAACTGTATTTTCTTTGTGGGAATTTAATAAGCTAAACTTTAAGACTTATCATTGGAAGCCAATTCAATCAAGTGCTGAGTAGGCTGAATTTGGCTAATTCACTGTATGTGTATTTTTGTGGTATATTTCTTGAGGACATTACTGAGTCACGTAATCATGCCTAACTCATCTCTCCTCTGCAAAGTGAAAGACCAAATGATCGCAAAGTACCATCCAGCTCTAAAATATCATGTGATTCCAATCCCTTGCTTTTTCTTGTACCTCTACATTTGCCCTGTGCAAGGTACATAAGAGTTATGATAGCCAAGGATTACTTTCCTGCTTTAAAGAAAAGAAAATTATAGCGGAAAGGTTAAGAAACATGGTGGAGATCATAAAGCAGGTAGGAGACAGAGCTGGGACTAGAACCTGGGTCTTTGGACCCCACACCTACTGCTCTTGCAGAGTTATAAATAAGTGCTGGCTTAGCAATCTACTGAGAAAGAGTGGTGGTGTCTGAGCACCACTGTAGAATTATAAAGAGAAAGCTGAAATGATATAAATTCAAGGTAAGCAAAATTTCTCTCACAATCTTGAGTTTATGGTATCATAATGCGCTTCGTCATACTGATCACTAAATCGCATTACACCCACCACTGCCAAACTCAAAATAAAACTAATTTAAATGGTCTTTAGACAATTTCAATGTCTAATTTTTATTTTAAGGAAAATTGAGAATATCATGAAATTAAGCAAACAAAATGTACTATGAAAACTCCAAAGAGTTAGGAAATCACTACTCTCAAAATAAAATTGACAAATTCACCATAGACCCCAAAAATGCACTTCAAAATTATCATGGAGTTGTGTCTATTAGTTTTCTTCCATGTACCATAGTCACTAAAAATATTCATGGAGGACATACTCTTATATTTCATGAATGCAAAAAACCTCTAAAAATAATTTTAGCTGAATAAAACATTAAATTACACAAGAATTTGTTTATTTGGTTAATTTTATTTCACTTACTTTTTATTTGTATTGAATTTATTTTGGTGACATTGGTTAATAAAATTATATAGGTTTCAGGTGTACAATTCTGTAATACATCATCTGGATACTGTATTGTGTGTTCACCACCCCAAATCAAGTTTCATTCCATCACCGTTTATCCCCTTTACCCTCTTCTACCTCCCCCACCTTGGAGGTTCTTTTTTTAACCATAGAAGAAATGGAGTTTATATTTATTTTACTAATCTCACAAAATTGACTAACAAGTTCTTTGTTCTTCGCAAAATGTGTCTTGTCCTTCAAGGTTTGAGCGTTGTTGCTTTGCTTTTGAACATGAAGGAACCTGGAACCAGGTTTTCTGAGCACAAGGAGTCGACCAGCTGGCCGGAGGCGAAGGACCGGGGGAGAAGAGCAGCTGGGCAAAAAGTAAGAGGGGATGAGTTTGGCTGACCCAGATTTTGCTTTGAAGGCTAAAATGTTGGAGCTTTTTAATTATCTAGTTGATAAGTCTGCCTACAAGGAAAATATGATGCTGGAAAAAAGGAATCTATGTCCAGAAAGTTTAAAACGCTAAGAGAAATACAACAAATAAAGCAAATCTCAACACTTCACACACCTAGCCCGGTGAAGGCTATGATCTGTCTTTGTTTCCCTTTTCCCAGGGCATTATCTTCCAGTTTTGATAGGGTACTGAGTCAGCTTTAGAATTGTAGATTGAGCAAAATCACCTTGTTTCCTTAAATCAGAACTGTCAGCTTTCCTTTTATAAAACTGAACTTTTGATCAATAACTTTCTAAGCAAATAGGGTAATTTTGCTGCTGAACCAAGAAGTAGTTACAAAATTAGTTATTTTTTAAAAAATAAAATAGAAGCACACCCAGAAAAAGACCTGTGTTCAACTTTTTACTTATTAGTCACCTTGACAGTTTTAAAGATCAAGAGATGTGCATTTTTAGGTATAAAAATTGTAGTCTATTTCCCAGGGAAAGTTTGCCATGAAAATACGCCTTTCTGTTACTTTTCACATGTCTTCCTGGATCCTGTCATCTGACTGGAGATAAAACAAGGAGGAGGCGAGGCGTTCCCTCAATGCTTCCAATTTCCCCTTTTCCCACTTTAACCCGCCCAGAGGCTCGGTTCCTGCCTCCCATTTCACAAATAAAGTAATCCTCTAATCCCTACCAGTTCCCTGCATCAAAACATGCTCTTGTGGGGAATTTTAAACCAGCCTTTTTATAGGTTAGCACAAAATTAAGCCAAGGGGCATATATTTTTAGTATTAGCATTAACTGTGGCATTAAAGACTTGGTGCCCCATTAAAACATGTCAAATATCCACAGAGAATGGAGGGGGGAGCAGGTGAGATAAGGGTCAGGAGCCAGGAGGTGAGGTGGGAGCTCCAGGCACTGTCAGGGGCTGGACCAGAGGTGCCCATTGTGAGTACCTGACTCTGACTTCTCTCTCCAGACCGGACTCTGACAGTGCCTGACCCGCTGCAAAGCTCCGTTCCAGGATGGCTGCATTTATCTGTGCATGTGTGACCTGTGCGAGGGCACGGAAGTTGTCTTATGATCCAGGCTGTCCACCTCCAGCTCCTTTCTGCCTCATGATGGGGATCTGACCAGGTTGGAAATCGGCTGCCTGACATCAGACAGATGGGAATGAGGGCAAGCAGGGCAGGGACCGCAGAAGAGAAAGAAATATGTTTACCGAGGCCAGTGCTCCCAGCTGGGACACCGAGGCAGCTGTCTGCACTGACCTAAAGCTAATATGCCAGTGGTGGAAAGGACGCAATTTCTAAACATGACTGGATCAGGCTCATCATTCACATCCACAAGGAACAATGCAAACTCCTTGCAGGCAGAGCAGCACTGTCGGGGAGAGAGACGGGGCGAACAGTCATGGTTGGCCTGCCAGTCCAAGTAAGCCTAGCAGAACCTTCAAGTGCAACGAGGTCGGCGATTTCATGTCTGCAAAGGTTAACCAGCTGCTCTTCCAGATGCTCCCCTCCCCTCCCCCAAAGAAACCCTCCAAATACATTTCCAAGTGTCCATACATCCACATCGCCGCTGCCATGGCACCCATTCCCCGGCTAAGAAGCCGCTGGTGTGGAGGTAGCAGCTCCTCCTGGGGCCCATGTTGTTTAATTCCCTTCATCACGCTTCCCCGAGAAGGGGCACAGCCAAGGTGACCATTGTTCTCATGAAATTTGGGGAATGACTCTCAGATTTGTCTGGGTGCCTGCCTGGTCTGATTTCACCATTACCATGGTGCTTTCAAGCTTTCTGCATTTCCTGGCAATAGAGTTGGCTGCAGAATCTGCCATCTGTCATGGCATTTAAAGGATAAAAATGGAATCATAAATAGAGCCAGTTCCTCAGGGAAAAAAAAAAAAAGTCCAGCCGGCATGTCAAAATGGAGGACATTAGCATGTTCTTTTCCTGCACGGCTGCCAGCAGCTGAAGTCAGCTTGCTAATCACTTGGTGTCATCTGTCCCAGGAAGTGCTGCCAAATCTTTCTTCCAGGCCAGCAGCACCAAACAATGCTGGAGAAATTTATGATTCACAAAATATTTCTGCAGAAGGTAGAATCTGATCATTAAACGCCCCCCTCGCCCCGTGTAATTAATGCTGCCATACCTTACGTTCAAAAGAGAAGGGGGGAGAATCGTGTGCCACCGAATGTATCTCTTCTCTCCAGCCAAATTTCTTGCCAGATTTAACAGCAAGCGACATAAATTTAGGTGATTAGATTGGTTGCATATATTTAATTTTTAAAAAGCACCATGATCACACTTTCATTAAAACAGGCTTTCAGCTTTGGTTCGGGGCCACTCCGTGATTGAGTTAGGGAAATAACAAGATTAAAACCAGGGTCTGGGGCAGATGCTCGGCTCTTCCATTATAAATATGCAAAAGTGCTGGCTGAACATCAGAACGACACATTGAGGAGGTTCCTTCGCACAAGGGCAGATTCTCCACAAGTTATTGGTACAATGAGGTAGCATGGAAACAACTCTCCCAAAGGAGATCTCGACCCAAATTCGGCTTTAATTCTCAGTTATTTCCATTTAGGTGATGTTCTTTGCCTGCTGGACTCTCAGTTTTCTCATGCGTAAAATGGGAACAAACCGTCTCTCCCGAGGTGGAGGTGGGAGGCAATGGGGCACACAGAAGAGTCTAGTGCACCGCCTGAGGCACCGCAGGTGTTCAAGCAACACTCTTTCCTACGTGTACACAAAACGATTGCACTCACTCAGTGCTTTCAACCTGCGCTGCATCTTCTCCCTGTAGACCTGCTGCCTAACCTTGCGTCATTCAAACACCACCTTCATCATTTTTGCCATGTTCTTGAACTACCTGTACTCTTATTACCTAATACTTTGCTTCGTAGCAACTCACCCTTTTACTTAAATGAATGTACTTAAAAGGAAACCTTTTAACTACTAAAAACATATCACCACAAATACTACAAAAATACATACAGGAAAATAATGTTTTTGATTCTAGCTAGACATCGTTGCCCAAGGACTTGAAGCCTGAGGCTTGTGCTCTCTCTGTTAAAAAAAAAAAAAAAAAAAAGGAAAACAGTAAATACTGCAAAGCTGTTCAGGACATATTAACATCGGACTGAGACTTCCTTCTGGAAACCACCAGAAGCATGGAGAAAACTAAAAGGGAGTATTAGGGAGTGGTTTCTCACTCTTGATCCCCTTCTTCCTGGCCCAGCCTGCCTCATTTTGCATATTTACATGACCAATGGTACAAATCACTCACCTTGGGCAATAGAGCCGCAGCCTTTTTGTTACAAGAAGACCTTGCTCCGAAGAAGTCCAGTGTGCAAAACCAACCAAAAATCAAACCATCAAAACGCCGAACAAAACTAAGCTCTATTAGTAAGTTGGGGTGAGAGCCCAGAGCCCCATCAACTCAGCCCCTTCATTTTCTGTCTCTGGGACACATCAAGAGGGCTTCTGTCCATCCTCACAACTCTTCAGACTGCACTTAGAACGATGGACTGGGCCAGACCAGTGACTGCTAGTCTTGACTGCATCAGACTACCTGGAGAACTTGTACAAACACAGATTCCTTAAACAGGACTCACCAAAGTCACCTCTCTGCAGTGAGGCTCATGAATTTGTATTTTTATAAATCTCTCATGTAACTAACTGTCTTGATGATCTAGAAATGTAGGGATTCCTGGGATAAACAATTTCTAAAGTGCTATCTCGTAAGACTTTCTATGGATGTGAATTAGGAAAGTTTTACAGTATCACCAAATGTGGAGATTTTGCTTGTGATTCTTAGTTCATCACAACCATCTGATTAATACCTAACATTCATTTTTGAACATCTTTACACATTTATCCACTGGATGCTTCAGCAGGGTCACCGGTTTCTCTAGTAACGTTATTCATGTCTTCCGTAGACTCTCTGGTGGGCACTGACTGGGGAGGGGAGGAATACATGAAAGCCAAAGGTTCTATAAACAAGAATCAAATTAAAAGCCCTGAATCTGATATACATGGATTAAGCCAAAAAGCAACCACTGTCCAGTAGTTAATGGGAAAAAAAGAACAATCTCCATTGAACTTCTTTCCTCCCTTAAGATTATGCTTAGTGCTACAAAGATCGGAGAGGGAAAGGGGCCAAGGCAAGAATATAATGAGGAATGATGATAAAAACAACCATTGTAATAATAGCAGCTAACACTTATTTTGTTCTTCTTATGTGCCATATATTGCTTTAAGTACTCTGAACACATAAGCTCTCCTAAACTTCCTGATAGCCCCGCAAAGCAGATGCTATGACCATCATTCCCTTTCCCAGAGGAGGAGACAGGAGCACAGGGAGGGGCGGGACAAGGGCCAGTGGAGGAGTCAGGGCGAGCAGACAGACGAAGGAACAGAGGCGGTGACTGACCTCCAGCCTGCGCCTCGCTCCCTGAGCAAGAGAAACGGTATACAAAGGAACCCCACATCTCATGTTTTAGTTAATGACTAGCAACATTCAAGCACTGAATTGGTTATGAAGATATTGATTAATTAAATGATTATCAAATGATTATCTACTTGTGCAGGACATTTGTCAAAAGAAAAAAAAAAGGGTACTAGTTCAGACTTCCCTGGGTTTTTTAACGGTTGAACTTTCCTAATATTAATTCTAAGTTCTAAAAAGGCAAGCAAAATTTAAACAGTGTTTATCACAACAAATATATTGACTTTAGATGGGTAAAAATGTATGATAGAACGTGGTATTTGAACGTGAGTATGTTGGTACACTTTACAATTTATGGGGAACCGTCGAATAATATAGGAGTATGCTGCATCTGTGTTATTTTATGGCACTCTTTTGAAGGTTGTGTTCTGAGCTGGTGAAAATTATTCCGAATCCCTGCAGGTATGACAGATGGACCAATGCTCTCAGGGTAAACTGGTAACGCTCAGGGTTGGATACGTACCATGGTTCCCCCAAAGGCTAGTCCAGGATTTCTTGGTTCTTAGCCTAGCCCTGAAAACCTGTATTTCTATCAAGGACTTTGACTTTGCCAGCTTTGAGAACCGCTAGATGATACACCCTCTAGAGTTTTTCCTGCTTTATGTGACTGGAAACAGATTTCAGTATTTTAAATGAATGTAGACTTTCATTAATGTAGTATCTTTGCCTTTTTGCCAGATTGTTATTCATTTCAATGATTTATTTGATACACAATCCTTGAACAGGTGCACAGCCCCCAATTACAACATTGTTTCTATGGGGAAATATGATCCACTATATGACAACATGATTTATGATATAGTTACCCAAACACATTGTGTCACAAGGCAGTATCTGCTTATGCCAAATGTTTACTAGTAAATACCTTTTCCTCATATAGGAAAACATCCTCTAAAAAGTGGTAAATTCCTTTCCTGTGTCTCTGTTTAGACGGTATCCTCAAGTCTTCATGTTCCTCCTCATAGAACAGCTTGCATTTAAATCTGCTTATGTGTTTATTTTTAAACAAGCCCTCATTTCTTGCCTTGCTGCTGTCATTTTGATTGTGCACCTTCACCTCTGCACAGCTAGGTAGTAGATGAACATGCCACATCAGAGCTGGAGAAGGACTCGTTTTCCCCTCCGTCTGTCTTTATGAGCATTAATTCAGGGAAGGGGCTCTGAAACATGTCCTAAAGGCTCACCTGAATGTGTCACTGGGAGCAGGTGTCTTCCTCTTATGTACGTAGCAGACCGTCTGTGCTGCTATGTCCATTTGGCTGAAACTTGTAATGGGGACTCCGGGATAGCGGACATACTCCACCTGGCCGTAGCGCGGCGGGGAGGTGACGACGTACAGCAGCTCCTCGGGCTTGTCTGTCCCATCCACAGCAAGGAGAGTGGCGGTCGTCAAGAAACCTCTGTCACCTTTAGGCACCACAAGTGGTTTTGCAAGGATGGCGATATCACCTACATGGCAGAAGAGGTTGTGGTCAAGGACCCAACTTAAAAAATAAAATGCCCAAGGTACAAAACAAAGGCCAAACGGTGCAGAAATCAAAATGAACGTGATGTAGAAAGGTTTATGTAACTATGATGAATGAAAGAATTAGACAAAAGCTGTGAGAAGATGTTACTCAGAAGAGGAAACACATATGGCCAATAAAAATACAAATAGATGCTCCATCTCAATAATCGTGGAAATACAAATCAAGATCACAATAAATTGCCATCTCATAACCCACTGATTAGCAAAACTGTAGAAGTCTGATGATGCCAAGTGTTGAAAAGGAGATAGATCAGGAGACTCTTTCCTGTGATTCTGGTAGAAGAATACACTGGTACGCGATTTGGCATTATTTTGTGCAGAGTTGAATATCACACATGCCTTGACCCGGAGATTCCACTCCAGCTGTGTACTGGAGAGAGCCGTGTGCACTTCACCCAGGAGACACAGACCAGAAAGGTCACTGCAGCACCATTTGTAATTGAAAACACTGGCGACAACCCAAATGCCTTTTCAAAGAGTGAACATACACACAAACCGTGGTCTATTCATGCAACTGAATCTTACACAATAGCAAAGTGGATGAGCTACAGCTACCTGCGACTACACAGATGGAGCTCACTAACATTTGTTAGTTTTATGAGCAAGTCCCAGAAAACTATAAGCAAAGGCAAGGAAAAAATTAACACAAAACTCAAGATGAAGGATGAGAAGAGAACAGAGGTAGATGATGGTTACTGTTCATATTTCAGTCCTTGAAGTGTATGGTGGTTGCACCGGTGTTTCTTATGTATTTTTAAAAGAATATATGAATGAGTACATGAATGAATGAAGCAGAGTGGCTCATACATGGACTAATGATGCAGTGTTCCACAAATTAAAGGTTATAAACCAATTCTGTTCATTAAAAAAAAAATGATCACACCTAAAATATAGAATAGAGCTTCCCCTTTGAGCCACACACAGGCCCAAGGGCTCCTACGTCTTCATGCCAACACTGTAATAGGGTATTACTGTATTTTCCTGGTTATAAATGAAGATACTAAGGCATAGAAGTGTGAACTAACTCATTAATTACTACATAATTAATAAAAGGAGCAAGCTAGAATCTGTACTCAAGTCATCTGACTCAAGAGCACAAACATAAACACTATTATTTTGTTTCCTCTTTTTAATATAGATTTCTTATACTTCAACACTACATGGGTGAACATCCAAAAGGGAATGTGAGTGAAGTAAATGCCAAACCAATTCTAAATTTAAAAATACAAATGGTCAAAAAAAGTTTGAAAAGATATTCAGTCCCATGAGAAAATGAAAACTGAAAATAAAACGTTGAGCAGATATCACTTCAGTGGTTCTCATGAGGGGTGACCCTGCCCCCAGGGGACATTTGGCAATGTCTAGAGATATTTTTGATGGTCATGACTGGGAGTTGCTATTGGCTTCTAGTTCGTAGAGGCCAGGCATGTTGCAAAACTACAATAAAGAATTATTTATCCCCAAATACCAAAAGGACCAACATTGGGAAACCCTGTTTTAGAGGATCAAATTGGCCTTTTTGGTGTACTATGCTTTTAACTAAAAAATGCTACACAACTGGAGTCCAATGTAGAACCAATGACCATTCTAACTTTAAATAAAAAACTAAGCCCCATGTTCTTCAGAGGGAGTCAAAATGAACACATCAAGGTGGTACGAAGAATGAGCAAAGGTGGGAAACAAAGTCACCCACAAGTGGTTTCATCGGGAGCAGAAGAGGAATCTGAAGGGAGGAAGAGTCGACGTTTTGCTTCAATGCACAGAAGAGGAACAGTAAAGGCAGAGTATAGAGTAAGGTCAACTACAGATAATATCCTTCTAGACTTCCCCCAAAGATCCCACATCATTTTAGCCACCGTGCAAATCAGAAAACCTAGCACACCTAGAGGGCCTCGTCTTATTTATAATAGCTCCCAAATGGAATGAACCCAAATGTTCAATATTAGGGTTATGGTTTAGTCTAATAATTCAGCGTAGTTTTATTCAGAGGTGAACAATCATGGTTATAAAGTTATGCTGCAACTTAAGAAAACTCATGCTAAAAAAAGTAATAATAATAATAATAAAAAGATAGCACTCTACAGATATAAAACCCCACAATGTAAAAAGAAACAAAGAGAATAAATGTGGAACTCCTGACAATGTTAGTAGGTTAGTGTATTCACAGATCCTGTTAGAAAATGATCGCATATCAGTTGAGGCAGCGTGGGGAGGCACTCACCTCGTTTCCTTTTCTTCCTGGGCACACAGCTAGACTTTCTATTTATTGCTCAGCCTCCCTTAACACAGAAAGTCATTGCAATTCAGCCACTAGGATGTGTAGAAGACAGGCACCCTACCTCCAAGCCTCACCCATAAAATGTTCTCATTTTCCTCCATGTCTCACCAAGCCCCTCAGAGATGAAGGATCCTCCATGTAGAAAGAACCCCCAGATGGCTGTGAGGAACAGAACCCTCCCCCACCCCCACCCCTCCCCAGGAATGCACTAAGGTCATGAGAAGAGAGTGTCCTACACATTTGTTGTCTGTCCTGATACATGACTTGTATTACATTTTGCCTGGACATATACTTATACAAGTCTTACTTTTGCAGAGAGAAACATCTAGTTTTTCTGAGAGTCACTCATTAGACATCCTAATGGAATACATTTTTACAACTGAGAAACAAATACATAAAATATATTATAATACAGCTCAAAATAAACATCTCAAAATCAATCAAACTAACTTAAACTTTGTTTTAAAAGATCAGGACAACGGTAATTTTACTATGCACACGAAGTAAGATTTTTTTACTACACTTAAGCATTCAATTTAGCTCTGAGGCTCCTGGCAGCCAAGGCAAAAGAAGAATTCAGTCAATCAAGCACGTATTGAAGATCTAAGGCTGTGCTTGGTCCTGGGAATATATAGATCCTGAACTACATATATTTAAATGAAATATGATCCTTATCCTCCCCATGTAACCCTAAGCAAAGTTTGGGGCAGGTACATTGGACTTCAAGGGCTTACACTCTCCCTTGCTCATCCTTTCTCTTCTTTGAAACTCCATTTTCAAGTAATAATTCACTTTCTGAAGATAAAACACATTGACTTGGCAAATTTTTACTTAAAGCAAAATACCCTGACAGTTAAAGTAATGTAAGTAGTTGCGTTGTGGATAAGTCTGGATTTCCAATAGGCTTTTTGAAATAGTAAAAGAAACAATAGCCCTGGCCAGTTTGGCTCAGGGTTAAAGCGTCGGCCTGTGGACCAAGGAGTCGAGGGTTAGATTCTGGCTAAGGGCATGTACCTCACTTGCGGTTCGTCCCCGGCCCTGGTTGGGGCCATGTGGGAGGTAACCAATCAATGTGTCTCTCTCACGTCAATATTGCTCCCCCCCCCACTCTCCCTGCCTCCACTCTATGAGATAAATGGAAAAAATATCCTTGAGTGAGGATTTAAAAAATAAATAAATAAAAGGAACAACTATATTGGCTGTTTTCATGAACCTCATAGATCCTAAGCAAAGTCAGTGAGGAGCCAAAGGCCTGGATCATCAATGATGGAATTTCAGGTGTAAAGAATAGAAGGAAAAGAAAAGAGAGGAGGGAAGGAGTAAGGGAGGGGGGAGACTTGGAGCTTATACCAGCTCACTTCTGATCATAAAGCTGATGCCAGTGAACCCTGGTAGAAATGCTTTTACCTTTTCCCATATCGTTGATGGTGATCTGACAGTCAAATGCAGGTGACCTGTTGTCGCCATCCCAGAGGGAGAAGGTGAAGCTGTCTTGGTTTTGGGAATCCACTGCCCCGGTGTGTGTGTATCTCAGCAAGTTCAGATCCACTTCCTCCTGAGTGCACTTCATGCCAGGGTAGAGAGGGACCCAGTCCCTCCCTATCTGAAAGGTGCCAAAATTAGTCAGCTGCCCATGCTTTTTATTTCCAAGCTGTGTCAGTGAACATTTTCTATACCGCTGAAGTCCTCCGATATAAATGATAGTTCAGAGAAATTCCAGATTAAATGTTTTACCATTTTACCTTATTTTTTTCCTTTCATAGAGATATAGTAAAACAATTTAAGACTTTGGGAGGAAAATAGCATCAGCCAAAGGATTTTTGACAAAGTCATGTGGCAATCCAACAGCAATGCAACTTGCAAGGCATTTATCATAAGCAATCATAGCTGATTAAATATTCCAATTAATGAGAGCAGGTGGGTAATTGAGCTGCTGGAATTGATTCTTTAAATATTAAATGTGTTTCACCTGGGGTTTCCTATTTCTTTAGTTTATATCATTGTAAAACTAATCAAACTTATATTATCAAACTGATTTGTTACAGGGTTTATCTGAAGAAGATAAAAGAAAAATAGAATGGATGTACTTATTTGTCATACATTTTTTTAGCCTTGCTAAAGCCCAAGGAAAATTATCAAGCACATTTATACATTGAGTCAGCAAAAAATATAACTACAAATATAGGAATCATTTCAACAAACCAACACTAGTTTTGTACGTATTCTGTACAGAATTCAGTTCAGAAATTGTAGTATTTTCCATTAAAAGACGTTCTTATGCTGGGGGAACTGACAGCTGAGAGTATTAGAAAGCATAATAATAATAAATCTGCATGTGATTAATAATTCTATTATTCTCTCAAAACACCTAGCTTTCCCCAACAATAACCCATAAAAGGCATTTGACATAACAAGAAAAACATCATCTTAAAAATTTACCATGTGATATTACCTTGCGCTTTTCCTGTCTGCTTTAAGAGACTAAAACAGAAATTTAAATCACTCATTTTTTATTTTTCTTGATACATTATTCCTCAGACTCCTAGTTTCTGGCAAAAATGATTCGTCCTCCTGTCCTCTCATTGTGTTATCATTTCCCTTTTTGTCATTCTTTTTTTTTTTTTTTAATCTTCACCCAAGGACATTTTTCCATTCTTTGTTCAGATAGAGCGGGAGGGAGAGAGAGAGAGAGAAACATCGACGTGAAGGGACACATCGAGTGGCTGCCACCCTCACGACCCAACCAGGGCCGGGGACAAATGGCAACCGAGGTACGTGCCCTTAGCGGGAACCGAACCCGGGTCTCTCTGGACCGCAGGCCGACGCTCTAACCGCTGAGCCAGACCGGCCAGGGGTTTTTCTTGTCATCCTTTTGGTAAAGATTCCTCTTTTTAATAATTTTTCCCATCTGATATTTATACACAGCTGTGTTCTGTTCCAGTGCTCACAGGGTAAAAATTCATTACATTGTAATAATTAAGCTCATAGTTTCCATCATAAGATCTATTTGCAAACTTAATTTTTAAAACAGATTCTCTTTCAGGTTTTAAACTGGACAGCCTGTAACTTAACTTTTTCCCGTGTAACTTTTCCCAGGACGCGAATAGAGAAAAGCATCTTTTGCTCCCTGTCTCGTCCCTCTAGTCCCCCACTTGCACTGCCAAGCGTGAGCCCTGCCTCACAAAGTCATCCGCAAGCCCCCCAGAGGAAGGAGCGTCAGATTCCAGGTGGGGAAACTAGGGGAAGGCAACAAGAAAACAGCAACCCTGGAGAAATTCCAGGCCTGGAGCCCTGGTCCTTTGTCTTGGGGAGACGTGGAGAACCCCTAACGAGCTGGGAGGGAATTGTGTGGCGCCATGCTGGGAACCCGGACCCATCTGGGTTTCCACGTATCCAAGACACGTCAGCTCCCAAGCTACCCAAATGTGTGAGCTCTCGCTGCATTTCTGCTTCATTACTCTCCGAAATGAAATAAGGACACAGCTGTACCTCAATTTAAATCAGTGATTGCCCTTCACTCTGATTCTCTATGGTACCTACAATCTAAGACGACCAAGCTGTTCCACGCAGAATGAATCCTTGCTGCCTTTCGAGGGGTGTCGACATGACATTAAAAGTTAAGCATTCAGTCAAATAATCACATTGGGGATGGTTGGTGGTGGTTGCGGTTCGCCTTCATCCACTATTCAAATAAACAAGTGATGGATTACTCAAATGACCTTTTCAAGTGGCTGATCTGTAATTTGTGTTGGGCAGCGCGCGCAGGGTCTCGGTCATTTGTTAAAAGACTGTCTTTTCTCTATTGTATTGACTCTGCTCGTTTGTCAAAGATCAGTCGGCTATATTTGTATGTTTGTGTTTCAGGGAGCTGTATCCTGTTCCATTGATATAGTTGTCTCTTCTTTACCAAACCCACACTGGATTACTGCAGCTTTACAGCAAGCCTTGCAGTCAGGTAGTCAGTCCCTCAACTGCGTTCTCCCTCAGTGTTATGTTACCTGTTTTGTGCATTGTGCCTCTCCATATAAACTTTAAAATCGGTTTCTTGATATTCATGATGGCTCTAAAACTAAAGTCTATTTAATTTTTTTTTTAATCTGCCAAGAATGAAACTATTTTAAAGATTCTCATCAGAAAGTACACAATTTGTTTTACCTGACAACTCTCTCCACCCATCCCACCCCCCAAATTTAGGTACAGTCCCGTGGGGAGGGGCAAGGAAGAACCTTAATATTGGTTGAATTTACCCTGAGTTGAGTAAGAAAATTTAGAATAGTGTGAGTTAAGCCCAAACTAGGAAAATTAAATTTTCTACTTTGGGGAAAAATATGGCTATTGAGAATAAATTCAGTTATAGAAATCTATGTATTGAGAAAATTTATATCAGCTATATTTATATTTTATTTTTTTATTTTATTATTATTTTTTTTATCCTCACCCGAGGACATTTTTCCATTTTTTGTTCAGGTAGAGTGGGAGGGAGAGAGAGGAACAGAGAGAGAGAGAGAAACATCGATGCGAAAGGAACACATCGAGTGGCTGCCACCCTCACGACCAACCAGGGCCAGGGACAAACTGCAACCGAGGTACATGCCCTTAGCGGGAACCGAACCCGGGTCTCTCTGGACCGCAGGCTGATGCTCTAACCGCTGAGCCAAACCGGCCAGGGCTATTTATTTTTTAAAATAGAGGTAATAAGGCCACCAACCTTAAGCTGAAGTTGCCCATTTTGGGGAAGCCTTTCAAATAGATAGTAAATCTTCTCCCTGGGTGAGTCTTCATCTATGGCTGAAAGAACAGCACTAGAAATAATCCGAGTTTCACCCATATTCATTGTAATTCCAGCCTTCCTGTAAAAAGAAAATGTCTGGGTTGATATGAAAATAGAAGGTATTGCTTTAGCAGGGAACACTCATAATGACTATTCCAGTTTCCAGTCTTCAACAATAAGGAAATAATATTCAATATCCAAAGTATTGGAAACGATGAGTCAGACTTATGCAATAGGCTCTCGTTTCACTTTACACATAAAAATCCCAAAAGATGATTAGTTAGCAACAACGAATATGGCATGAGGTAACTGCATACTTCTAATTATTTACATATACAGAACTTTACAATTTTATGGTATAATTTATTTTATAAAATTATTTTGTTTCTAATATTTTATATCATGCAGCAGCTCCATGAAGTAAGTGGTTCAGGTATCATTGCTCTAATTTTACAGACAGAAACTTACAGAGATTAAATGACTTACTCTCAGGGGACATTTTTGCATTTATCTTCAGATAGAGCCGGAGGGAGAGAGGGAGGAAGAGAGAGAGAGACATTGATGTGAAAGAGACACATGGACTGGCTGCCACCCACACGACCTCAACGGGGTCCAAGGACGAACCACAACCAAGGTACGTGCCCTTAGCGAAAACCGAACCCAGGACTCTCTGGTCCACAGGTCGATGCTCTAACCGCTGAGCCATACCGGCCAGGGTTCTTTGATCATGGTTTATGAGATACCATTAGGGGTTGGCTATGTTTAGGTAACTGGTGACCTTCTACATTGCTCTGTCTCCATGGTAATATATGTGACAGGATCTAATGCAGTGTCTGTCACATAGCTGGTGTTCTCTTCACAGAGAAGCAGAGAGAAGGAGGCGTGTCACAGAGTGAATTACACTGAAAGAGACCCTAGGACAAGAACTTTGCAGGTGATGTCTTTGGGAAGGGCTGTCAGGAATGGGAGATGGAGTGAGGAATAAGAGAAGGAAGGAGGAAGCGGCAACAGAGGGGGTTTTTACGGCTATGGGGCTCAGTGCTGCTGGGATCCTTTGAAAAACCGAATAAAATCCTCTCCATTTGTGCTCCTGAAGGATAGGTTTGTCTTATCCAGAGCTCGCACAGGTTGAGGGTGGCCCTGCGTGTTTCTGCTGTGCCTGGACTGGACGAGCCCTGCGCTGGAGGAAGCCTGAGGCAGAGCAGTGGGCGGGGCCCTGGCAGGGAGCCCAGCTCCTCCTGCCTCAGCCCCAGCTGCAGCCAGCGGCGGGGAGGTGAGAAGGGCCCATCGATTTGGTAGGAATCAAGGGAGCAGCCTGGATAAAGTGGTTGAGGATGGAGACAGTGGGCAGAAATGGGAGCAGCGAGCATAAGCTATTTTTTCAAATAGTTTGAAATAAATGGGGAACTGGGTCATCTTTGTAATTTTAGAATAAGGATACCTGCTTGAAATAATAACAATGATAATAATAATAGTAATAATAATAATGACTTGCACTTATGAGCTCTTACTATGCACTAGCTCGTTTTCAAGCAGTTTTACATATTTTAATCCATTTAATCCTTACAACAGCCCTAGGAAGAGGATATGTTCCTATCTCTATTTACAAAGAGGTTGACAAAGAGGTGGAGAGGGGTTAAGTAACATATTCAAGGCAGTGTTCAAGGTCACCTGTTCAAAGGGCTGAATCAAGGCAATCTGGCTCCAGATTTTGCTCTCTCAACCACTAACTGTATCCCCATGTTCTGTTAGCAGAAGGGATAAAAGAGAGAGATTGGCGATGCAGGAGGAAAAATCTAATGGAGCACATTGTGGGAGGAGGCAAGAGGTGATACACCCAAGGACACACGGAAGGAAAAGAGGGTGGTTATCACTGCCTCCCCTCAGGACAGAGGGAAAGAAGAAAAGACAGAGGAGGGATTTTGAAGCAGGGTTGAAGGAGATTTGGTGATTCTATAGGTGAAGCTCTCCCAGGAAGTTTAATAGCAAGAAATAGTCCGATAGTGAGTGGTCTTACTGATTTTACCTGTCTGGTCTGTTTACTTAGTGGGGATAATAATACCTACTCTGCCCAGTTTTGGTGGATTTAAGGAAATATGTGCGAAAGGATCGAACACACTGTTTGTCACATGGTAAGCACTTAAGAAACACCATTTTTCAGCTCTCTCCCTCCCTCTTGGGTAAAGTGAGGTAATCAGAAAGGAAGTTTCATAATACTGCAATATCCTTCATATTTTCATTTTTATAAAGCAAATCAAGTGATATTAATCTAACATTCCAGGAAGAGAAGAAATTTCCGTTGGATACTCTTAGTCAAATTGATGTCTGAGATGCAACCCTTCCAAAAACTGTCATCAGTATTTCCCATAATGCTTTCCAAGGGCCTTGCTGGTGACCCCTAAGGGAACAGCAGGAGAGTAGGCAGGGACTTGTTTGAGGTCCTCTTTTCTGCAAAGTGGAGAAGATTTTGGGAGTTTACACACTTTCAGAAAGGCGTTCACTTCCTGATAAAAACTCGGACTGTCTACTCAATGCCTCTCACTGCTGCACCATTGAATATAGAGGTGCAGAGGTCAAAGAGCGGACTCTTCTCTACACTCGGTGCTGGAATACACAGTTCTAACCTTGTCCACTTCTGAACAGTTGCCAATAATAAGAGAAATGGCAGGAGCTACACAAATATAATTGCTAAAGATTGTACCCTATGATCAAACTCTAATCAACTACAGAGGGAGACAGCGAGAAAGTCTGCAATTAATGATATCAGCTCAGATTTTTTTTTTTTTAAAGCAATGATTTTGACATCAGGTAGCAAGGGGATGTAGTACAGGACTGGTGGACAATGAAATACCAAGGTGACAAAAGAAGTGCCATTGGTATATTTCCCTCAGCTGCTTTTAGTTAAAAATTTGGCCAAATTCTGCAGTTAATATTATTACACTTTAGTTGAATCCAGGTATTAGTTGCACTTTGGTGCATGTGTGTGCATGTGTTTAAATATTTAACATACTGCCCTGGCCGGCTTTGCTCAGTGGTTAGAGCGTTGGCTCGCTAACCAGAGGGTCCTGGGTTCGGTTCCCACTAAGGGCACATGCCTCGGTTGCGGCTTGTCCCTGGCCCTAATTTGGGTCCTATGGGTGGGACCAGTCGATGTGTCTCTCTCCCATGGATGTTTCTCTCTCTCTCGCTTCCTCCCTCCCTCCTTCCTGCTCTATCTGGAGACAAATATTTAACATACTGTTCATTTTATACTATATGTTCAGTCATTCTTACTTGTTTACAATTAAATAGAAATTTTAGAGAAAAATCAAAGAATTAAAGTGCTCATTTGAGAACTGTTAAGAAGTCTCTACATTAACTAACATTTGCACTTAAGTTCTAGGTGCCTGGGATGGTGGGACAAACTGTGATAGACAGGAGCAGTTAATGGCTCGTTTCTTTCTGAGGACACACACTACTCTTACACCAGCCTTCCAGACCCCAGAATTTATAGAGAACCTGAAAGGGACTCTTTTCAGGTAGCTTACTTGGTAAGCACTGGTTTCTCATCATTAACTGGGGTGACCTCTACTGAAATGGTCTTCAGTATTTTATGTTTCCCATCTGACAACTGGATTGTGAAGTCATCAGCAAGGTTCTCTGAGTCATCATGCACATACATCAGCCTCATTCCTGGAAAAGGGAAAAAAAGAGAGAAAGTAAATCTTTATCCTGATTGGGAAATTTAACAGATAATTGTCTTAATTTCCAAGCCACTGGTATTCATAAGAGATCATTAATCAGTGCAACAGGGTAAAATTAAACTGTTTTATGAAATAAAAGTGCCCTCTTATTCATTAAAAATTCCTATTTAAATACTTTGGCATTTGATAAGGGTCTTACTTAAAATCACTGAGGAAAGAATGCATTATTTAATAAACTACATGAGAACAATGATGTCAGGGTGCTCAAATGAAATAAAAAATTAGTTCATTACTTGGGGAAAATTATAGTTAGAGCCCTATCCTACTTCAAGTCGAAACCAAAATGAATTCTAGATGAATAAAAATTTAAATATAAAACTATCTTTATAATACCTATACAACATTCATATGGAAATGCAAAGAGACACAGAAAGCTAAAACAGTCTTGAGAAAGAAGAACAATGTTGGAGTTCCATTTTTAACTTTTTGAGGAAACAACATACTGTTTTCCATAGTGGCTACACCAGTCTGCATCCCCACCAGCAATATGCTAGTGTCCCCTTTTCTCCACATCCTCACCAGCATTTGTTGTTTGAGAATTTGTTGATGGCATCCATTCTGGTTGATATAAGGTGACATCTCAGAGTCATTTTAATTTGCATCTCTCTGATGATTAGAGATGTTGAGCATTTTTTTCATATGTCTCCTTGCCATTTGTATGTCCTGTTTGAAGAAGTGTCTATCCAGGTCCTATGCCCATTTTTAAGTTGGATTGTCTTTCTTTGTTGAGTTGTATGAACACTCTATATTTTGAATATTAACCCCTTATCTGATGTATCATTGGCAAATATATTCTCCCAGAGGGTGGGTTCCCTTTTCATTTTGATGCTTGTTTCTTTTGCCATGCAGAAGCTTTTTAGTTTGATGCAGTCCCATTTATTAATTTCTTCCTTTGTTTCTCTTGCCCTAGGCAACGTATCAGTGAAAATTCCGCTATGTATGATGTCTGAGATTTTTCTGCCTACATTTTCTTCTAGGATATTTATGGTTTCACGGGTTACATTTAAGTCTTCTATCCCTTTTGAGTTTATTCTTGTGTATGGAGTAAGTTGGTGGTCTAGTTTCATTTTTTTGCATGTAGCTGTCCAATTTTCCCAACACCATTTATTGAAGAGACTCTTTTCTCCATCATATGCTCTTGACTCCTTTATCAAATATTAATTGTGCATACTCTCTTGGGTCAATTTCTGGGTCCTCTGTTCTGTTCCATTGATCTATATGCCTGTTCTTGTACCAGTACCAGGCTGTTTTGATTACGATGACTTTGTAGTATAACATGGTATCTGGTATTGTGATCCCTTGGCTTTGTTCTTCTTTTTCAAGATTGCTGTGGCTATTCAGGATCTTTTATGGTTCCATATAAACTTTTGGAGTATTTGTTTTAGGTCTGTGAACTATGCTGTTGGTACTTTAATAGGGATTGCATTGAATAATCTGTAAATTGCTTTGGGTAGTATGGACATTTTAATGATGTTGATTTTTCCAATCCATGAAGATGGTATATGTTTTCACTTTTTTATATCTTCCTCTATTTCTTTTTTCAATGTCCTGTAGTTTTCTGAGAACAGATCTTTTATCTCCTTGGTTAAGTTTATTCCTAGGTATTTTTTGTTGTTGTTATTACAATGGTAAATGGGATTGCTTTTTTAGTTTCACTTTCTGAGTGTTCATTATCAGTATATAAGAATGCTATCAATTTCTTGATGTTAATTTTGTATACTGCTACTTTGCCAAATTCATTTATTAAATCTAATAGATTTTTGATGGAGTCTTTAGGGTTTTCTATGTACAATATCATATAATCTGTAAATAGTGACAGTTTCACTTCCTCCTTTCTTATTTGGATCCCTTTTATTTTCCTTCTTGTCTAATTGCTGTGGATAAGACTTCCAGTACTACGTTAAATAAGAGTGGCTAAAGTGGGCATCCCTGTGTTTTTCCTGTTCTTAAGGGAAATGCTTTTAGTTTTTGTCCATTGAGTGTGATATTGGCTGTAGGTTTTTCATATATGGCCTTTATTATGTTAAGATATGATCCTTCTATTCCCACTTTGCTGAGTCTTTTTATAAGAAATGGGTGCTGCAATTTGTCAAATGCTTTTTCAGCATCTATTGATACAATCATATGGTTTTTATCTTTCATTTTATTTATGTGGTGTATCACATTGATTGATTTGCAAATATTGTACCAGCCTTTCATCCCTGGGACAAATCCCACTTGGTCATGGCAAATAACTTTTTAAATCTATTCCTCAATCCGATTTGCTAAAATTTTGTTAAGAATTTTGGCATCTATGTTCATAAGGGATATCGGCCTGTAGTTTTCTTTCTTTGTAGTGCCTTTATCTGGTTTTGGAATTAGGATTATGCTGGCCTTATAAAAAGAGTTTGGAAGTCTTTTTTTTCCTTGAAGTTTTTTGGAATAGCTTGAGGAGAATGGGTGTTAGTTCTTCTTTGAATGTTCAGTAAAACTCTCTTGGGAAGCTGGCTGGACCTGGGCTTTTGTTTGCTGGGAGCTTATTGATTACATCTTCAATTTCCTTAGTTGTTATTGCTCTGTTTAAGTTTTCTGTCTCTTCCTGGTTCAGTTTTGGGAGACTGTGTGATTCTAGAAATTTGTTCATTTCTCCTCGGTTGTCCAATTTCTTGGTGTGTAATTGTTCATAGTATTTTTAAACAATCCTTTTTATTTCTGTGGTGTCAGCTGTTACTTCTCCTCTTTTGTTTCTGATTTTGTTTATTTGGGTCCTTTTAACATTTCTTGCAGTGCTGGTTTGGTGCTGATATATTCCTTTAGCCTTTCTTTGTCTGGGAAGCTCTTTATTTCATTTCATCTTTTATTTTGAATGATAACCTTGCTGGATAGTCTTGGATTCAAATCCTTGTTTTCCATTACCTTGAATAATTTATGCCATTCTCTTCTGGCCTTTAGTGTTTTTGTTGAAAAATCAGCTGATAGCCTTATGGGGGGTGGTCCTTTGTATGTGACCTGTTGCTTTTCTCTTGCTGCCTTTAAGATCTTATGTCTTTAATTTTTGGCATTTTAATTATGATGTATCTTGGTATGGGCCTCTTTGGGTTCTTCTTACTTGGAGCTCTCTGTACTTCCTGAACTTGTATGCCTTTTTCCTTCACCAAGTTAAAGAAGTTTTCTGCCACTATTTCTTCAAATATATTCTCTAACCCTTGCTCTTTTTCTTCTTCTTCTGGAACACCTATAATGTAGATGTTGTTATGTTTCACATTGTCCCACAGCTCTCTTAAATTGTTCTCCTGTTTTTTAATTGTTTTTTTCCTTTTGGTTCTCTGATTGGGTGATTTTTTTTTTTCCTACCCTATTTTCTAATTTGCTAATCCAATCTTCAGCTTCCTCTAATATGCTGGTTATTTCTTCCAACTTGTTCTTTATTTCTGCTATGTCATTCTTCATTTCCACTTGGTGGTTTTGCATTTTCAATTAGTTGAAATTCTTTGTTTCTATATCTTTACTCATGCTGTTGAGCTTTCTCATAATTATTACTCTAAAATCTACCTCTGATAACTTGCTTAATTCCATTTCATTTATCCCTTCCCCTGCAGAATTCTCTTGTTCTTTCATTTGGGATTTGTTTCTTTGTTTCATCATTTTGCCTGTCTCGGTGGGTTTTGGCGCCTGCCTAATTTTTCCTGTGAGTGTTGATATTCCACTGATTGTGGCTTCCTGTACTGAGTTGCAGACCAAACAAAGATTCAATTATCCCAGAGCATTTGCCTGAAGGCTGACTGTTAGTCTCAGTTACATAATGAGACTCAGGTTGTAGCCCATAGCTGAATGAAAAATCCCTCAGGTGGGCAGGATGCAAGGATTTCCAGCAGGTAGGGCACTTCCTTTCCCCTGGGTTAAAGTTGCTTTGAGAAGAAAGTGGTTTCTGCAGTGTGAGTTATTGGTTCAGCACAGGGATCCAGGCCTCGGCCTTCACAGCTCAGTTCCCAGAGCCAGGACACCCAAAACTGAGGGTCAGGCCCAAGGCCTAAAAACATAAATTAAAAAGCAAATAAAATATAAAAAACCTTATTCATAGCATGTGACAAAAATAAAACATTATTTAATGATCTCATAAATCAATGAGTCAATTAAAAAATGGGCAAAGGACAATGTCAGGCGATTCACAAAAAGTGAAATATATATAGTCAATAAACATAAACATAGGTTCAATTTTAATCATAATCTAAGAATTTCAAATCAAGATAATAATGAGACTATTATTGACTCTCAAATTTGCAAAGGTTTTTAAAAATAATATTCATTATTGACTAGGAAATAGGCATGATTATACACATGGAGGCAATGGCATTTTTCCCCTACAAATATTAAAAATTCTTGCCTGTTGCTACCAGGTAATATCAATATAAATATTTATAAAGAAAACTACTAAGAGATGGACACCAAGATTTGTTGTATAAATATATAAAAATATGTTTATTGATATGTAATTTGTAATATCAAGAAATTAAGTTATTTGCATATTTAAAAATAGAAGACTATTGTATAAAATTACAGTGTAGTATGTCCATAGAATAAAAAACTATAGTTAACACAAACCACATTTTCAATTAATATTTTAAAAGTAAAAAAGATGCTTAAAATAAATCATAAACAGATTATATAATATGCTAGCAATTTTATAAATTCCATATGTTCGGGGATGGGGAATGTGTGTGAGAACATACTAAAGTTAAAAAAAATGTAGCCATAAGTGAACCAAAAATAAAATAGAGGAAAATCTAATCTTTGAGAATATCACTAAAATATTCATTTATATGAACTTTTTTCTTTAAAATGATTGTATAGTGCAAACTGCACATAATATGTATATAATTATTTAACCTAACAATAACCAATTAATATTATTTTTTAAAACTGACATGTTTTAGAGTGAAATTAGAATTCTTCTTCTTTTTTTCCTGTGTTATAAATTAGGAGAAAATATTGTAACAATATACTGTATTATTTGCTACACATGGTTTGATTTCTTAATATCATTTAAGCTCCAAAATTTATATCTTTGCAGTTGATGAAAACTGAGAAATATATGAATTAGCCTTTCAGATTCAAACATGAGATGACATTGTACAACTATTGCAAAATTCGCCTTGGGCAGAGAGCTTATACTCTCAGTGGGGAAAGGAAAAATGAAAAGACGATAGAAAATGTTGAACAAGTGCTAAGATGAAGCACAGAAAAGGAATGGTTTGGAAGGTCTGGGTGGGCTCCAAGGAGGAGGTTCTGAAGGTGAAGTATCAGCTAGCCCAGTGAAGGGGAGGAGGGAGAACCTCCCAGGCTGGGGAAACAGAGCACATGAAGACAGGAGGAGAGGGAGAGTAGGCAGTAATTCTAGAACCACACTCTTTTCTCAAAGATTTAAAAGTATTTTTATATATTGAAAATGAGTTTAAATTGATTTTTTAAATGAGTAATTCAAAATACCATTCAGGCTCCTATTCCAATGTGTCATTTCCTTAGAGGAAATTATCTCCTCAGAGAATAATGAATTATTATATATATGGTTCAAATGTGGAAATTTTGGCAGATAAATCTCTTCAAATTTAGTTTCATGATCTCAACAGTTTTAAAAAGGAATTTTTATTATGGCATTAAAACTTGAGCTAAAATACCAAAAATCACATATATCATTTTTACTGATGCTCTAAAAGTGAAAGAAAACTTATTATTTCCTTTTCAATTAACCACTGTCTTTAGCTGAATCTTCATGCCCTACATTAATTCAGAGCCAAAAAAAAACCCTTGAGGGATAAATGAATAAAGTAGGTAAATGTCATTTCTTTACTTCCTATTTCTTTGATTTATTATCATCATTTCTGGGTTAAATTATTAAATCAAGCACAAACAAAAGCAGAACATGATATACCATTCTTGAGAAGTTCCATGGAAAAGTTGTAAACAAGTTCATGCTTCTGACCAGGGTTGGCTAGCTGCTTATACTGAGGCAAGTCTCTGCTGAGCACCCCACTGATGAGGAGGCCATGCTGAGGTTCATGAATGATGCTGAACAGCAAGGGGTCCTCGGGAACATCCAGGTCAGCAGCACAGATGATGGAAGAATCCAGCTCTTTCGTCTGACCTTCACTCACCTAAATGACCACAAGTCAGAAAAGTCAGCTGCATGTAAAATAAAACTGGTCTTTCTTTTGGCAACTTGCAAAAAAGAAATAATTTTAAGATATCTGGTTGCAAATTTTCCATGATATTTGTGTATAATGAGTTCTAAACATTGTTGGTTTAATATAACCCCAGAAGACAAGAACAAATCTATTGATCTCACATGTTCGCTGAAGATGTCAAAGCATTTTATTCATTTCCATGATAGATAAAGGATACTCTGTGTGTGTGCGCACATGCACATGCACGCGTGTGTGTATGTATAAAGTTTTTATATTTCAAAAGTTGGGAAGAAAGCAATCAAAGATGCTTGCTCTCTCTGGAAGTCACAGAGAAGTTCACTTGTAAACTGAGTGCAGACAGACCCTTCACCTTCAGATCCTAATCTTTCATTTTAACCTCCTTGACCTTGCTCCCTTGCAACTCTTATGTTTCTGTTTTAGAAATGGTACAAATATCTGTTAGACACACTGGGGGGTATTTGGTGTTTTGTAATTTATGTCACTGCTGTAAAAACTTCTGTATTTCAGTTGAAATCAACAATTGAGAAGTCTGCTTCTGGATGCATCATAGTGTAAATGTAATTGTGGGTCGCTCATTTCTCCCTCGTCCTCACACCTCTCATTTTCCTGAACTGCCTGCCCCCGCTCTCACCCTGTCAGGTTTCTGACTCCTTCAAGCACAAACAAAACTGAATGTTTTTCATTTCATGTTGGATCTAGTCATTTAGAACTTGACATGGTACTTAGCTACCTTGATCTTCTTTTTCATAACAGTAAGAATAAAGCAAACAAACAAATACTTCTGTTTTCTATTTTGAAATACAGTGAGATCTAATCTAAAAGAGTGTATCAATTGAACATACGCTTACTGGGAGTCTGCAGTGTCACTGGGTTCCATTTTGTGGCGGATAGAAATATTCTAAAGAATCAGTGCTAGATGGACCTGTGAAGGCCTGTCCGTCAATAATTAAAATGCACAAAAGAAAATATCTAGTGCTACTAAATAGGCATAAACAAGAAGTGCAAAATGATGGAGGAGCCCAGGAATGTCATTATGGCCAAGTGGGCATTTTAGCCTTGAAAGACACATGCGCTTTAGCTTTGTGAAAATACCCCTTCTCGTTCACTGGAGTACTATGCAACTGTAAGAAAGAAAGGTCTCTTATCCTTTGAGATGGCATGGAGGGACCTGGAGCGTATTATGCCAAGCGAAACAAGCCAAGCAGAGAAAGACAAATATCACATGATCTCTCTTATTTGTGGAATATAATAAACTAAACAAACTGATGAACTAAATTGACCCAGAGACACAGAGGTAGGGTACAGACTGACAAGCCTCAGAGGAAGGGAGAGATAAACCACAGCACTTATATGCATATATGACTAATGAACATAGACAACAAAGCTGGGGATGGGGTGGGGGGATGGGGAGGAGGGTATCAATGGGGGGGCGGGGAAGGAAAAACATCTGTAACAAAAACAAATTAATAAAAAAAAGAAAGAAAATGCCCCAATGCCCCTTCTCTTCTGCTTCTCTTATTGACTTTAAAGGGAGCTATCCTGAAACCACTTTTCACTGAATTTGCATAAAGAAAAACCATTTGCCACATCTGATACTTGGGCTAAAATTATGTTTTGTTTTGTTTTGTTTTAATTTGGCCTTACTTATTAAGGATGAAGATGACATCAAAATTTAATGCACACTGATAGAATTATGAAATCATCTCTCATGGTCACTTGTCTTTTTTCTCCAAGAAATTTAATAAAGCAACCTAAAAATGTGTTCTAATTATCCTTATTCATAAAAGTTGGGATTCCTGGACTCACTATATGGCAAAAATGATAAATCAGTTCACAAGATGACTGGGAAATTTTATTGAAAAAATGTGGTGCCCTGGCTGGTGTGGCTCAGTTGGTTGAGCACCCTCCCAGGCATGGAAAAGTCACCAGTTCAATTCCTCGTCAGGGCACATGCTTGGATTGTGGGCTGGATTCCCAGTAGGGGGCATGCAGGAGGCAGCCTATGGATCCATGGTTCTTAGTCCATGCTCCTTTCTCTTCTCCCTCTCTCTTTCTCTAAAATCAATAAAAACCTATTTAATTTAGAAAAAGAAAAATGTGGGATTCATTTTGCTCATTTAATTTTTTATTGAAACTGTAAATAAAAGGTTTAGATCAAAGTACATAAAATATAGACACTCACTAGAAGACAAATTTTAAATGGATTATAACTTAAACCATAACCTCACTTTTTTTGCATGTTGCACACAACTTGATAGAAACCAAGCTATCTACAAAATAAATATACTGTTTGACAAGAAAGTAAAATAAATGACTATTTTTAAACAATCAAATATAGTTTGTCTAAGGATGCTCAGGTAAAAACCATGCTTACTTTCAGAGAAGAGCAAGGAACAATTTCCCAATGGCCTAATTATTTCAGAAACCCCAATCCCACGCCCTAGATAGATATAAGACAATAAAGGTAGTTGTTAAAGAAATAACTTATAGAATTTGTGTGTGTGTGTCTCATAATCACATAAGCGAGCTTCAGAGAAATCCATGTTCCAAATGAATGGAAAAGACAGGAGCTGGCACCTAAATCTCATTGTGGTGGTTGTCATACACCATTAAGATTTCTTAGAGCCTTGGCTGGATGGCTGAGTTGGTTGGAGTGTCGTCCTATGCACCAAAAAGTTGTGGGGTTCAATTCCCAGTCAGAGCACATGCCTAGGCTGCAGGTTTGATCCTCAATCTGGGCATGTATGGGAAGCAATCGACTGATGTTTCTTCTTCACACTGATGCCTCTCTCTGTCTCTCTGTCTCTGTCTTTCTCTCTCTCAGTCAATGAAAGCATATCCTTGGGTGAGGATTGAAAAAGAAGATTCAGTAGAAAACAAAAATCAAGAGAAGACTTTTATAAACAGACTGACATATCTTAGAGGGGAGGTGGTGGGGAGACAGGAAGAAATTAAAGAACTTATATACTTAGCCCATGAACACAGACAATGGTGCAGTGAAGGCGTGGGGTGGGGTAGGGTCTGGGTGAAGGGGGGCAAAGGTGGGGAAAATGGGGGACATCTGTAATACTCTCAAATATAAAAAAGAGAACACTTTTACATTTAGAACTTGATCATTTTTAGTAAAAAATAAGGTAAGGTAATGGTTTCAAAATAGGTAATATTTGCTTTGGTCAATGTCAGAAAAAAGAAGACGAACAAAACAACAAACCAAATGGCACCTGCTTACTGAGTCTACTGTGTACCTGACCTTCCTGATCATCACGGCTACCCCAAAGGAGGTTTGCTATACATGAGGAAACAGAAGCATAGAGAAACAACTTACCCTAACCCCTGCAACTAGTCAACAGCAGTAACTAAGTCCCTCCTATTCCAAAGTCTAGGCTCATCCATTTAATCATAATTGGCTATATGTATGTGTGGATTAAATCATCATATGTAACAATTAAAAGTATTTTAAAAAGCATAGAATTCATGCTGAGCCCTGGCCAGTTTGGCTCAGTGGTTAGAGTGTCGGCCCGAGGATCAGAGAGACTGGGGTTCAGTTCCCACTAAGGGCACGTGCCTCAGTTGCAGTTTGTCCCCGGGCCCGGTTGGGGTCGTGTGAGTGGCAGGCAGTCAATGTGTCTCTCTCACAGCGATGTTTGTCTCTCTCTCTTCTTCCTCCTCTCCCTCCTGCTCTATCTGAAGATAAATGCAAAAATGTCCTTGGGTGAGGATAAAAAAAAAAGAATTAGCCCTGGTCAGTTTGGCTCAGCGGTTGAGTGTCGGCCTGCAGACCAGAGAGTCCTGGGTTCGGTTCCTGCTAGGGGCACGTACCACAAAAAAAAAAAAAAAAAAAAAAGAATTCTATGCTGCTATAAAAATATGTTCAACATGCATAATTACTTATTTTTTAAAGTAGAAAGTAGTAGGTAGAGTATGGTCCCTGATTTGTAAATAAAAACACACAGAAACATCGCACATGCATGGCATCCCGAGATGCTCACAGACATATTTGGTGGCATTAATTACGAAAAACTCAACTGATGGGGAGTGACTATGGGTATGATCCATTGAAAAGGGAGAATTTCATAGTTCACTGTGTATGTTTATCAACATTCTAACTTGTTTAATAACATACATTTATTATTATTATTTAAGAGATAATAGGTGTTATCTGAGGGTGATGTTATGGGTCATTTTAACTATATATCTGGATTTTTAAATAAAACTAACAAATGTTGTTATGTAAAAACATATTTAAAACTCATAAAAAGTCCAACCAGTGTGGCTCAGTGGTTGAGCATCGACCCATGCACCAAGAGGTTGCTGGTTCAATTCCAGGTCAGGGTACATGCCTAGGTTGTGGGCCTGATCCCCAGCGGGGGACATGCAGGAGGCGGCCAATCGATGTTCTCTCTCATTGATGTTTCTATCTCTCTCTGTCTCCCTTCCTCTCTCTCTCAAATCAATAAATAAAAACATTTTTTTTTAATTACATAAAATAAAACTGCATAAAAATAATGGTCCAAATTGTATTTTTTATATCATATATACTTATAAATAACTAAACGAAATAAGATGTCTGTAATTTGTGAGTTAAGAGTCCTTGCAGTTACCGCACTGGTTAAGAGGGTGTGGTGTAGACAGACTACTTGGGTACAAATTCCCCATGTGCCACTTACGTCCAAGCTCTGTAACCCTGGACCATTTAGTTAATCTTTTTCTGCCTCATTTTGTTCAGTTAATAAATTGCAATAATAATACCATCACCCTAAAAACCTATTGTGAGGATTAAATACGAATACATGTAAGGAAGGGGTTTAGAATATCACCTACAACCTAGCAATTATTTATCCTATATCTATGCAAGTATAATTGCATCCATACATTTGTTATATATTAGCAATCGTTAGCATTAGCATGATTATTAGAATAATATTTCTCATGTGATTGTATGCCATGACATCTGTTACTTCCCTCCCACTCCTCATCAACTTGATGTGCCAAGAACACCTGCACCAGTGTAAATTGACTTCGTGAAAATAAAATCAGAAACTGGTAAGAGAGAAATATAAAATTCTGATCTCACCGTAATATTCTGCACCACAAAGTCAGGAGCTTCGTCATTTGTGGGGTTGATGATAACGTAGAATGGTATCTCCAGGGAGCGGCGCTTCCCGTCTGTGACGTACACCGTGAACTGGTCGGCCGTGGGCTCCATCCTCAGGTGCCTGGACTGCACGTAGTTAACGTGCAAAGCCTTCATGTCTTTCCACTGAAACGAAGCTAAAACATACCAAGATGAAGCCAGGAAGTAAGGAACGCATTTTCCCCAAGCTACTAGGCCTTAGTCCTCTAACCAATAGCCTGTTTCTCAGCGAAGTAAACGAGAGGTCATGGCAGTTGACCCAGGAATCAGCTATCAGTGGCTGCTATAACGACTGCCAACAAAAAAACAGATATTCAGCCTGGCCGGTGCGGCTCAGTGGTTGAGCGTCAACCCAGGCACCAAGAAGTCGCCAGTTCAATTCCCTGTCAGGGCACATGCCCAGATTGTGGGCCAAATACCTGGTGGGGGGCATGTAGGAGGTGGCCAATCGATGTTCTCTCTCATTGATGTTTCTCTCTCTCCCTTCCTCTCTCTAAAATCAATAAAGGAAAAAAATTTAAAAAACAACAGATATCCATAAATTCTAAGGAAGGGTTAAAACTTGCATGGAGAGCAAAAGGGTGATAACTGCTAACCAGGACATGTAGGGACTTCATGGCCATTCTTCACATACTTGGGTCAGTGACATCTTCTTTTGATTAAAACCACTTCTTCTGCATGAGAGGTTCTTGTCATGCTCCATTTAGAAAGAGACCATTGCCCTGCCTTTACCAGGAGCCAGGGAAGGCCCTGTAGCATCTCTGGCAGAGGATAAAGACACGGAGTCAAATGTTTTCTAAGCCCTGTACTGAGTTAAGAGTGGGGACTATGGAGACAATGTACTCTTTATGGACTTACCTTTCCTGGGGCCTCAGTGTTCTCATTTATATATTAACTTACTCCTGATAGAGGGTTTAATCAAAAGCAGTTTTTAAAATTACCAAATAAAAGAATGTACTAGGACAAGAAAGAAAGAAACCATCTCTTTCGAATAAAGGCAAATCAAAAGCCAGTCAATAATTTGCCTACTTGATGTCCATATCAAGCAACTCACTGGTTGGATGAGTGGAATCAGCTGACCTGCTGTTTTGGTATTTTGATACCATCTTAAATCAAATGAGAAAAATGCTCTATGTTGTGCATTAATTCACAGGAAAATTGTATACACTTTAATGCAATTAATCTTTCCTCCCCAGCTTTATTGAGATATAATTGGCATGTAACATTGTGATGATTTGATACACACATATACTATGTGTATTACCACACTTATTACCACAATAAGGTTAGTTAGCATATCATTCGTCTCACATAATTACCATTTTGTGGTTGTGACAGTGAGAACAGTAAAGCAGACTCTCCAAGCAACTTTCAAATATAAATTGACTATCGTCAACCACAGTCCCTGTGCTGTACCTCAGATCCCCAGAAAGCATTCATTTCCATAAGTGAGGTTTCCATTTATTTTGATGTAAACTTGCATGCATGGGAAATTTCAAAGTAAAAGTGAAAAATAATTTTCAAAAGTATCAGCTGTAACCATTGTTTAAATATATATGGTGCTTTGAACATTTTGGAAGTCTTTACCCAGTTATTGAGCATGGTCTGGCCAGTAAGATCCATAAACACAGGCGAGTTATTGCTGGTCATGAAACTGACTTACCTATACTTATGCCCATATTGCTTTTTTCAAAACCCACAGAAGGGAGGGTGTTTTCAAGGTAACCGAACTGGGGAGAAGAAGTCAAAACAAATTCCAAGTCATCTGCTGCCGTGTCAGGGTCAGTGGCTGACAAATGGTTAACGGTGAGGGCTGCTGAGAAACCCTCATCTACCACGAACATGGTACCTGCATACGAATAATAAGACAATTATGACTTGGTGTGAAAGTCTCTAATCAAAATAGTGAGGACAAAGGGAGTGATCGAAATTCCAATTCAGAGAAGCCTCCCATATGCAAATACACTTCCATGGGAGATGTTCATTTCCTTTGGCATCCTTCTCCTTACAGTGAAAATATTCAGGGGTAATGGGTGGAATTTAATTTGACTTATGGAATTATAGATCTTTTTCCTTGTACAAGCAAGCCAGACAATAACGGAAAGACGGCAGAAACACCCACCGCTCCAGCAAACCCTAGTCGTTCTCAAGGAGCTCTGATTTCCCTTGTGTCTCTGTGGAAGTGACAAATGAAAATAAGAATTGCCAAACTGTTTTAATGATAAGCCACTAAATGTGGTTTATGTACTTTTCAAGATCAGTTGTTACCTCTGTTTGTCAGAGTGTTAATTGCCTGCAAGCTATTATGAATTGCTCATAACCAACGTTTTTTTTCATGCCTTGGTGCTTAATTATTCTGCAGGGACAATGCTTTCTTTCCAGAACATTGCTTGGGAGATAGTTTGTAAATTTCAATAACATTCATACATATGCTTGTATTTTTTTTTTTTTCTGAGAGACAGAACATATACATAATGCTGATGAAGAGATGACTTTCTAAAAAGCAAATAAGGTTAAATGTATATAAATGGTCTCTCTGGTATACTCATTCTGCTCTAATAGAAATTATTATGGATAAAATAAATTACTCTCTCTCTAGCAGGCAAATAGTATTTTCCCATGTGAAATAAAACCAGAATATTTGAGGATTCTAATGTTGTTCTCATCCTGACACACCACACACACACACACACACACACACTCACACACACTCACATACACATACTTGCATGCTTTCTCCAGAGAGAGTTACCTAAATTTTGAAACAAGTAAATTCTTTTGCCCTGTAATCTTTATAAATTTGAGATTTTCCACAAATTTGTCTGAGGGCAATTATTGGGAGCAATTCTGTATGGTGGTTTTCTATTTTGACTATAAGTAAGGTGCATTATTTCAGTGAACCACGGATATGTGACTAGGTGAGATAATAGAACTTTAACAGAAAAATCTTTGTCACCTATTGCAATTGAAGGTGGTTGGTTGTCCACTGGATGTACTGTGATATTGAGATCATACACTGGAAAGGACTTATGAAGAGGAACAGATGGATGAGGTCCATCGTAGCAACAGCCATTCACAAAAGGGCCTGCTTCTTCATCCGAAACCACTAACGTAATGGTGTCATAACAAGGCCCCAGGCCAATCTCACCACCTGGAAGACACAACTATAGCTGAAACCTGACTTTTTGAAAATATAGAATACCAAGATGAAGTCTACTCGAACCTCTTCCACAAGCAGAGAATGTCAAGAAAAGGAACTCATGTGGCTAAAATGTAAAATTCAATTTTATCACCATGAAATTAAGTAAAGTCATGAAAATAATGCAAAAAGCTTGCCCATCTGTTGCCTTTGGTGAGATCCCTGCCAGACAGCTATCACCATATGGAGGGGCAAAATGGAGCTAACAAGGGCCTGACAGTTCACAAATGAACAAGAAACAGACACAAAACTAGACTAGTGATGGTTTCATTCTTCTCTCGTAATTGTTTAGACCACCTCAGGAAGAGCAGAAGGCACCCCTGTCTGTTCGGTAATTGTCTGCCCATTTGCATTAACCATCTTAAATGAACAACCATCAACCACATAGTAGTTCCCAGAAACAGAAGAACATGGATAGGTGAAATACAAAAATAATCCATATTTTTGTCATTTGTTTCAGTATTTTCCTCATCATGTAATAACCAAGATGTCAACAAAATATGAACAGCACTGGGAAAAGAAGTGACAATTGTTTTCCTTTTCTTTTCACTCTTTAGGGCTTACACCTATGAGTTTCAAAATGCCCCCAACTTGGGCAGGGAGGGAGGAAGGAAGATTAGATAGTTTATCAGCTAACAGGACAATCTGCTCTTGCGTTACTAACAGCATTGAGGTCGTAGTATTCACTACCCAGGGGACAGAAGAGTTTGCCAGATGTGCTTTTGGTAATTCTCATGCATCACTTTGCAAGTGCCAAAAGGGAAGCAATTATGTTTGAAGTTCTGATGAAACTAGAGCACAAAAGATCAGGAACGGCCTCGCCTTTTCATACGACATGTTGGTCACATCTACAGGGTATTGTGCTTGACATGATTCTCCATCTAAAAAAAGACTAGTAAAATTCAGAGAAGATATTATTGAGAAGCCAAATGATTAAGGTCTGATAAACCTGTTTTAAGGAAAAAACTTGAAGGTGAAAGAATTAGAATTAAAAATTAACCTTCAACCTTAAGAAAAGTAAGAAACAAGAGGTCTATCATCTATTAATATACATAAACAACTAATTGGCCTAAAGCATGTTTATTCATCATTCACTCAATAAATATATATTTAATGCCTACTACGTGGCAATTAGGGTTCTGGGGGCTTCAGCAGAGAAAGGAAGATATTTTGAAAATGTCAAAAGAGCTACTATGTGTCAGGGACTGACACAGTCTAATTATGGACAAAGAAATGCTTTCTGCTTAGGATATCACAGATGCGTGGATGTATGAAATGGAATCATATGAAATTGCCTCTCTTGAGCCAGTTTTTACCTATTAAATGGAAAATACATTTATCTCAGCCTGATTCTGCACAAAGTGCCAGGGGTGAAGGAGACGAGGGGCTGACGCTGGCATGGGAGCGGGCACGTCTTTCCAGATCACGGCCCTGGCTTTGTATTGAGCATTAGGTCAGGCAGACAATTGGGAGCTGGGAGAGAGACCCTACAGGGAGAGGGAATCAGGAAGAAAAAAATGAAAATAAAAAATTATTCCAGCAAGGGAAGAGAACTTTTTAAAAAAGAAAACAGTAGTACATTCAGTAACTGTAATTTCAATATAATAGAAGCATCAGATACACTTACAGAAGGAGCAGAAAAAGTACCCTGAGCATTAAGCTACAAAAAACTATGACACAGGTAGAAGAATTTTTTACTTGAAATAAAATAAAGTCTAAATACATGATTTATACTCGAAAAAAAATTTTTTTTATCCTCACCCAAGGACATTTGTGCATTTATTGTCAGATAGAGCGGGAGGGAGAAAGGGAAGAAGAGGGAGAGAGAAACACTGACATGAGAGAGACACATTGACTGGCTGCCACTCACATGACCCCAACTGGGGCTGGGGACAAACTGCAACCGAAGAACATGCCCTTAGCGGGAACCGAACCCAGGCCTCTCTGATTCATGGGCTGACACTTTAACTGCTGAGCCAAACTGGCCAGGCACCTATGCTTTCTTCTAGAATTTTTATGGTTTCAAGTCTAACAGCTAAGTCTTTAATCCATTTTGAGTCTATTCTTATGTATGGTGTAAAAAGATGGTCTAGACAATTTTTGCACAGATCTGTCCAATTTTCCCAACATCATTTGTTGACTAGATCATCTTTACCCCAGTGCATGATCTTGCCTCCTTTGTCAAATATTAGTTGAATATAAAGGTATGGGCTTGTCTCTGAGCTCTAGATTTTATTGTACTGATCTATGTCTGTTTTTATGCCATTACCATGCTGTTTTGATTACAATTGCCTTGTAGTGTAGTTTGATATTGAGTAGCATGATTCCTTCAACTTTGTTCTTTATTCTCAAGATTTCTGTGGCTACTTGGGGTCTTTTGTGGTTCCATATAAAGTTTTGGAATGTTTATTCTTGTTCTATGAAATACACCATTGGGTAGTATGAACCTTTTAATGATATTAATTATTCTTATCCATGAACATGGCATATGCTTCCACTTATTTGTATATTCTACAGTTTTTTTCTTCGGTGTCTTATAATTTTCTGAGTACAGGTATTTTCCATCCTTGTTAAATTTATTCCTAGGCATTTAACTTTTTATAAGCAATTGTAAATGGGATTGTTTTCTTATTGTCCCTTTCTGTTCGTTCATTATTGGTGTATAAATATGCATTTGATTTATGGATATTTATTTTGTATCCTGTTACTTTACTGAATTCATATATCTGTTCTAGTTGTTTTGTTTTTGTTTTTGTTTTGGTGGAATCATTAGGATTATCTATAAATAATTCTATGTCATCTGCAAATAATGACAGTTTTACTTCTTCCTTTCCAATTTGAATGCCTTTTTTTCCTGCTTCTTGTCTTATTGCTGTGGCCAGGACCTCCAGTACTATGTTGAATAAGAATTGTATCAATTCGGGCAAGGAAACAAACAAATAAACAACGGGACTACATCAAACTAAAATGTTTTGCGCAGCAAAGGAAACCATCAGCAAAATGAAAAGACAACCCACTGAATGGGAGAACATATTCACCAATATATCTGATAAGGGTTTAATGTCCAAAATTTATTTAAAAAACTTATAAAACACAACATCAAAAAACAAACAATCCAGTTTAAAAATCGGCAAAGGATCTGTATAGACAGTTCTCCAAAGAGGACATATAGATGGCCAATGAAAATACAAAAAAATGCTCAACGTCACTAATCATTAGAGAGATACAAATTAATACCCCAAGGAAATAATCATCTCACACTTGTCAGAAGGGCTATCATCAACAAACCACAAGTGTTATGAGGATGTGGAGAAAAGGGAACCCTTGTGCACTGTTGGTGGCAATGCAGATTGGTGCAGCCACTGTAGGAAGCAATATGGAGTTATCTCCAGAATTCAAAATGGAACTACTTTATGACCCAGCAGTTCCACTTCTGATAATATATCCTAAGCAACCTTAAACACTACTTCTAAAGAATATATGCACCCCTATGTTCATTGCGGTGATATTTACAATAGCCATGATTTGGAAGCAACCTGAGTGCCCATTAGTAGATGAGTGGATAAAAAAGCTAGGATACATTTACACAATGGAATACTATGCAGCTATTAAAAAAGAAGGATCTCTTACCCTTTGAGACAGCATAGATAAACCTGGAGAGTATTATGCTAAGAGAAGTACCATATGATTTCACTTATATGTGGCATCTAATAAACAAAGTAAACTAATGAACAAAGTGGAGACAGAATCATGGATACAGAGAACAGACTGACAGCTGTCAGAAGGGAGGGGATTGGGGGCTGGGTGAGAAGGTTAAACAAACTAAAATAAAGACAGACTCATGGACACAGACATCAGTATGGTGATTGCCAGAGGAAAGGGGGCTGGGAGGAGTTAGAAGAGGGTAAAAGGGGGATAAATGGTGATGGAAGGAGAGTTTACTTGGGGGTGGTAAACACACAATGCAATATACAGATAATGTACTATAGAGTTGTATACCTGAAACCTAAATAATTTTATTAACTAATGTCACCCCAATAAATTCAATAATAAATAAATAAATAAAAACTTCATATTTAATGAAAGAAATATTTTAAACATTTGTGGTGATGATTTAAATGAAGAAGGTAATCTTCAAAACTGCACATACACATGATTGCAACTATTTTAAAACTTGTGATTAGAAAAAAATAAAATAAAATGCTGTGATACTGAAATGTTAAACAATGGTTATCTTTGACAGGTAAATAAGGTGACTTTTTTTTCAAAACTCCATGACACTTTTCCATACTTTCCAAGTTTTTTTTGCAGTGAGCATGTACTATTTTCATAATGATAGAAAGCAAATAAAATAATGGTGACAAAATTATTCTCAGGTGGCCTTTATAATCATTGCATGTAGACAAGAGTAAGCCACTAAAACTAGATCTTACAATACTATGGGTCTTTATACAAAGCTTAGCACAGTGCTAAATAACACCAATTGAGTGAGTGTGAATGTTATAAAAAAACATAACGCTCAAAAAAGAAACCACCTTTTGAATATAGTCTTTCTGCTACCTTAATAACATAGCAAAAAAAAAAAAAAATCATTTGAAATAATTTGCCCAATGTCCTACTAGGTCTTATGAAAAAAATTAGTTACAGTCCCTTACATGGCTATGACACTAAAATAGATGTATATACATGTATTCCTGTCGTCTAGCATGTGGAACAAGGCACTAGAAGAGAAGACACATCTATTTCACCCTAATCTATCTGTGCTACGTGAGACTGCCAAAGATGTTCAAATTTGGGGGCAAACAACAGTGATTGGTCTTTGGACCCCTTTCTGCCAGTCTACTTGAGACCTACTGGGGACATCAGTGTCTTTGAGAGACATTGAAAGACATCAAGTTCTGCATGATGATCCCTAGGACAAAGAAATAACTAAATAAACCTTACCTAAGACTAAACACAGATAAAAAGATGAGCTATCATTTAAAAAAATATGTATCTGGAAGTGATTAAAATGCACCATACTAACCAACTGGAATGAAGACAATTGGAATCCTATAAATCATAGTTTATCAAAGTATATTTTCCAAAGAACATAAAAATATTATTTGCAAATGTTTTCTCCCATTTTGAGATTAATCCTTAGCTATCTCAATCCTCCCTTCTTGAGTTCCTTCCCCACCCCTCACTGCTTGCATTCTCTCTCTATCTCTTCAAATAAGAAAATGATTTGAGTTCGGACACCTCTTATTTCCACTATCACTCACTTGGCCTATATATATCCAATCGTATTCCCCCCATGGAATGTGCAGGTGAGCGAGGCATACGGATGAGTAAACAGGAAATTGTAACATAGTGCAATAAAAGGTAGTTAGAGGAAGTATCTGGTGCCATTACTGAGGAAGTGCCCCCAATCCAGAATCCAGATGTGCAAGGGATGAAGAGGCGCAGATGTATCACACTGTTGTTGCATGTGAATGGGTTTGTCTACCCATTTAAAGGAAAAGTCCTTCACAACAGGGTCTGGATTATACTCCTTTGTAGCCCACAGTGCCTAGTACTGTGCCTTGCAGATATCAAGGGTTGAATTAATACTTCATTTATTTGAACATTTTACGTGGGAACACATGCCACCTGGGTAATATTATAATATGATGCCAGAAATGTAAGCATGATGCTAATAAACAATTGTTTACTGTGAATCTCATCTGTGTCCACCACTGTCATGAGCTATGGGTAAGTTACAAGTCTAAGACTTCTTTGCTTTTCAGAAACTTTAAAGGCAGGTCAGTTACTTCTTAGCAGCTAGATGGTGGTCAGTTAACTTTTAAAAATAATAATATAATTATCTTAGGGAGTTTACTTCACACATTTCTGCTAGGATATTATGATTTCTGAACCCAGAAGCTCTGAGGGTCAAATAAAGTCATTGTCCTCTTAACCAAAAAGGGGGCGAGGATGACCCCAGAGTGAACTGAAGGTCTATGTGCAAGTGTCATGAACAGAGCAACAATAACACTTGCTCTTTCTCTATTCTGAAATGCATTATCATACAGAGATTAGAAATGCTTCTAAGTATGGTGACCCTACCTGAACAATGGGACACAGGCTGCTGCTGCTTCTTTTTAACGGAAGAAAGCATTAAGACTTAGATTACTGGGGCCCATAGTGAGGAGGGAGGTTAAGACTCTCTTGTGCTACTTACATACCCTCACTCAAACTAGTCACACTGCTGTCACTTACCTGTGTGTCTGTACGTCACCACCCCTGAGATAACATCTCCCTGAGAGAACTGATCAACTGTGACTCCAGCTCTCCTCACCACCCCATGCTGAGGCTCTCGAGAAATCACAAACAGCAGTTTCAAGTCATCACTGTCCGCATCAGTAGCACAGATGTATTCAGAGGTGATGACCACCTCATCACCCTCTGAACAATGCATCTGGGGGTTGAGGTCAGACTTTAGGATCGGTGGCTCATCATTGATGGGGAATACCTAAGTTGGAAAAAAAAATGCATGTTTTCAAGAAAAAGAAAGCAATGACAAATTGCCCAACGGGTAACCCATAGCTCATAGTCACAATGACAGGCATTTTCAATCTTCCAGACACATGAAACAATAGCCATGGAATTTGGCCAAGCAGTTTGTATCTTTTAACTTTCCCCATATGAGCCATCTTGCAAGAAATGACCCACACGAGAGACGTTTTAGGTAGGGATGGGAGAGTACAGTTATGGTTTGGGACTCAAATCTCCCATTTGTTTCTAGGCAGACAAAATATAAATGTGATATAAAGCATCCTTCACCAAAGCCCGTCTCCTCCTTCATTAAATTCATACATATTCTAGGGGAAGTCTGGCCCTTGTGGTCTGATGCATTCACATTTACCACATCAAAGTTATTTATACTTCAAATTACTTGGTGATTACAAAGCTCTCTTCTACCTTCAACTTCCTGCCATCCAGGAAGTTTCTCTGGACCTCCAATAAGCAGCAGCTGCATTTCAAACATTTTCAGTTAAATCTGAAACTCCTTAACCATCATATATCAATGCCAGGTTTCAACTTGACAAAAACATTTCCCCCTCACTGTTGTGAAAGTAAAGCTCCAAGTAGAAGGGAAAGAAAAGCAACACAGGCTCACACTGGCTCTCAGAAGTTAAAAAGATGATAGAAAAAAATTGAAAAAGTATGTCTTCTAAATGGGCATGAAGGACATTTCTCCTCTGAGTTCACAGCAACAGCTTGGTGAATGCCCCAGTTTATTTATCCAGACCGGCTGTGAATACTCTCAGCCCTGCACTTCCTCCCTCCACGCTGCAGCCAATGGGATCTTTTAAAATTTGGTTCCCATCAAGTCACTGCCCTGTGGGAACCTTCAATGGCTTCCCAGAGCTTCTCCTAGGATGTCTTCAGCCTCATCTCATGCTATGGGGTGCCTTTGCCACGCCACTCCATTTCATCCCCAAACACTCCCTTCCTCGTATCTCAGGTCTTTGCACCATCTCTGCATCCTCTCTCTGCCCCTTGGCTTGGGATGCTCTGCCCCTAGCTCTTTGCTTGGCTACCTCCTCCCCCAAGTTACATGTGGATTCCACAGGTTACATGTGAGTTCCTTGACAACTCGGACTCATTTAGGAACTTTTATTTACTCTCTTTTAGCACCCCATAGATTTGTAGAATACATACATATTTTAACTAATTAATTATTTCAGTGATAATCTTTTTAATGTCTGCCTTCATCCCTTGTCTGTAAGCTTTATTTGTCTTATTCGTCATCACAGTCCAAGCATCTAGCATAGGACCTGCATGTAGAATACATTATCTAAAGATTTATGGAATAAATAAATAAATAAATAAATAAATAAATAAATAAATAAATAAATAAATTCAATCATGTTTATATGCCCCAGTTACCCTGCTACTTAAACAGTTGTTAAACTCAACAAATACACATGAAATTATGCTGAGACTTTCATTTAATGGATAAAGGGATAGGGTAATAAAAACCCAGCCTTATTTATTTAATCAAAGGTAATACACACACACACACACACACACACACACTATTTTATTTTTCTATTGGCTTATTAGAAAACAATATCTTTGTTTAAATCTTCTGAGTGGATACATTAAAGATCCTCTTTATTATTATTCTTGACTCAATCAGTGAATCCCACCAGTACATTCGTGATGACCATCTTGTAGCAGTTCACAAAATAGTTTCAGCCTCAAACAATTAATAAAGTGCAAAGGCAACAGAATTAAAACATTCCTCCTAGATAAAAAAAACAATCACACATACTATTCCAAAATTTGCTTGTACCTCTGATTGGCTTTCAGAGGTCATGTCCTTTTATCTAAAATGGAACAATAAACACACTGTTTTTCCCAAATGCACTGCTTACTGTCATTAATAAGAAGATGATTATTGGTAGAAGATATGTAGGGTTGGATTTTTTTCCCCCACTAAAATTTGCTTTCCAGGAGAAAAAAAAAGCAACTCAGAAAAGCTTTCTCTGTATATAAATGTCTGCCAATGAAAAATAATGTTTTCTTATTGAAGCTGAAATAACATGCTGCTCTGCATCTAGACCTCAGGCCATCATGAAGACTGAGTGGGAAAATGGAAGGAAGGGGCTATGCATTGCATCTGGCATGGATAAGTACTCAGGGAATGTTAGCAACACGATCATTATAGTCACCTAGTAATTTACAGTTGCGGCAGTGGTGAGGAGGAAGGAACACTAGCTAAGTCCCCGGGAGTGGAGGTGCAGCCGAGGTCTACACAGTCAAGATAATGACTTTGGGCAAGTCATCGAACCTTCTTAGACCTCCATTTCCTTCACTATGAGATGGGGATAGCTCTTTCCCTGTCTACTTCTGAAAACACTAGCTGGATGTGATCATTCTTAATTAATTATTAACTGCAAAGTATCTTACAAACACATTATTATCACAAATAATAATTTCATATCACAAAGATCGGACAAAATACAAAGAGAATAGAAGTTAGTACAGTAAGAATAATTAGTGGCTCTTCTGGGAGCATGGTGAGTCTTTCTGAAGACTTTCCTTTGTTACTAACCATAAAAACCTGCAAATTCTACGTTATGCTTATGGACTTGGGTGGTCACTCAACAGTGAAACTTGGGAGTTCCTATCAGTCCTTTGGACATGTACTCAACATTTATGTGCAGATTTTTATTCATCAAGAGAAAGAAAATAATAATTTCACCTCAGGCAAATCCATAAACGGGCACCATGCATACACAGAGAGAGCTTCTTCCATACTACAGAGAAAACCCTCGTGATGCTAGTCTAACCCGCCCAGCTGCAGGTTGAGTGTGACAGCTCTGAAATATTAGAAATAATGTATACATGAAACCAATTGCTTTTTAAGTTGAGCATATGGATTTGAGGACAGAGCAGTTCTATCTTTAAATGGATTGGAGAGAGAAACAGTCTGCCCATTTCACCAATGCACCTTTGCTCACTATTGCCTGTCCTGAGACATTCAAAGATGAAAGCAGGCATTCTCTTCTTGGGAGTCTGCGTGTTTTAAATTCTATCAGGGACTCTAAAAGTCTTCCAAACCAGATGCTTTATTTGTATATGAACCAGGGAGGAAACTTTCTGCCCACCTCAATGTGCAGAACAAATTCAACTGAATTGGTGCCGTCTGTGACCTCCAAGAGCATGTCATCCTGAAGTATCTCGGATCCATCATGCTGATACCTGTGGGGATGACATTTGTCACTAACCTCTCAAGGCCACTATGAGAGTACAATGAGATGCCTGTCACAAGAGCTCTTCCACAGCTTTGGCCATATGTTTAATAAATATCAAAAAACACAGCATAATCATGAAGTCACATATTTAACCACTCAGGTATCCCTGAATGTAAAATTTCTCCACCCTGGAAAAAAATGTGTTCTATGCATTCATATCTTCTCCCCAAGTCATAAAGCAGCCCTTTAGCTTGCCACTGTGACAAGGAAACCAGTTGGTGCAGCTCTAGCTACAGGAGACACTAGTTGGCGCCAGGGGACACTGAGACTAAGCAGTAAACAGGCATAAAGGGAGGACATTGTGTGGATTTTGATGATTCTCCCTCCTCACCCACTTTTAAGGTTAATTCTTCTGCCTGTGCTCTGGGTCTATTCAGCTCGTCTCTAAAACTTTGACCTATGAATCATTTATTGCCTCCCTCTTGACATTTGTCCTTTTCTATTTATTAGCTCTCTTCCTCTCAATCTATAAAAACATTAGACTTAAAAATAGTTTTCCTTGGTCTAGCCTTGGCCTCATTTTCCTTTAATCTTCGGTCAAATTTCTTCAAGATATTGTCTAATTCTAGATTTTTCATTTACTCTCCAGCCCATTGTAGTGATACATGGTAAGGTCTAAATAGCTGTTGCATTGAGCCAACTTTTTCGCTTATCAATGATCTGTTTAAGATATTCAGGAAAGAACAACACAAGGCTTAGGAAATTAAATTAGAATTCTATTAGAAGCTAGTCACAAAGTACTACACATTGTATGATACCATGTATATGAAATGCCCAGAAAGGGCAAATCTCCAGAGATAGAAGATAGGTTAGTGATTGTCTAGGGCTGGCGGGAGGAGAGGGAGGGGGGTGGCAGACAGAGAGTGTAGCATTGCTTTCGGAGGTAATGAAAACATTTCAAAATTGAGTATTATGAGAGTTGCCCAAATCTATGATAATACAGAAAGACAGTGAATTGTATACTTTAAATAAGTAAGTTGTGTATGTACAGCATGTAAATTATATCTCAATAGCATTGGTTTAAACAAAAAACAGAAAAAGAAGTTGCATTAAAAATAGTATAGTACAGACCGACCAGAGTGGCTCAGTGGATTGAGCATCATTCCATAGACTGAGAGGTCCTGGTTTAATTCCTGTCAGGGCACCTGACCAGGTTGTGGGCTCGATCCCCAGTAGGGGATGTGCAGGAGGCAGCCAATTGATGTTTCTTTCTCACATAAATGTTTCTCTTTCTCTCTCTCTCTAAAAAAATCAATAAAAACCTTTAAAAAATGTTTTTAAATAGTATAGTACATATGTGTGTGTATACACACACACACACACACACACACTTATATATAAAAAATTCCAGGGCTAAAAGGTATGTTACTCAGGACTGGTCTCCCCAAACTCTGGCTAGTGACTCAGGTTTGGGATTCTATTCCAACAGCAGAGAAGTTCCACCTCCCAGCCCCAGTATCCCTACCACAAGCTGCCTCCTTTACTGTATTTTGTCATGCTCCCTGATATTTTCATCAAAAATAGATTGATAGGAAATAATGTGCTAATGCTATCTTACCATGCTAACACTTCTAAAAAAGCCAAGCAGGTCTATGAGTACACATCCAAAGGCATGGCTATGAAGTCAACAAGAACTTCTTTTAAAACCAGATCCTCTATATTACTAGCTAGGTGATCTCAACCTCTTTGTACCTTAGTTTCAACAATGTGAGAATAGAACCATCTATCTTGTCAAGTTTGATTGATGTAAAAATTAAATTAAAAAACATAATTGCAAGTCAGTAGAAGAATGCTTGAACTACATATGCTGACAAATATTGGTACTTTTATTTTTCTATCCATCATTCTCACTCTAGTAAGAACTACTTAAACAATTCTCTACTATGTAGCTAAGAGCTGATATTTCAAAAGAAAAGAAAATTTTAGTGAGAATTCAAGTAGTGAAAAGAAATAAGGATATTAGAGGCTGAAAAATGCAACTAAACTGTCAGATGAAATTGATCTTCTTGTGCACAGATCCTAGTTCCTAGTCAACTTTCAAGAGTGGAATGAGGCATTTGATGCCTAATACCCTCTACTATATGCTATCAGAAATGCAAAATTTCTATCTATAACTTGAATTTGTGAGAATTTAACCAGTATGTTGGTCTAGTCGACCAATACTTTTGAGTAGCTTGCATTGTTTATACAGATAAGATTTTTTTTTTATTAGCTTTTGTAGAAAAGTTTCTTACAGAGCCATAAAAGACCAGGTTCAAGGTAAGAGAAACTACTATGAGGTAGCGATCGCTCTATCTCTGACAGTCAAAGAGCCAAGTCTTATTCCATGCCCTACCCCCAGCCTATCCTAATGTTTGCCTGCAAATCCCCTTCCTAGTAGAATATAATAAAATTTACACTAAAAACACTGATCAATAGAATTCTACCCCAGAGTTTCCAGGGTTATGAAACTGACTTTTCTTAAAGCCAGGCTCAATTACATAGATTAGCCTTATAGATTATTTCAGTCTATATTCATCTAGTTTGACTGTTACCTCTTGCAATATGTGCAGTTTCAACAACAAATTTAATACCCGTGGCAATAAATTTTTGCTGTTTAAATATCTCTAAAATCATTGCCATTGGTACAGAAAGCCAGAGGGAAAGAAAATGTCTGGAGGAAAATTAAAATTTTGTCATTTCTAATTTTCAACTGATCCTTGAAAGTATTAAGTGGCATAAAAATACTTCTGCATGAACTGGACAAACTTCTTTCTTTTACTCTGCCTCACAACTGATCCAGATGGGAGCCAAAGCATGTAAAGAAAAAAAGCCAGGAAAATGTTCTAACCTAACTTTTAAGGCATGGAGTTCTCCCCAAGAAAAGGTGCCCCCGGTGCTGAGAGGAAATCCGTCCAGCTCCACCCTTCCGTGCTGAGGCAGCCTCTGCAGGCAGAGGGAGATGTTGTCCAGTTTGGTATCCACATCGGAAACCAGAATGTGCTCTGTGCTGAGAACACAGTGACCTCCCTCAGCCACGCTCAGGGGCTTGGTGAACACCTGGAAAGAATGAAAAAATATATTTAAAGCCTTGTTCTATATAGTATCCCTGAAGAATGAAGAAAGAGCTCATTAAATGAATAAAAAGTCCTATTACCATTTTCACAGGATATATAATTTTCCAAGAATGTGGTAAAGGGTTCCAGCTCATAGCTGAACATCTCAGCTGAAAAATATTGTTTACTAAATGTTTCTAATTCTAATTATTGATGGATACAAAGAAGCAAGGCAAGTCTATAAACCTCAAAGTATCTACATTTCATTTATCCCAACCCTTGTATAGTAAAAGCAGTAAATTGGTTACTCTCAGTGGAACCAAAATGAGAAAATAATAACATTCATCATCATGTCCACACCTGCCATGTCCATGCCTTAATCTACAAAATGATCAAAAGCTACATGAAATTCTCCTAGAGAAATAATTCATTTCTTTTTAAAAAAAAAACATATTGGAGCTTTTAAACATCAGTCATAGTGAGTATTTTAGAGATGGAAGTAGATCAGAATTTTAAGATTCCATAGGAAATAGATAGTTTATTCAAACATTAGACTTCAATATTGAAGCCACAAAGATATTTTTATAATAGAAAAAGCCACTTCTCAACTGACAGATTATTCACTTGTAAGTAAAAAACAAGTTAGAAGGACTGACAAAGGAATATTCCATGGTCGAATAAGTCTAGAAAACTGTTACCTACAATATCTTCACCTTGGAGATTTATAAGGCACATACTATACTCAATGTTCTGAGATTCTGCAATAAGAAAATGCTCATTTTGTTTAACCTAGCACTTCCCCAAGTTCGTATTACCACACAGAAGCACAGCAAGCAGATTTCGTTGGGACACCAAGTCATGGGCGCCGAGGGCCCCTCACAGATAGTCTGGGGTGGGTGCCCTGCCAATGTGAGGACACAGGGTTCTCCACCGCAGCGGCCACGCTCCTCAGAGCAGCTGCTGCTCCTGGGAAGGGGAATGCTCCCAAAGAAAGACTTGTTAAAGGCAGTGAGGACAGGAAGTCAGCAAGGAGAAGCTGTAGCTCCACGCAGAGCCCTGCTCTGCCCTCCTGCCCAAGGGCAGCCCTCCGGACCACAGAAATCGTGAGACCACCCACCCTGAAACAACATTCCTCTACTCTTTAATGAACTATTTCCACCAGCAAAGGAAAACAAAAGCAAGAGCTTTCTCTCCCTGCAACCATCCTCACCCGCGGCCCTCCTCAGATGCTTTGCTCTCATTCTGCCAAGCCTACAAGTCCAGTTTGCAGGAGAAAGAAGCAGAGGGAGCGCTTACTGAGAGAGGAGCCTTATCTTTGAAACAGGCCAGGTCCACATTCTCAGTTTTTCCTGAGTTCATCGATTAATATCCCAAGGAACACACTTCGTTACACCCCTCGCCACTTCGACTTTTGCGGCTTCGCTCTATCGCGATTTATTCAAATATAATCATTAAAAAGTTAATGGAGACAGTAAAAATGATACCGTGTGCGCTCGATTGAGTCCATTACACACCCTTGTATTACAATTAAAATTACAATTACTGTACGTATGGGCTGTAGGCCTATGTATTCGAGCACCCCAGGGATCCCTCACGCCAGGTGGAACCGCTCCACCACTCCTTGTGTGCGGGCAATAATTTTTTCCAAAAAATCGGGTGTGGTGAAACCAAGCCAATCAGAGCGTGCTGTTCACTGATTGGCTGTCCTATCCTCTTCCTGTCCTGGCCACTGATCGGCTCAGCCTCATGCAAGTTTGTTTCTCTCACACATGCTTCTGCATCACTACCTCGGAAGCATCTTTGCTCTTGTGTTTGCAATTTCTAAGAACTTTTATCTAAGGCCCACAATGGCTCCTAAATGTGCTGCTTCTTGTAAGCCTTCTGACGATGAAACTAAGCACTGGAGGAAGATGCTTACCATCCAGGAGGAGGTGAAACTCTTGGATATGATCAGAGATGGCAAGAAAATCGTGGAGGTTGCCCGCCATTACGACTTGAATGAGTCTACCGTTCGCTCCATCCGTAAAGATGAAAAGAACACAGTGCAACGGCTACTGTCTCTTTCAACAAGGAAGCAAAGTGCGTCATGACAAGTCATAGTAAGTTCATAGTGGAAACGGAGTCTGCCCTGGCCATTTGGATCAGCGACAGCCGCAAGGAAAACATTCCCTTGGATTCGCTGGTCATCCGGGAGAAGGCGAGGCAGCTCTATCAGCGCTTTACGGAGGACGAACCTCAACCAGGACCCTCTTCTGCAACTTCATGGATTTCATGGCGAGCAAGGGTTGGTTCAAGAAGTAGAAGAGGTATCATCTGAAGAGTGTCGTTCTCCACGGAGAAGCTGCCTCTGCTGACCAGCCTGCAGTAGAGGACTATGTGAACAACACGTTTCAGAAGATCCTTGAGGAGGGTGAGTATCATCCAGAACAGGTGTTCAATATGAATGAAACAGGACTGTTCTGGAAAAGAATGCCTACCCGGACAAGGAAGAGGCCAAGGTCCATGGCTTCAATGCGTATAGGGATTACGTGACTATCATGTGTGGAAATGCTGAGGGGCTTTTGCTCAAGCCTGCCCTTACCTACAAGGCCAAGAACCCCAGGGCCCTGAGGAATAAAAACAAGGATCTGCTGCCAGTGTATTGGATGCGCAACGACAAGGGCTGGATCACGAAGCAGCTGTCATCGGACTGGTTCCACAAGTGCTTCATCCCCCAAGTCAAGCTGTATCTTGTGGAGAAGGGACTTGAGTTTAATGTCCTTCTCCTCATGGACAATGCTGGAGGTCATGCGCAAGACCTGTCCTATGACTGTGTGCAGATCGAGTTCCTTCCTCCCAACACTACCTCATTGATCCAGCCCATGGACTGAGGTATTATCCGCATGTTCAAGGCCCTCTACACACGAAACACCCTGCAGCACCTCATTGAAGGCATGGATCGTGAGGAGAACTTCTTGCTGAAGGAGTACTGGCGGCAGTATACCATGGCGACCTGTCTGAAGAACATCAAGGCCTCGTTTAAGGACATAAAGACTGAGACCATGGAGGCCAGCTGGAAGATGTAGTGGCCTGAAATTGTCCACAACTACAGAGGATCCACCCCAGAGGCTATAAGCAACTCGGCAGTGGATAAGGCAGTTAGGCTGGCCCGGATGCTGGGAGGAGGAGGTTTCACAGATATGACCTGTGATGACATGGATGAGCTGCTCGAGACACATTCGGATCCCTTAACAGACGAGGATCTGGTGGAGATGACTAAGTCTGTGAGTGAGGAGGAGGAAGAGCAGCCAGAGGTTCCTGGCGGTCAGGAGAAGGAAGTTGGCCTTACCCTTGAGCATCTCTCGCAAGTTGTGAGAACTATTAAGGTAGTACAGGACATGACTGGCGAATAGGACCCACAGATGATGCGAGCATTATGGTTCCGGAATGCACTTGATGGAGCCATAGAACCCTACAAAAGCCTCCTCACGCATATGAAAAGACAGCGCCAGCAACTGCCTATTACGATGTTCTTCAGCCACTAACCCAGATACCTACTGCCTGCTCCTAGTGCTCCTTCAGCAGAATAAGACAACAACGCCTGCTGAAGATACTGCACCACCTGAAGACTCTCCTACTGAGGTCATGCCTGCAGAGGAGCAGTAACCTTGCTCTTCTTTGCTGTGCAGTACATCTCTTCATCTTCATTGCTTCATCATCAAACAAGTTGCACTATTTTCTTTTTTTTTTTAATTAATTAATTTATTTTTGGTACAGATGTTTCTCTTTTTCCCCCCACTGATACCCCTTCCCCCACCCTCCCCACCCTGTCCCCAGCTTTGTTGTCCACGTCCATTGTTCATGCATACATGCATATAAGTTCTGTGGTTTATCTCTCCCCCCCCCACCCCCTCTTCTGGGGAATACAGACTGATGCAGCCACTATGGAAAACAATATGGTGTTGCCTCAAAAAAATTAAAAATTGAACTGCCATTTGACCAAGTTGCACTATTTTCATAGGTTAGTGGTTGTGTGTAAGAACTGTGTGTGTGTGTGTGTGTAATTAAATGTATAATAATAATATATTTTTAACATCTAATATGTCTTATTTTCTCTTATTTTGTCTAATATATTGGTAACACGAGTGTGATGATGACTAAAGTGTGTTATTTCATGTCTAGAGGGCTCTAATAATGTTAAAAAAATGTATTTAAAAGATCGTAAACAGGTTTTCTATGCTCTAACTGCGAAAATATTTGATTTATAAATAAAGAATCCTACTTCACCAAAATTCATTTATCATGGTAGAGTCTGGAACTGATTAACCATGATAAACAAGGGCCAACTATATAGTAGATTATGTTTAAATATAATACATACTTGTGTGTGTGTGTGTGCACATGTGTGTTTAGAAAAACTTTCAAAAAATAAAAGCATAGGCTAATTTGCCCCCCACTCATTATCACTAACTTTTCTGCCTGAACCTGTGCCTGGGCTTCTGGGACTTCTGGTTAGCATGGTGTCAAGATTCCCAGTGGTTATCACTCAGCCCAGCCATCTGTGGGTATTTAAAATCAGGAAACCACTCCTGAGACTGGTTTCACTGAAACTACTCTTTAATTTTATTTCTCCTCTCCTCAGGTCTCTAAGATACTATTTCATTTGTCCCGCAGACTGTAGGAGAAAGAAGCTACTGTGCCGCGTTAGCTCCAAGTTCTCATGACTGTTCAATCAACCTGCATCCTTTTCGGTTTTCCCCACAGATCCTCCTTCTCCAGGAGAAGACTTGGACTGCTTTGCGTCAGAGAGTATTTCTCCAGGATCATTCAAGAAAAAGCTTTTGCTTCTTTAGATGCCGGGGCGATTTCAGGCCCCTATCTCATACATGGAAAATGATGCTGTGAATAAAATCTAATCACATTAACTGTTTCTCTTAATGCTTTTCTCCGTAGGAATGTGCTCTGGTTTCTGACAGGCAAAGAGTCAAAGAGTAGAGTTTAGATCATCTTGTCTGAGTTCCTTGGTGCGTCTTCTACCACAAATCGCAAGCTCACAGGCTGCGGGCTCGGGCCAGCAGCTGAAGTGTCTGGGCTGGGCCGGGACCTTGGTGCCCGGAGAGCGTGCCTCCCCCAACGCTGCTGCGGGATGTGTGGGCTCAGTACTGCCAGAGCCCCCGCATTTTAATAGAAGCCAGGAATCGAGACATGATAAGAAACCTCCTGATGATTAAGTGTTGGCAACTCATTACTCAAAAATACTGTTTTTCACTCAACCCAAATTCTGCGGGTTGGGTAAGCTAAGCCCCTTGGTCCCTCCCCGTGAGCCCTCTGCCCACAGCCTTGGGCAGGTGTGGAGAAGGCAAGGAGGGAGCAAGAAAGGGAGTCTCGGCGATTTCCCGGCCATATTCCATGTGACCTCTTTCCCTGGGGATGAGACGTGTGCATGTTCTAGTCCCCTCAGGTTCCTCATGGATGGGTGATCGTACTTTGTCTTTTGGCTTCTTAGGGGGAAAACGAGCCCAGGAATAGCCACACGAATTAAGTCTAACACTCTGATGGGGAGGAGGCAGGGTGTGGAATAAACTCAGTATGAACCCCAGCCTCTCAGATGGGACACACAAGGTGGCATTGCCTTTGGAGTTCGGGTTTATAATGAGAGACCCCAGTGCTTTACAGCTGCATAAAGGCTGGACAGAATGGAAGGGCCCATCTTAATTCATTTTGGAAAATTAAAAGCTTCTTTAGATTACAGAGTAGCATAGCTGGCCTGCAGTGAGAGCAAATAAGCCCTTCTGGTTGCTAAGAGACCCATAATTTAATCCCCTTCCCCTGATCAACACGTGAAACTCCGCAGAAAGAAAAAGAAATGAGAGATTTTGATAAAGCTTTGAAAACAATGCCAAATTCAGCAACTGGAAAATCTCACCTTTTAGACAGAAAGTCAAGGGGAGGTGAAGTACTCTCCTCCCCATGCCTTTTCCTACACTGTGACTAAAAAATAAAAAAGTTCTTTAAAAAGGCCTCAGAAAAAGTTAGCCCTTCCAATAAGCGTGCAGGTGTTTTCTTGCTTTCCTTAGGTCCTCCATCCTTTTCACCCTTCGTATTGAACACTGCACATACCTCGGGAACTTGGTTGTCCACTGGAAGGACCGTGATGTTAAAGCAGATCCCATGCAAAGTCCCGCCATGCTGGTTACTGATGGAAAATGTGAACTGGACGTGTTGCCGATGGGGGCCTATATCGCTCATTGGTGGCATGTAGGCCACTTTCATATAGTTCACAGCATCCTACAAAGCAAACCGAGATGGACACATGGATGCCAGTGTGCCAGGACTGGAGCCTGTCAGAGCCCCAGGTCTTGGAGAACCACTGTGATAATGATATGGAATATTGTAAAGGCCACCATATCAATTTGAGCATTCCGAAAAGGTCTACTTTATAAATCACGTTTTCTAAAAATCAGGAGGGAAAAGGACAAAGAAATTGAGCGAATAGATCAAGTGCTTGAAGCCAGCCACCTCTGCAAGACAGGAGACTTGAATTCTAACAGCTTCGCCATAAGTTGAGCTCTACTTAAATAGCTGTGTGACGTTGGTCAAGCTACTGAAACTGCGAGGTCCCTTTTTCCTTACCTGTAAAATAAATGAAATGATAAAATAATTGTACTTACCACATGGGGTTGACATACTCAATCACAACATATAACTGCAGTGAGATTAGGTATAATCAGCCCCAAACCATGCTGTAGTTGCTAAACACTCATCACCGTTATAGTGACCCTTGTAGGGTCTTCAGAGTAGAGTCCACAGGAGTAGGGAGAAGACTGATAAAAACTTTGGAAAATAGCCCTGGCCAGTTTGGCTCAGCGGTTAGAGCGTCGGCCTGCGGTCTGGAGAGACCCGGGTTCGGTTCCCGCTAAGGGCACGTACTTCGGTTGCAGTTTGTCCCCGGCCCTGGTTGGTCGTGCGGGTGGCAGCCACTCGATGTGTCCCTTCACGTCGATGTTTCTCTCTCTCTCTCTCCCTTCCTCTCTCTCCCTCCCACTCTATCTGTACAAAAAATGGAAAAATATCCTCGGGTGAGGATAAAAAAAAAAAATTAAAAAAAACTTTGGAAAATAGTAGATGTTCTGGGTTGAATTGTGTACCCCAAAAGGTATGGTGAAGACCTATCCCTTGGTACCTCAGAATGTGATTTTATTTGGGAATAGGATTGTTGGAGATGTAATTAATTAAGGTGAGATCACAATGCAGTATGATGAGCAGTTCATCTAACGTAACTGGTAACCTTGGAATAAGAAGAGCGACGGACAGGAAGAAGAAAGTCATGGATGACAGGCAGACGTTGGAGCAATACACCTACAAGCCAAGGAATGTCAGACATTGCCTGCAAACCACCAGAAGCCAGGAGGAGGAGAGGAAAGCTTCCCTACATGGTATCAGAGACAGCATGGCCCTGCCAACACCCTGATTTCAGACTTCCAGCCTCCGAACTGTGCACGATAAATCTCACTTATTTTAAGCCACCCAGTTCTTGGTACCTTGCTATGGCAGCTCTAGATAGGATATTGGATAAACTGATTTTTGTGGAATAAAAACACATGTGCCAGGTCCCTGCTGGCAAAACAGTGCCAAAACCTGTGTGGAATTACTAGACTTTGAAATCATACCCAGCTTGATCAAGCATTGTCAAATAGATGTTGCATGCTTAATGCAAATGCCCAAGCAGAAAGAATAAAGACATCAACACTTGTAACAGATGTCAAAGGCCATTATTCTCAAGTGCAATACTAGGAGCACCATGACTTCCCTGAGGACACTTCCATCATGTTTATCAACATTTCGGCATAGCATCCTACCTGAGTGAATGACTTCAAGCTCCGGGCTGCAGGATTTTTGGTTAGCTTTGGTATGCTATCCACCATGAATAATTTCCCAGCGTCCAAGTGTCTAAAGAGAAATATGAAACACATCAGCTCCTTTTCCAAGTAACAAAAATTAGGCCAAATAGCCTACAACCAAATTTTTTAAAACTAAAAGAGCTCTTTGTGGGAAGAAATAATATTGCATCTTTAAATTCTGTCTTTATGTTGCAGGTTCTTTCTAGCCATAAATCCCATCTCATCAATGCCATTCTCTTCATTAGTGCAGAAAAGATGTACAATATTTTATGCTTCGACAACATGAAAGAGGGTCATTGTTGTCATCCTAAAAACGTTTCCTTACCATCATGTATATGATACCAGCCTAACGTATATTCGTGCCACTTTTCTGGATTGGTATCATACACTATGACCATTTTGTGCCCTGCAATACCTAAAAATAATGTTATCAAGACTCAGTAAGTTTTACTAAAAAGAAAAAAGTAACATTTTCTTTAGAAAAGGGAGTTAAAAACTCTTTTAAGTCAACTAAGCTGAAGACACTGCAAGATACAGGTCACTTATTAATTAATATAGCTTTTCAAGGGAGGTGTAAGTTTGAGATTAGAGTAAATGCCTAATTGAATTTAAGTTCGTGTCTGACAACAAAGCAATTGAACCACAGCACCATATATTGACACTTTCGACTCCCCAGTCCTAGAACACAACCCTCACCTAATGACCTTTCATAGATACCTGTGGCTGAAAGAGAAAATTGGGGGAGTTGTTATTGTGTAGAGCAGCCCCCTGTCGTATGATTCCGTATCTATGAAATGTAGATGTTTCTTAGTTATGTGGGCCACCTCAGTTTCCTTGACAACCAAGTGCCGAGAAACTCCAGGAGCCTCTTTCGGAAGCTGGTCATCCACTGGAGTGATATGAATTGTCACCACCTGGAAAGAAATGATCTGTACTATTCATTTGAAGTACCAAAAAGACACCAAAGAAAACACCCACAATCACCTAGTCACGGTGACTTTTGATGATTTTCTAAAACTGTCATTTATAATATACTTTCATTGAAATGATTCAGGATCTATTAAGAATGTGAGCCGCCCTGGCCAGTTTGGCTCAGCGGTTAGAGCGTCGGAGAGACCCGGGTTCGGTTCCCGCTAAGGGCACGTACTTCGGTTGCAGTTTGTCCCCGGCCCTGGATGGTCGTGCGGGTGGCAGCCACTCGATGTGTCCCTTCACATCGATGTTTCTCTCTCTCTCCTTTCCTCTCTCTCCCTCCCACTCTATCTGTACAAAAAATGGAAAAATATCCTCAGATGAGGATAAAAAAAAAAAAAAAGAATGTGAGCCAAAAATGGAACATTCTTCACCCATTTTATATTATATTTTAAGAATGCATTATCACAATTATAGTTAATGCAGTCTTAAGTGCTATATAGAATGAGTATTTCTACCTCTCCCTTCCAACAACAACCTGTGCCTTTTGGACCTCCCTCTACGCAGTCATTGATTCTCGAAACTTTGGCATAAATGTTGGCCCCTCCTTCTCTACCCACATATGTATAACACACCTCCCAGAGTTACTACTCATAAAATTCCTACATAATGGCCACACCCATTCCCACCCCAGCTGTCATTCCTACTGTTACTGGCCTAGCTCCAGCTCTCATAATTCCTTCCTGACATTATTGCAACAGCTTTCTGTTAGCCCTAACTCCAATAGCTAATCTAGACTTACATACTTCTTGTGTTATCTTTATAAAAATGCAAATCAGCCCTGGCTGGTTTTGCTCAGTGGTTAGAGCATCGGCCCATGGACCAGAGAGACTCGGGTTTGGTTCCCACTGAGGGCACGTACCTTGGTTGCAGTTTGTCCCTGGCCACAATTGGGGTTGTGCAGGTAGCAGCCAGTCGATGTGTCTTCTCACATCAATGTTTCTCTCTCTCTCTCTCTCTCCCTCCCTCTCTCTCTCCCGCTGTATCTGAAGATAAATGCAAAAATGTCCTCGGGTGAGGGGAAAAAAAAAGCAAATCAAATCAGGTTATTAACCTCCTCAAAAATCTTAAACAAACACCCCAGAGGGATAGAAATCTTCAAACTCCTTAGCACTGTATCTAAGACCCTCTACAGCTTGGTTTTGGTTTTGGTTTTTGTAGTGATTTTTTTGCCAATATTATGGGTTTTTTAAAATTATTTTTAACATATTTATTGTGAAAAAAATATGTATAACTCTCCACAGTTTACACAGTCAATTTTTCAACTTTATCTTCTAATCCTTTCAACATTACTCCAGCACTCGAGCTGCCCACGAAGCTCTGGGCCCAGCCTCCACGTGTGCCTCTATGCTTGGGATCACGTTGCTTCTTCAATCTGGAATTCATTTCTCCTGCCCTCTCCAGCAACCTGAGTTTTTCTTACCCTTGCCCTTCCTGAAACTTTCCCCAATTTTTCAGTTGGAATTAATTGTTCCTAAAGTTTGCTTATCGCTCAAGAAACATTCTTATTTTATTGTCTTGTGTTATTAGTTAGTGGTTCAGTGTCTGCCTCTTCTAGACTGAAAGTTCCATAAGAGGCGGATCATTGAATACTACAAACCACATGGCATTTGGCAGTGAGCAGGCTGTTAAAGGCTTAAGTATGCCACTTAGTAGCTATTGATCTTGAACAATCACTCCCCGGTTCAAACTGTTGACTTTCTTATACGTAAGTTGAGCATAATGCCAACGGCCTCACGAAGTTGCTATCAATTATCACTATGCAGATTCAAATGTCTCACACATTGTAGGTGTTCAATAAAGATTCTGTCCATCTCTGTAGCTCCACAACATCTGGCCCAGTATTCTGAGGCAGAAAACACTTCATCAGTGTCTGCTAATGAATGTGTCAACATGCCCTGTTTGCGAGTTTCGGATTCTTAGAGCACGTTCCCAGGTCTGGGCCCCGCTACGGGGCGAGGAGGCTTTGCCGAACAGCTTTTAGCATCATGTTTTCTCACAATAATCCACGACTGGTTGTGAGAAAGCAGTTACTTATTCCTTCGTGCAATGGTGCCTTTGCTTGGTAGAGTGGGTATTCTTACCCTGGTTTTGATTTATTTTAATACATTTAATATTTTAATTTAATAAATTTATTTTAATAAATTTAATGTTGTCATTGAAGCACGGATCAGAGATGCCGAGTTTGTCCACAATAATGGTGTTCACGATACCCAACTTGAAAACAAAGTGAATTCTTTTTTCAACTGACATACAAAGCAAAATCCGAAACATGGATAAGCTTTTACTATGATATAGAAAATCCTGAAACATTAGCTCAGCCACCTTCGAGCTGTGCTTCTTGGGGTGAACCAGTGAACCCCTTTGGGATCAGTTTTTCTCTCTGCACTTTGGGAATAATAATAGCAATGACTGTTAGAGTGAAGTGTTGTCAGGATCAAATGAGATAGCTGGTAGCTCAGTGAGTACCTGGTAGTAGGTGTTCAATAAATTAATTTCCTGTCTCCATTCTTCATTATTCTTACAAAAGTCCGCAGCATATATACTACTCCATTATAAAGCATCTCAATAATTACAAACTAAAGCCAGTTATCAAAATTAAGAAACACAATGACTGTCATGTATCCAGTCTCCTGGAGTCTGTGTCCCAATTTTTTTTTTTTTCCAATTATAGTTTTTTGCTAATCTACAAAGTTCAGAAATTCTCTGTGGGACCTCCCAGCCACAGTGTGGATCAGTGAGGCTCCACTTAATTGAAAAACTGGATTTAATAAGGAAACAATAGTTATTGTGCCTTCAAAGAGACCATTTTCCATGCTAATTTATTCTCCAATGTGTTCTTTGTGTAAGAAGAATGTATAAGCATGCTTTTTTATACCCCTGCAGTAATTCTTGGTGGGCACATTTTTCAACATGCTTTATGATTGCCTATGTTGATGTGTCCTTACATATTTATGCATATTTAAACAATTATGGTGTGTGTGTGTCTGTGGATGAGAAAAATCCTATTTTAACAAGCTCCACAGAGAAATAAACTGCTCACATTTTACTGAAATTCGGTTGTAACAAAGATGTTATTAAATACCCATTCCCAGATGGTGAAAAAATAATGCCCAGACCAAACGCTGTGCTCTTGCTTGCTGGGGTTCACTAGATGCCTCTAGTCTACTTATATCCACAAGAACCCACAGACTTGTAGGGAATAAGAATACAAAATGACAAAGCTTAACCTTAACCCTCAGTGTTCATAATATGATGTTTTGTGGGCCGATATCTGGCTTTCTTGTAGACCTGCGTTCTCAACCTTTTCTTTGCCTTGACCTTTGATCCCTGCCTGTTCCTTCATAATACAGCTTCCTCTGAGTTTACCCAGCACTATTTCTCATGCCCAGGAACTACTTCCAATGCCCATTTTGCCCACCCCACTTTCTGGTCTGACTTCTTATAAATGCCCCCACCCTGGCTGCCTGTGCTCTCATCTGGTCACGGCTTATTGCTTCCTTCCACTTCACCCTCAGGCCTGTGGGCATCTGCCTTCTTTCTTCCTACATTTCTTAGTCCTCTTTCTGCTTCTCTCTTCTATCCTTGTTTTGCACTTTCCATGTTAGTTCCAATATTACTCTCTTCTGGTTTAAGATCTCCTAAGGCTTAAGCTCTATAAAGCCCTCTACTGTGAAGGATAAAGACGGGGATATTTTTAAAAAGCAAATGGAGTAGGTGAGTTACAATCATGACAACCAAGATAGAAAGAGGGAGGGGATTCTAGCTGATATGTAAACGCCTTGTTGATGTACGGTAGATCTCTCAGTAGGAGTATCTACTTAGGAAAGATGGAAGGAGGTAAGGAGCATCCCTGTGTTGTAACTTTCTTCCTGCTTTAATTAAATTGTTTCTCACCTGAGGAGATGCTTGGTTTCTGCCTCTATCAAAGGAAGTGTTCTAACAGTGTGGCCTAAAATATGCTATGCCTGAGTTTAACTTAATCTTCAGTGACTGTTGAATCTTCCCATCACAAAAGCTCCCATTAAGTAACCATCTTATCTGGACTTTTAGTTGAGTGGCTGAAAGTTACCAAAGAATTTTTAATACTTTAAATACAATTTTATTTGTAGGGCATGACTAGATACTTGTCCAAATTGAAGATGCAATTATCAAAGAGACTGGGTAATCATTTAAGTCCCGTAAAATTTGAACTTCCTTTGAAGGTGTCAGGATTTTACAACATAAAAATTCTTACCAACACACACACAATACTTGTCCTGTTGTTATGTGCACACTAAGTCCTGGAAACTCTGAAGGAAAAAGCTTTACACATACTACCTCCTCATCTCACTTCCTCTCCGGTTCTTACAAAATAGTTTAGTTTTCTTATTTCTTCTTAATTTCAATAAAAGTTGAAAGAACCAGAGCTCATTTTGGGACCAGCCTACAGTTTCTGCGGTTCTCTGAGTCAGGTACCAAGGTCTGAAGAAACAGATGAATAATTCAGGATTCCTGCCATCAATGAGCTCACAGCTGATCCAATAAAGCAAACACTGGCCTCACATTATAGTGATTTGATATTGGATCATGTATATAAAAGGACCAGCTGACCCAGCATGGGAGATCCGTAGAATGAGGGCATCAGGGAAGTCTTCCTAGACAGGCGCTGTTATTGCTGAGAGACAGTCCATAGATGAGAGGAACTAAGCTGACACAGCTACAGATCACAAGAGGGAAAATCCAGGGATTGGGCACAAGATGAATTCTACTGAACACAATGCTACTGTATCAGTGGAGTTTAATTTTCCTCAATTGTAAGGATGTTGCTGATCTTTTCTATTTTTCAAGAGACCATGTGAGGGATTCTGAGGATAATCTAGTCCCCAAAAGACGAAGGTTGGAACTAAAGCAATGGCTATTGGTAGGGAAGTACAGACAGATGAGAGAAATTTATCTGGTAGATTGAATGAGACATGCTGACTAATTAGTTATTCAGATACATAGAGAGAAGAGGTTAGAGATGACTTTAGAGGTTCTAGTTACAGTGCTTTTGTGCAAGTTGTAGGGAAAATATCCTAAATGCCTGTGGACATGATGGCTGTCAATGCTGGTGAGATATACATGCAGAGATGTCGGGCAGAGAGGTGCGTACACAAGGCTGAGCTGGAGAATAGTTAGGATCCAAACAACAGGTGGTACGTGAATACAGAGAAATTTATAGATTCATCTCTCTCTTTATCTATCTATCTATCTATCTATCTATCTATCTATCTATCTATATCTATCTATCTATCTCTATCTCTATCTCTTTCTCTATCTATCTATCTCTATCTCTATCTCTTCCTCCCTCCCACCCTTTCTCCCGCCCAACTCAGATTAATAAGAAAAATGTGGTTACGACTCCTTCTTTAGAAACCCACCCATCAAAAAACAACAACAACAACAACAACATTATAATCGGTTCTACAGTATTTAGTCTGACTTATTTGCCAAGATTTAGAAATAATTTTGTCTGAATCAAGTTTTTATTATTGTGGTCCTCATTATAGAGGGATCTAACATCTACATTTGAACTTAAACATGATATAAATAAAAATAGAAATATGATCTATAAAATGTATAATAGAAGAAAAGAAAGAAAACCCGAGCTGTCCAGACCCTACGCTAACTCCATTTTCTGTCATTTTTACAAATGAGAATGCCTTCTTACAATTATTTCTGCATTCTATATATTTAAGTGGTATCCTTGAGTGGTAGTGAAAATCTTGATTCTTCAAAAGCAAGAATAAATAACAGCTAATTTTTGTTTTGAGTCCTTACCATGTGCCAGAAGTTCTCCGTACTTTATACATATTATCTCACTTACTCTCACAATCATTCTATAAGGAAGTTGTTTTATTCCCTGTTTTACAGATGGGAAAACTGAGGCACAGATCAATCAGATAATTGTGTCAAATACAGGAGAGAAGCATTAGGCAGCCTAGCTACTACACATAAAATATCAGTGTTTTCTTGAGTACTATGAGGACAGCACATTTTGTGAGGTGTTCAGTATAAAAAGGTCCCATAGTTAAATAACCCTGGAAACACCACACACGGACATTTATAGAAAAGTAAATGGTAGAAAAGTGATGTTGCAAAGACATTTACTTAATTTTGCTTACTCAGTTGCTTCTCAATCTTTGAACCTTGAAACCTATTTTCATGTAGTTTCTAGTAACATCGCCCAGAACTGATATCTGCGGACAAGACTTTGAGGAAGTTTCAGAGACAGCCTCTTACCTGTGGCACTGAGAGATTTGGAGGTTCGTGGCTGTCCCAAAGGACAAATTCAAAAGAATCTTCAAAGATTTCTCCACCAAAGTGACGATAGTAAATAATGCCATTAAACAGATCCCTCTGAAGGAAGCCAGGGACAGGATAACCTATTGGGTCCACACAAAACACCAAATACTTTTGCAACAAACTACAAGTATTTGGGTATCAAGATAATGGACTTATCTCCCAGTCTTCTCTGCCTCGTATGTCGTTTGCACCCAGGAATCATCATAAAAGCTTTTATCAAAGCTTATAAATACTAAAGCAAAAAAATTAAAGTGGCTACATTTTTCTTTAAATATGTAGAGGAATTAGCATTAGGAAAATATTTTCAAGAAGCATTGTCTTAAGAAACACTAACTACTTGATTCCTATTTTGTTGTTCCTGACTACTTTAAGAAGTAGTTATAAAACTATTCTAACAAAATATAAAAAAATGTTATTCATGAAATTACTTTATCAACAACCTACAATAGGCCAAACATCTCTTCAAACTTATTTATTCTATCGCCATGCTTGGTAGACTTAATTTTTCCAGGTGCAATGATTACCTTCAGGCCCAGCTCTAGAACTGTCTGGATGCCCATCCTTGAATGAATCAACTTAAATTTTCTACGTTTCTGGCTTCCCATTTATAAAATGGGAATAATAATGGTATCCCACCTGGTAAACTGATGTCCACTTTCACACAGATTTTGACACACATGATCTTAAGTGCCCAGAACTCACCTATCAGCCCTGGTCCTGGCTTCTTCATGATCTCTCCAGCCTGAGGAGGTCTCGTGATATTGAAGAAGATGTAGTCGTCACTGGAGTCCATATCTGAAGCTCTCAGCATAGAACCCTGGATCAGTACGGTCTGCCCCTCCTCCAGGTCAATGACAACATTACTTATGAGGAACGGGGGACTGTCATCTTTGGGCAGAATGTTGATGGGAAACTTATGGCGGATGCTGTGATGACCATCGAATATCCTGAAGACCACAAAGTCTTTGGTGGAGTCGCTGTCGTCGTGGTGATAGCGAACAACTCCAGCCTGCAGGTCAGCCACAGTGAAGAGAAATCCTTTCCCCCCTGAAGGACAGAGCAGAGGTGGCACTGACTGAAGGGGGGTCAGAGGCAGCCCTTGTAGTGAAAGCAGCACTGGACGAGAAGGCATTGAGGAACGTGGTGCAGCTGAGACTTTCCCCTTTCAGAGAAACCACAGATGGTTTAATGGTCTCTGGGTCTCCACAATCTGGTTTGGAGCACTGGCTGCAACACTTATTAGCTGTGTCGATTGGGCAAGGTATTTAATTTATTTGAAACTCATCTATATAAACCACAGAACTTATATGCATGTATGCATGAACAATGGACATGGACAACAAAGCTGGGGACAGGGCGGGGAGGGAGGGTAAGGGGGCAATCGGTGGGTGGAAAAGGAGAAACAGCTGTAACAAAAATGAATTAATTAATTAAATTAAAAAAACAACCTCATCTATAAAACAGAAATAATACCTACCCCATATTCCTTAGTATGGATGAGAGAAGTTAACCAACAATAAGCCTACAATAAATGTCAATTATTCTTTAACTCATTGCTATCATCCTACATGGCAGAACTTTTTAGAGGTGTGGTCTTGAGACAGCAGCATCAGCACCACCTGGGAAGTTGTTAGAAATGCAAGTTCTCAGGCCCTACCCTAGTCCTACTGAATCAGAAATTCTGGAGGTAGGACCCAACAATATGTGTTTTATCAAGCCCTCCCAGAGTGTCCAAGGCATGCTCAAGTTTGAGAATCACTGGCTTATAGGCCAAGAGCTAGAGCTCTGGTATCAAAGGCCTAGGTTCACATCCCAGCTCTGCCACTTTCTAGGTGCATGACCTTAGACCAGTGAACTCCTCTAAGTCTCAGGTTCCCCACAGGTAAAGGAGGAATGATAATAGTACCACACGCTATAAAGTTGTATAAGATAAAGATATAGAATATTTTGCACCATATCTGGCACAAAGTAAATAATAAATATTAGTACTATTTCCTATCTTCTCAGAGCCCAGAAAATCATTGTCTGATGGGCTACTTCATTTATGCTCTATACTTCAGTTCAAAGTATTAATAAACATTGCTTCACTCTGTATAAACTGTTATAATTCTTGATGGCAGGTGCCTCATTACTCTCCGCACACCCCAGGGTTGTGTTAGAGACTTCAATGGAATAACGCTTAAACACCAGTATAATGGGCACTGCCAGCTACTTGCCCAATAGCCACTTTCTGCTTCTTGCTCAGTACCAGAATCCTAGTTCTGTTTGGAATGGCATGTCATCATTTTTTACAAAGCATGTCCCCAGACTCCATTGCACGTGGGGGTAGCATGTGAGTTGGTGGGAGATACAAGTGCAAGTTCTTGTATCAGACTCCTGGGACAAGTTGTTAAAGAAAGCAAAAGGAGAAACATCTGTAACAAAATTAATTAATTAATAATAATAACTTTTAAAAAAAGCAAACTTAGATGGCATAACTTTTTTCATCCTTTCTTCCTTCCTTCCTCCAATGCAGACCCAAGGCCTAGAGGTATAGGCACCATCGTGTGACCACCCACAGAGCAGAAAACAGCGTCTGCATCGTGGATATGGAATACCTACATGGAGACAACTTGTCACAAGAGGAAAATAATAAATTTTTAAGCTGTTATAATTGAGTTTCCCTTACATGCAGCTGAATATCCACCCTAACTGACAGACTGAAGCATAAGCAGACCTCGCACTGTCCTGTGATTAAGTACAATAATTTATCATTTTGTTTTTTAATTCAGAATTCCCTTATCACAAATGATGATAAATAAGAGCTCTTTTTCCACTTTATAATTAGGCAAACTTAGAGGATAATTGAATTAAATCCTCTGAGCTCATTACAATGAGTAGACTATATCATCACAAAGTATGTCTATTATTTTTATTGGGCCCATTAGCCTTAACTACCTTCCTTATAATTATAAATTCATTTAAACTATGGTAACTGCTTCTAATATTATAATAACATAATGATTACCAAAATATTTTTTAAAGCATATTTTTCTGGTTTTCAATACATTTCTCGGAAACAGAGAAATGAGAGGGAAATATTTTGTCTTCCAAATGGGATAAGATAATTAATTAAGAAGTATATTTTAGAAGGAGCCCAATAGGCATCTGAGCTTTAAATAATGAGCCAAAGAGCATACAGTGGAGTAAAGACAGCCTCTTTAATAAATGGTGTTGGGAAAATTGGACAGCTACATGCAAAAAAATGAAACTAGACCATCAACTTACACCATACACAAAAATAAACTCAAAATAAATAAAAGACTTAAATGTGACCCGTGAATCCATAAAAATTCTAGAAGAAAATGTAGGCAACAAAATTTCGGACATCATACGGAGCAGAATTTTCACTGATACATCACCTAAGGCAACAGAAATAAAGGAGAAAATGAACACATGGGACTACATCAAACTAAAAAGCTTCTGCACAGCAAAAGAAACAATCATCAAAATGGAAAGGCAACCCACTGTATGGGAGAACATCATTGCCAATGATGTATCAGATAAGGGGTTAATTTCCAATATATATAGAGTGCTCATACAACTCCACAAAAGGAAGACAAAGAACCCAATTAAAAAATGGGCAGAGGAGCTGAATAGACACCTCTCCAAACAGGACATACAAATGGCCAAGAGACATATGAAGAAATGCTCAACATCACTAATCATCAGAGAGATGCAAATTAAAACAACAATGAGGTATCACCTCACACCTGTCAGAATGGCTGCCATCAACAAATCATCAACAAGTGTTGGCGAGGGTGTGGAGAAAAGGGGACTCTAATACACTGCTGGTGGAAATGCAGACTGGTGCAGCCGCTATGGAAAACAATATGGTGCTACCTCAAAAAATTAAAAATTAAACTTCCATTTGACCCAGTGATCCCACTGCTGGGAATATACCCTAAGAAGCCTGAAACACCAATCAGGAAGAATATATGTACCCCCATGTTCATAGCAGCACTATTTACAATAGCTAAGATCTGGAAACAGCCCAAGTGTCCACCAGTAGACGAATGGATAAAAAAGCAGTGGTACATATACACAATGGAGTACTATGCAGCTGTAAGAAGAAAAGATCTCTTATCCTTTGAGACAACATGGAGGGACCTGGAAAGTATTATCCTAAGTGAAAGAAGCCAAGCAGAAAAAGACAAATACCACATGATCTCACTTATATACGGAATATAATGAACATAACAGTCTGAGGAATACAGTAGACCCAGACACATGGAAGTAGGGCACAGACTGACATCCCTCAGAAGAGGGGATGGGGGTGGGGGGGTGGGAAGAGATAAACCACAGAACTTATATGCATGTATGCATGACCAATGGACATGGACAACTAAGCTGGGGACAGGGTGGAGGGGGGGTGGGATGGGGAGTGCCAATGGGGTAAAAAGGTAAAATATCTGTAACAAAAAAATAAACAAAAATTCATAAAAAAAAAAGAAAAAATAAATAAATAAATAAATAAATAAATAGCCAAGCATAAGGCACCCTAATCCAAATGCTGATGGTTTCATGATCTCTGGATTTGGGGGATATGACAATTCATTTAGAATGGGGTCCAAGAGATGCTGTGTATATTCTATTAAATATGATTTGCTTTTGCAGAGCTTCTCCTTGGGTTCCTTTCTAGCTTACGGGGCTGATCACTCACCTCTTACTGTGAGCCGCCCGTGCTGCAGGCCGTCCACGGTGACGAGCTGTACCGCACGAATGTCATCATTGTCGACAATCTGAAACTGTTCCCAGGTGATGGCTCGTGACTGCCCCTCCAGGAGATTCAGACCTACCAGACAAGCCAAAAATGATCCATGACATGCCAGTCAGCACACTTTGAGACAAAATTAATGCATCTCAACTCACAAAACTAGCTGAAAATTATATTTTCAAAAGTTTTTCAAGAAACCGGAATTTAGCTTTTATTTCTAGTAATATTTCCATTTTTAGTGCCATGAACTCGTCTGACAACTTGTGATACGTCCTTTAGAGACATGACGGTGCCAGGAGACACATGCCAAAGGAAAGAGCAGATGTTATGCTCACAGCGTCTCTAGTTCAAAAACGTCCACAAGGAGTTTTCAAAGGCTACATCCAGGTATTTGTGGGCACAAGAGTCAGAAGTAGTTTTACATGTACAGCTGACCCCTGAACAACAGGAGTCGACTGCACGGATCCACTTACACAGAGATTCTTTTCAATAAGTACTGTAAATGCATTTTATCCTCCTATGGCTTTCTCACTGATGTTTTCTTTTCTCTACCTTGCTGCGTTGTAGGAATACGGTATATAACATACGTAACATACAAAATATGTGTTAATCTGCACTATGGCGAGGCTGCTAGTCAACAGGAGGCTGCTAGTAGATAAGTTTCTGGGGAGTCACAAGTTATACACAGATTTCCACTTCACAGGGGGTCAGCACCCCTGACTCCCACGTTATTCAAGGGTCAACCGTGATTTGAGTTCACAAGCAGCCCACAGGACAGAATACAAAGTGGTTAAATACGCAAACACAGAGCTACTGCGCAAGGGGAGTTTAATGGTGTCAGACACGAAGAGTCTGACACTTTCCAGTGAGGGCTATATTTTAGTTCAGACCCTGATAAGGAAGAGACTTTTGTAACGAAAGGAATTAAAATGAAACCTTCTCCTTGGACCTAGCATGCTGGAGGAAGTCTGGGGAGATGAAGCAAGAGCTGCTCAGAACAAGAATTTAGATTCCAGACTAAACATTCTGGGTGGAGACAGGGCGCACCATCCGATACCAGCGGAGCTGGGAGCCAACAGATCACAGAGAATCTTGAAAGGAAAGAAAACTTTTTGAAAAATGAGTCGATAAAATGTAAAGGCAGCGCACTAATGGGCCCCGTTAATGCTTTCCCTCGAGTGTGCCCCGCTTCCCCGCCTCCCTGACCTTGGCCTCCTCTCTGGGGAGCCCCTCAGTCCCCTCAGTTTAAAGCCCTGGATGCCTCTATTGCATCGTCTTCTGGTCTGGAACGAGGGCCAGGCTTTGACATGACCTCCCTTGTGCCAGGTCCGATACCTTGGGACTCAAGATATTTGCATCACAGCTGATAAGAGGTGCCAGGTAACAACCTGGACATGTGGGGGTTGACATCCAGTGAGGCAAAGTGGCCGAGATGAGACAGGAGATGGGAAGAAGTTGACAGGTTGTTAACCCTGTGCTCCACCCCACCCCGACTCTTCCCACGCACGGTGATTCTATCTCCTCTGAAGACATCAGCGCTACCAAACCATCAGCAATTTATTTTCTTGTAAACCTGTGACCAGCTCAGTCACACCACCCTGACTTCCCTTTCCCCCCTTCTCCTGTTTTCAGTGCAGGCTTCATGCATGCAACCTGCCTCAGCAGCTGTTGCTAGGGAACCTGGACTAAAACATACAGCACATTAATGGAAGGAGGGAGGGAAGGAAGGAAGGGAGGGAGGGAGGAAAGAGGGAAAGAAGGAAGGAGGAAGGGAGGGAGAAAAGGAAGGAAGGAAGGAAGGAAGGAAGGAAGGAAGGAAGGAAGGAAGGAAGGGAGGAAGGGAGGAAGGGAGGGAGGGAGGAAGGAATTGAAGGCCAAACCGGTACATACAAAGAATCTCTGGGACTGGTAAGAACAGTTTTGAAGCTGAGAGTACACAGTATGACACAGGACAGGCGTCACAAGGGACACAAGAAAAGAGCAAGCAAGAAGACTGAAAGTACATGTAGCAAAATAGTAACAGTGGCTGTGTCTTCATGGGGAAGTAATAAATTATTTTATTCATTCATTCCTATTTCATTCATTTCTTCTTGATCATTCATGACTATTCTTTTTCTTTTTCTTTTTTTACTATTTATTCTACTTACTGCACTTTCCAAGTTTTCAAGTTTTCAATGACGAACACACAAGTTCATAATAAGTAAAAATTTATTTTAATAAGTAGTCTAGCCTAGCCTGTGTAGTTCAATGATTGAGCATCAGCCCATGCACCAAGAGGTTGTTGATTCGATTCCTGGTCAGGACACATGCCCAGGTTGTGGGCCCAATCCTCAGTGGAGGGCATGCAGGAGGCGGCCAATCATTGTTCTCTCTCATCAATGTTTCTATCTCTCTCTCCCTCCCTCTCTCTAAAAAATCAATAAAGAAAATATATATATATATATATAAAAGTAGTCTAATGTCCAGAGTAGCCAAGACCAGATTTGGAGTTCTCTTCACAGGCCTGGGTTTCACAGATCCCACATATATACAGACTATTAAGTCTCTATGCTCAAGCAATAATGCACTTAATATGTGATTATTACTAAACTGTAGGTTACCGATTTCTTCTTTTCTTTCATTATCCCTCTAACAGAGATAGATGAGACATACAGTCAATATTATAAATCAAGGCTGCTCAACCAGTGTTCTCCATCTCTATTGAAACTTATATACATACAAACACACAAGTGTGCATGCATATACCTACATGCAAGCACACACACATACACATACACAAGCATACACACAAACACAAGAGGTAATGTATTTAAGCTGCCACCTGAGAATTTAAATCAGACACAGATATTATCCCCTTAACAGAACCTACCACCACTGCTTATAAGTATGTTTTGAATACTATAGATGGGATTAGTGGGAAAAAATAAAATCTTCATTTACACTCTACATTTACATCTGACCTAAATATAAACATTGCATTGTCAGTTCTATTAAAAATGAGAGGCAGAGCAAAGCCTCCTTTTAAAACAAATAAAGCAGTTTAATCTCTTATTTATATATTGTGGTTTCCATGCAACCCAACTTAAAAATAAGTCAATGTAGAGGGCACCAGTGTATGCCTTCCTTCGACCCCTCTGAACAGTTTGAGTTGGAGATGTTCCCTCTCTCAGTCCAACTATAGCTCAATGTCACACACAGTCACCTTTTTTTTTTTTGGCTCATTCAGGTGAAAGTTGTCTTTTTAGCTTATCTCCTGCCAAAGAAAGAACTTGTCTCCAGGAATCAGGAATCCTGGATTTAAATTTCTCACCCTCCTGGTAGGAAAAACAAAACAAAACCAGCTATCTGATACCCCACCCAGTCTGGGTTTCAGTTGCTCCATGTGTAAAATGGGAATAAAACTGCCTTTCTTTCTGTTGCTTGACACCCTACATTGAGCTGCACCTGTGTTCCAGGACACACGTGGGGCATTCGTATCCGACGTTCTGACGGAGATGTGGACGGTAATTGGTGTGCTCCTTTCGAAGAAGAAGTCGTATACCTCCAACTCCACCTGTAAACAAGCAGTTGCATATGAACCACACACTGAGATCTTAGAGTATAAAATACCATCACGTCTGGGGTTCACCACAGACAGAGGCTGCTGTTGCCTGATCTCATTCTTGACAACCTGATCTCACTTTTTCAGGCTCTAGATCTTGTTCCTTAGTTGATCTGTATCTTTTAATTTTCTTCTCCATAAAAGCATTCTTAACCTGAAATAAGCAAATGTGCTGGGGAAAGGTCCCTGCATCTGCTCAGGAGACTATGTTAGTTCAGCATGAGACCAATCAAGCCTCTGTCAAAGGTATTGGGTCTAGAGCACCAGGGGGTGATTTTGACTCCCCAGGGGAAATTTGGGAATGTCTGGAGACATTTCTGGTCTCACATACGGGTATGTGTGTGGAGGGGGTGCTACTGGCATCTAATGAATAGAGACTAGGGATGCTACTAACATCCTGCCATGCGTAGGACAACCCCCACAACAAAGAATCATTTAATCCAAAATGTCACCGGTGCTGCCGTTTGAAGACCCTGATCTAGACGCCTCTATCTCACTGGTCATATTTTTAAATATCAAGATTTCATTTGCTTCCAAGAAATCCATAACTACTAAGTAGGGCTATGATAAGTTTTGAGCCTTATTGTGTGATATATGTGTATTGCACCAGGTGTTGACAGAGAAGGATGAGATATGATACAGAAACAGAAGACACACTGCCTACTCAGGAAGAATGTGGTCCATTTGAGAGGGTAGGAGAAATGATCAGACAGCAGCACATTAGCAAATACAACATAACAGGAGAAACAGCTTCAAGGGTGCCAGAGGAACAGACTAAAAACAAAACTATACTGAGGTGGGAGAAGTATTTTCGCAGATGTAAGATAAACATTAGGTTGAACCACCTGAAACTTTATGTACTCACCAAGGAACTTTCTTCTCAAATAGATGTAATCCCTAGTAAACTGAGTTTGAATTTCCCAAAGAGGCAAAGTGACTGAAAGAATAGACTGACTTGGTGTTACAGCCCGAGAAGGTCAGCGGTTTCAGGAGCGCTGGCCCCAGCTCAGCCCTCACAGTCCCACCGCAGGTGGCTGAGCCAACAAAGTCCTGCTGAGACCCAGGGCTTCCCGCCCACAACATTTGAAAAATGCATAATCTCCACTGAGATAATTGAGTTACCTTCTAACAAAAATATCACCTATTTGAACAAGCTCTGCGCTGAGATTCTATTTCACAGTGATGGAAAATGTGCACAGGAAGCAGCAGCTTTATTTGTGAGCTGCAGGTAAACCCAGACAGCTAATGGGCAATTACCTTATAATATGGAAGGAAGAAGTGAGGACAGGAAGCAAACAAAGCTGCCACTTACTATTATGAAATCAAGAAAATGAAAGCAACGGGCAGAACACAGCACTTATCGTCTGAAATCTTCTGTCTGCCCTTGAGACTAAATGCTGCAAATGCCTAAATTAGATGGAGGACAATTGTAACCCCGGGGACGCTCATTTTCCTTAATAACCCTGAACTCAAGAATGTATCAATCTGCTCATTTACATTTCAACTTGCTGTTAGGTCTTTAAGTACGTGACAGGTTATTATGTGCAAGTCTGTAACCAGCTGTTATCTACTCCCACTGAATACAAAACCAGAGGAAAGAGGCTGAAATGGCAGCAGGAAAGATTTAGATGAAATGGAAAGAGGATTTTCCTGATAGAAAGCATCAGATAGTGAAATTAGTTATCATAGAAGACTGTGCAATCGTCCATCCTAAGTCAGTGCTATTAATTAAAATAAAGGGCACCAGTAAAACACTTTTACAAACAAAAAAAGGATAAAAATGTTAAACAAAACTCATCTCTAACTTCAGTGGTCTATGTAATGCAGAAAGGCTGTGGGGGTCAGCGGAGTTCTCAAACTGGTGAGCCCTGAGCCAACTGCGGCCCTTAGACATATTTTGTAGCTGGCAGAATATAGTTTAAATTTTTGAATATGTTTTCTATATTTCAAAATTAAAACATTTTTACAAAGTAGACTTCTAACTTTTCTTGACAGACAAGAGCTTTAGCAACACTCGGTCCTCTGCACCAGCTGGAGCTGAGCTGCAGCTGTTTGAAAAGGCACCAGCTCCGTCTTCAGCTCCCCACAGTGTCCTGCAGGAGGGCTTGCTGATGTGTCCCACCAGCCTGGCTCCTCTGGGCATCTGAGTTTGCATCCTGATCAATGGTGACTGATTCTCTGCAGAGGCAATGAATATACAAACTAACCCGAAAGCTGAGGGCAGGGGCTTCTTAAATAACTCTGAATCCCAAATAGGCTAGAAGCTATGTCTCTCTTCCTTCTTACCTCATAATGTCTCCTTTCAGAATGGCTGCTGTTTGGTGGCCGATAGGCAATCTGCAAATCACTGAGATCTTTCCAGGTGAATGAAGAGACTGGTCTGGTGTGATCCCACAGGTGAGTTACAAAGCCCTGCACTGGGGCTTTAGTAATATTAAACACCAGCAAGGGTTTGGGGGTCTCATCCTCTTCACAGTCCAGAGCCGATGTAGTCAAAGAGGTTAAGATGAACTGATCCACTTCCAGAATAAACGTGGCCATGAATGCAGCCCTTGGAATCTGATTAGGAATGCCAGCTCTCACATAGACGGGCAACCACGCACTCTCTGACTTTTGAAGGAGAAAGAAAACATGGAGGGGAAACGGCATAAATAAAGCTGGATCACACAGGTGAACAGTGCGCTATTGAACCGGCCCTCAGCCGAGCGGTGCATCTGCTGGTGGTCTGAAACCTGCCGCACATTCGGATCACGGGGGAGCTTCTAACACCTTCTCATGCCCAAGCTCCCTCTCTAGAGTTCTAATTTCATTGTTTTGAGGAGAGGACCAGAAAACTGGTATTTTTAAAGCTGTCTGGTGACTCTAGAGCCAGTGTTGAGAAATGGCACCAATTTTGGCATCAGCAGGAACTGGGCTTTTATTCTGTCTCCACCACATAGGATCTGTGTGACTTTAGACGTTATTTAACGCCCAAATCTCATTCCCCCACCTGTAAAATGGAAATACTAGACTCCCCCGCCCCCGCCAAGCATTAAGTGAGGATTAAAGAGACAGGAAAGTAAAAGTGCAGCAGTAGCCAGCACACATTGCCAGCACCCCCTTCCTGTCATGTAGCTTTAAAGCAGGCAGACACAGAATGGAGGGAAATTCCTTATCACTCAATACTCATGCAACGGAAAAATGGTTACCAGTTTTCTAGTATGTTAAAACCCTGGGTCTCTGAGTGAAAAGCAGGTAACAGGAATTGCAGGTGACCACTCAGGTCACAATGCACCGTCCTCAGATGAGAGGCCCTCAGGATGGGGATCTCCAGAGAAACCATGAACATGCACCGTGGGATCAGAGGGCGCAAGTGCTCCAGGTGGGAAGACTCTTCACAGCAGGAAGATGCTGCTTATCATGGGGTTTGATGTTTCCCGTTGCTGGGAGTCACATTGGTTTCACACTGCTGAACACTGGCTAATGGACAAGGACTTGTATTCTGTATATAACAGAATGTTAAAAATGGGATTCTTCTTGGCTCTGCCTCAAATGAAGAGCCAATAAGGGAGATACCGGATTTCAAAGTGAGTGTGAGACAGACACTGTGGCAGAGTTTACACACCCTCCTGCCCACGGCGACAATACGAAAGGGTTGGGAGAGGTAAGAGGAAGAGTTTTTTGAGAGAAGAGTGCTGTGTTGTGCTGAGTCACTCCCCCGACACCAATGCCACCAAAGAAGACAGGTGAGACAATGCTCCATCCCTTGTCTCAGGTGTCAGGGAGAAGTTTCCTTAACCTGTGTCTTTTACAGGTGGGGCACACAGAGGGCTGATGCTGGGCTGGCACCTGAGGAAGCTAAGTGGCCGAAGCAGGAGAATAATGGTGGCTGTGCTGGGATCAGCTCTAGTCCTTGTGTGTGGCAGGGAAGACCGCATGAAGGCTCCCAGGCATAAGCCAAGTGGGACAGAGAGTTGGTCTGGGGTCATCATGGACCCTGACCTTTAGGATGCATCCTTGAAAGGCCAAAAAAATCCCAGAAGCAAGAAGCTGGAGGTGGAAATCATATCCTAGGAGCTGCAGGAGGAATTACAAGTGACCACTCAGGCCAGAAATACTTCCTCCTGAGATGAGACATCTATGGGTAAGAAGCCTCTGTAATGGGGTATCTCCTGAGGAACCATGGAATCGCCCCAGAGACAAAGAAGCAGCTTGAAACAGCTGCCAGACTCAGAGAGCATGAAGCCATATTGCAGAGTGCCTGATCAAATAAGACCTCCCTCCCCAGCACTGCCCCAAACCACCTGCCCGCAGCTGGCGGTGCAGAAACTAGCCAGCACCGCTCCACAGAAGAGAGACACGCGCGAGAGAAACAGAGAAGACGACAATCCGCATCCCCCACGCCTGGTATATGAAGATGAATGATATACTGATACACCCCAGGGTTTAGAGTATCTGTTCTTCACATGCCATTTAAAAATCGACTTGAAGAGTCATAATTTGAAAATTCAAAAATGAGGAAATCACAGTATAAAAGGACAGGAGCTGAACAATAAAACCAATTAAACACAGAGGTAAGACTAAATAAATATGTTGCCTTCAACATGTTAAGAAAATGAATACAAATGTCAAAAGACCTTACTTGAAATAGAAGATGTAAGAGATAACATGATGTGAGAAATAATGAGGTACAACAATCCTATGTCAGAACTAAAACTGCGGATTATATGAACAAAGCCCAGGAGGGAGGCAGCGGCCAGGAAAATGGACCAAGAGGATCAATCCTCATCATCTACAGAAAGGAGTCAGGTGAGCTTGTTATTTTTTTACTTTAAATATTAAAATAATAGGTTAAAGAATTTTTTTAATTTAGAATTTAATCCTAATAAAGTATAAAGTGGGATAAAGGGGTTCCAAACAAATACAAAGCCAAAGAAAATTTAGCCTATATTGTAAAATAATTTTTGTTTTGTTTTGTTTTATTTATTTTTGTTACAGATGATTCCCCTTTTTTCCTCATTGACACCCTCCTCCCCATCCCCAGCTTTGTTGTCCATGTCCATCGGTTATTCGTACATGCATGTAAGTTATGTGGTTTATCTCTTCTCTCCCCCCACCACCCCCTCTTCTGAGGGTTGTCAGTCTGTACCCTACTTCCACGTCTCTGAGTCTACCCTGTTCCTCAAACTGTTATGTTCATTATATTCCACAAATAAGTGAGATCATATAATATTTGTCTTTCTCTGCTTGGCTTGTTTTGCTTAGGATAATACTCTTCAGGTCTCTCCATGTCGTCTCAAAGGATAAGAGATCTTTCTTTCTTACCGCTGCATAGTACTCCATTGTGTATATGTACCACTGCTTTTTTATCCATTCGTCTACTGATGGACACTTGGGCTGTTTCCAGATCTTAGCTATTATAAACAGTGCTGCTATGAACATGGGGGTACATACATTCTTTCTGATTGGTGTTTCAGGCTTCTTAGGGTATATTCCTAGAAGTGGGATCACTGGGTCAAATGGCAGTTCAATTTTTAATTTTTTGAGGTAACACCATATTGTTTTCCATAGTGGCTGCACCAATCTGCATTCCCACCAGCAGTGTACTAGAGTCCCCTTTTCTCCACACCCTCGCCAACACTTGTTTGATGATTTGTTGATGGCAGCCATTCTGACAGGTGTGAGGTGAAACCTCATTGTTGTTTTAATTTGCACGTGAGATAATTTTTAATAAGCAAAGCAGAAAACAGAATTTTAAAAACCTTAAATGTCTATTATTACAAAAATATAGCTCATATTCCCTTCTTTAAGACAAATATTCTGAAATTAAATATTCAGTTATATGTGTCTTGTATGAGAGGCATTTAAAATAAAATTATATACAAAGATTAGAAGTGTAAAAGGGTGATTCAAAGTCATCATGTAAGAAAGAAAGAAAAAAAAGTGACCATATCACTTCAAAGAAAGATAAATCCAAGGCAAGAAGCATTAAAAAAAGAGTGTGGGTAGTTGATATGATAATTTATACAAGACAAAGCATCTTATAAGCATCATTATATTTAATATTATTCTGGCCAACCCAATGGAGAAAAGACCAGAAATAACAGGAATAATTACTGGAAAAGAAAAGATAAAATTATCATGATTAGTGAAAGATATAATTATGGTCTGTAAAAGCCCAAAGAATTGAAACGTTCTTAGAATAATTGAATTCAAGAAAGAAGCCAGAAAGAAGAAAATTACACCAAAAAATAGCTTTCCTAGTTATCATCAGTTACCGATGAGAAGATATAATGGAGGGAAAAGAGTCTATTCACAATAATTGTACACAAACAAGCTGCCTAGGACCGGACTTAGTAAGTGTGCTCAACTTACATGAAGAAAACTACGAATACATCGAAGAACATTTGCCCAGATGAGGTAAGATACCTCATTTCTGAACGAGAAGACTCAATATTGTAAATGCTCTAATGTTTCAGTTCTTCCCAAAATAATTTGTAGTTTTAATTGAATCCTGATAAAAAATACTTATGGGCTTATTTTTAAACTAACATAAATGATTCAATTTTTTATTTGAAACTAAGAATAGGTGAGAATGAGTAAGAAATGTTGTAAAGAAGTGATGAGGAAGAACTTGCCTGTAAAATATTAAAGTGTACTATAAGCACATTATATTTCAAGTAATTCAGTGTTGGCACAGCAATAAATAGGCAAATCTAAGGAACAAAAGAGCTAGCCTTGAAACAGTGTACATAGTATCTTTCTATACAATAGAAGAATCATTGAAAATCAAGGGAAGCAGGTTAATCATTCAACAAATAGTGTTGAAAATTTTGGCTACTTGGAAAAAACTATCCCTGTGTTTCAAAACATAATAAAATTTATCACAGGTGGGATTAAAAAGGCAAATATAAAAGAGAAAACCTTAAAAATTTTCAGAAAAAGTTATGGGTAAAGTCATTTAGTCAATTGATGAGGATAGACATGTACAAGCATAAAAATAATAAAAATAAAAAATTTTAAATATAGCATAAATTCAATTCCATAAAACAAAACTAACTTTGGTGTGCATGTCTCCCCACTTTGTGTGTATGTGTGTGTGTGTGTGTGTGTGTGTCTAAAAATGGTAGAAATACAGGTTGTTTTCTTCTTATTTTATTTTCTGTTTTAAAAAAATATTCTTGCAGTGAGCATATTACTTATATATTCATAAAAGAATCTGTTTTATGACATGTCAAATTGACTGTGGACTAGGTTAATTCTAGATAAATTAAGAAAGTGACTTAAAAGGGTCAACTCCCAATAAAACTGATCTGAAAATATAAATAAAGCCCCAACTCAGTATAGAAAGGAAAAAGAAGAAAAACCAATTTAAAAAAAACGAAACAAGATCTTCTTTGTTTTTAATGGAGCTAAGAAAGCATTAAAAGTAAAAGGAGTTATGCCCTGGCCGGTTTGGCTCAGCAGTTAAAGCGTCCTGGGTTCGGTTCCCACTAAGGACATGTACTTCGGTTGCAGACTAGGGTCATGTGGGTGGCAGCCACTCAGTGTGTCTCTCTCAAGCCAATGTTGCTCTCTCTTTCTTCCTCCCTCTCTCCCTCCCGCTCTGACTGAAGATAAATGCAAAAATGTCCTCAGGTGAGGATAAAAAAAAAGTAAAAGGAGTTATATATCAAAACAAACAGAAGACATCTACTAGTAGTTAGGAGACCTAAAATTTAGTTTTGGCTCAGACATAAAACAGCCATGTATAGGCAAGGTATGCAATCTTTCTGGCCACCACTATAAAATAAGGTGGACTAAGCCAGTTATTTCAAACCCGGTTGATCAGTTTTTTTACTGCGCAGCTTTTTAACTTGCAAAATATCTGTAGCGCTTACTATGCGCCAGGTTTCTTGCCAAGTGCTTTATAAGTATTGTATCAGTGAATTATCTAAATTACTCTAAGAAGTAGGTACTATTACCCCCATTTTAAGATTGAAAAAATAAGGAATAAAGTTCGGAGTCACACAGCTAGTGAAGTAGACATTTGAACCCAGACAGACAGTGCCCAGAATCATGATCTTAACTATCAAATGTTAGACTCAAATCTATCCTTTAAAAGCTTTCCAAGTACTTTACCTGATCAAAATTTTTTATGTTGAGAGTATTACAGATGTCCCCCAAATACCCCCACCTTTGCTCCCCTCCTCCCAGCTCCCACGCCACCCCAGGCCTTCACCACACTGGAGTCTGTGTCCATGGGCTATGCATATATGCATATATATTCTTTGATTAATCTCTTCCCTTCTCCTCCACTCCCTGCCCCTCTGAGATCTGTCAGTCTGTTCATGCATCCATGCCTATTTTGTTCATCCATTTATTTTGTTCACTAGATTCCATATATAAATGAATTCCTGTGATACTTGTCTTTCTCTGACCGGCTTTTTTTGCTTAGCATAGTACTCTCTAGGTCCCTCAAAGAGTAAGAGATCTTTCGTACAGCTGCATAGTATTCCATTGTGTATATGTACCACAGCTTTTTTATCCAACTCATGTATTGATGGACACTTGGGCTGTTTCCAAATCTTAGCGATTATAAATAGTGCTGCTATGAACATCACAGTGCATATAGTTTTTCTGATTGGTGTTTTTGGATTATTAGGACAGATTCCCAGAAGTGGGATCACTGGGTCAGACAGCAATTCCATTTTTATTTTTTGAGGCAACTCCATACTGTTTTCCACAGTGGATGCCCCAGCCTGCATCCCCACCAGCAGTGTAATAGGGTGCCCTTTCTCCACATCCTCACCAGCACTTGTTTGATGATTTGTTGGTGGTAGCCATTCCAGCAGTTGTGAGGCAATACCTCATTTTTGTTTTAATTTGCATCTTTCTGATGATTAGTGACACTGAGCATTTTTTCATATGTCTATTGGCCATTGGTAAGTCCTCTTTGGAGAGGTGTCTGTTTAGGTACTTCGCCCATTTTTTAAATTGGATTGTCTTCCTGGTGTTGAGCTGTATGAGTTCTTTATATAGTTTGAAAATTAACCTCTTATCAGATGTATCATTGGCAAATATGTTCTTCCATACAGTGGGTTCTGTTTTTATTTTGTTGATGGTTTCTTTTGCTGTGCAGAAGCTTTTTAGTTTGATGTAGTCCCATTTGTTTTTTGTGTTTTTTTTTCTTTTGTTTCTCTTGCCCTAGGTGAAAATACTGCTACATGAGATGTCTGAGATTTTATTGCCTGTGTTTTGTGTTTTTTTAGGATTATCTAATTAATTTAAACACACTATCTCAAAGTTTTTTCCAAATCTCAATTCTAAAATTTTGTGATCCTATTTTATCATTTCCTTATGATTTCATGTCTTATCCATTACTTGGGGACAATAATGTTCACTATTTGGGTCTCTTAGGAGAAATCCTCGGGAGAAGTCACACTGTGAAAGATGGCGGTCTCTCACAAATATAATCATGGATCATTGTATATCAGCACAAATCCAAGCTGTTTCAGCTAATACACAGTCTCCTCAGCTACCCAAATAAATAAATTATAGGATACATAAATCAGCAGAGTAGCATGTTAAATATTTCAGATAAATTGATTCCACTTCATGTCATCATTCCAATGTGAAGAGATCAAGAGGAAGAAAGGACAGGAGAATTTAAAGAAATTGGAAGATGAAGGAGGCCTTTGGAGGCCTATCTCCTTGATGATCTAGTCCTCCATCCCAAAGTCTGAATGAGTGAAAAGGATATAATCTTCTACAACCATAAAAATGGGACTGAGGTCCCCTCCCTCCCTGTTTTCCATGGCTTTGCAGAGTGAGTATGTGGATCCCAATTTCTTCTAACAGGTGAAAAGTGGTTCTAATAAAGAGGGGGGAGTGAAGCATCAAAGAGAAGGTGTTACAGAAGGTCAAATAACAAGGTGAAGAATGTGGAAGGAAAAGGAGGAAGAAAGGTAGCATGTAACTGGCCCCAATTCGGTGACAGAAGACAGCCAAGCTGTTTAGCTGGTACACCATCTTCCTAGGTATTTATACTGATGTTATATTCAAAAGCTGCTGTTTTAAACATTTATTAGCAGAATGGACAAGTCTGCAGTTCTAATGAGTCACTGGGTAGTTGATTCACAATGCCCAGGAACTTTCCCTGACATGGGAACAACATGAACACCCCCTTGGAACTGGCCCTCTTTCTGTGGACAAGCTAGGGACGCAGACACAACACCCAAAACTTTACCTTGTATACAATCTTACTCCTGCTATCTGTGAGGTCCAGTTGGATGGAGATATAATCAATGTTGGGAGAAGGAGGGTCCTTATGTTGGTATCGAAGCCCCATCAGCAGGAACTCCTCACAGCTCACCTTGAGACTTCCTAGTTTCTTCAGGCCCAGGGTACAGCTTCCACCTGGACACTTGAGTTCTGTTCCCAGTTCTAGAATGTACAGCATCGAATTAAGATGGTCACTTGAACATAATGATTGTACAATGTAAAAGCCAATCCTCCCCTGAGGATCCTATTCCTCTCCTTGCCCCAAAATGCTCGTGTGTATACTGCAGTCATTCACTGAGTGGGTTGTCATTATTCTATAAGCCTGTCATTTCCTTTACTGAAAGGAATAGTTGACCAGTTGTCTCATGAGATCCTTGCCCACCAAAAGTTATACTGTGAGTAAAAATAATAAAGTGAATTTTCTGGTGCTGGAACATCTCTGACAAATAGGCCAGTCGCTCACTGTAAGCCTTCCCCAGTCTAGCTGTGACTTTCTCCCTTTACAGTATCCATTTCCATGGATCCATCATACACTCTCTCTCTACAAGGCTGATCTGCACAATGAAATTCTCGCCCCCTCGTTCTTGTTACACACTGGAGTACTGCATACATTTCCAGGTTCACTTAGTCTTTCTATTAAATTTTCCCTTAAACATTCTTTGACCAACTAAACCAACCTGCTCTCTTCTACGAAAAACCATAATCATCTCTCCATCTCTGCCCAAATGCTCATGTGGGTCCATGATACACATAGATCACTTATTTTTGACTGGCCTTCTGTACATTTTTCTAAAGTACACATGGATATTCTACTTCTTAACCAGAAGATTGAATGAGATGACATGTAAGCATGTCTTTAGCTGTGAACTGCTGTCCAGATTCAAGGTATTACTAAGACTATGATAACCTTTATATTTCTTGGTTTTCCCATAATGTCTAGAACATTATTAGCCAAATAGGAGTTGCCCAACATACACTGATTAAAATGAAAACAGGGGGGAAAATGTTCTATTTACTCTTCCTGATTTAAACCATGTCTGCTGCCCACCAGCTCTACCTCAAACCCATTCATAATCTAATAATACTTAACGACTGCACCAACTAGTCTTACCAACACTGCCATTGCTGCCGACAGCAGTAACAACGGACAGTTCCTGAGCACTTACTCTGACCCGACTGTGTGAGGCACTTTGTGCTCATTTACTCCATCCTTACCCAGCCCTAGGGAGCAGGTATTATCCTTGCCCATTTCATAGAGGTTAAGTAACTTGCCTAAATCACACAGGAAATAAATAGCAGAGGCAGTTTTCAATCTCAGATCTGTATGCTTCCAAAGCCCATACTCTTAATCACTAACCTATATTTTTCAACTAGCTACAAATTATATTCTGCGAAACTCTTTGTCATGGTGGGAGAGGACCATTTACAGATATTTTGACCAATTTTAGTAACATCATCCGGATAATTATGAAAACATTTCGTACGAGACTTAGGGAAAAAACTGTGTGGCTGATCTCCACGAGGCTCTTCCGGCTGAGGCTCTACCACAACCACCTGGCCATGGGCTGGCAGCCAAGTTCCCACAGGGTCCAGCCTGACTGTACACTCCAGGCTGGCCGTCCTATCATAATCAAATCTAAGCAGGTTCTTATCAATGGCTCGGGACAGGCCGTAGAATTCAGACACCTCCAATACATTGTTACTCATTCGGATGATGTTACAGTCTGGTTCCAGGAGATAGACCCGCAGGATAAAGGTTTCCGTGAAGGTGTCTGTCTCAGTAAACCTGTGGGGAGAACAGAGCAAAGGCAAAATTTACTGGTGCCCATGTACATTTTTTTTTCACCCCCAATATCACCTTTTATTTAATTTTTTTAAATAAATTTTCTTTGTTTAATTACATTTGTCATACAATATTATATTAGTTTCAGGTGTACAACATAGTAATTAGACATTCATATAATTTATGAAGTGACCAGCTCTATAAGTCTATTACCCATCTGACACCATACAGAGTTATTACAATATTATTGACTATATTCCCTATGCTATACTTTACATCCCTGTGACTGTTTTGTAACTACCAATTTGTATTTTTTTTTATTTTAAATCATTTTTATTCTTTTATTAGAGTTGACATACAATGTTATATTAGCTTCAGGTGTACACCCCAGTGATTAGACATTTATATAACTTAAAAGTGATCACCCCAATAAATCTAGTACCCACCTGACACCATACAGTTATTACAATATTATTGACTATATTCCCTATGCGGTACTTTACATCCCTGTGACTATCCTGTAACTACCAATTTGTACTTCTTAATCCCTTCACCTCTTTCACCCGTCTCCCCAATCCCCCTCCCATCTGGCAACCATCAAAATGTTCTCTGTATCTATGAGTCTATTTTTGTTCTGCTCATTCATTTATTTTGTTTTTTAGATTCTACATATAAGTGAAATCATATGGCATTGGTCTTCCTCTGTCTGACTTACTTCCCTTAGCGTAATACCCTTCATTTAGCTTAATGACCCATCCATGTTGTTGCAGATGACAAGATTTCATTCTGTTTTGTGGCTGTCATATTCCATTGTATATATGCACCACTACTTCTTTATCTATTCATCTATGGATAGACACTTTGCTTGCTTCCATATCTTGTCTATTGTAAATAATGCTGAAACAAACATATAAATGTATGTATCTTTTTGATTTAGTGTTTTGGGTTTCTTCAGATAAATACCCAGCGGTGGAGTTACTGGGTACTTCTTTGTCTCTTGTCATACAGTCCTTGGCTTAAAGTCTATTCTGCCTGATATAAGTATTGCTATCCCAGCTTTTTAAAAAAGTTTGTTCCCATTTTCATGAAATATATTTTCCCATCCCTATTCTTTAAGTCTTTCCATCTGAAGTGAGTTTCTTGTAGGCAGTATATGTAAGGGTCTTGTTTTGTTATCCATTCAACCAGCATGTCTTTTGACTGGGGCATTTACTTCATTTGCATTTAAAGTAATTGTTGGTAGATATGTATTTATTGCTATTTTATTATACATATGGTGTTTTTATTTCTTTTTAAAGAAGACCCTTTAACATTTCTTATAATACTGGTTTCGGTGATGATGAATTTCTTTAATTTTTTTTTTGTCTAGGAGGCTCTTCATCTGTCCTTTGATTCTAAATGATAATTTGCTGGGTACAGTAATTTTGGTTGTACGTCCCTGCTTCTCAGTGCTCAGATACTTTTGATACTTGCATACTTGGCCTGAAGCTTAAAAATTGGCCTTCACAAAATTTGCATATTGGGTAGAGTTTGGATTTTATTCATACTCTGTTCCCGGTCTCTCTGTTTTTTCTTTCTTTCTTTCTTTCTTTCTTTCTTTCTTTCTTTCTTTCTTTCTTTCTTTCTTTCTTTCTTTCCCTTATCTTGGTGTCAACTCCTTTTCTGTCACTTTCATCTCGGATAAGATGAAATTCCTGCTCTCAAACCCATCATCCATACTGAAATGGTTGCTATGAGCTCAGAATCTCACTTCTAGCACATAAATAATTTAAGAGCATCAGGCTTGTGTAATTTATGGGTTGAGTTTGAATTCAGGAGAGAAATGGTGAGCCATTTCTGAAGCATCAAGGCCTTTTTGCTCTTCAGAAACATCACTACATGAGCAGTTATTTACAGCCTAGGTTGGATGTCCAGCTTAGTGCTTGACGTGTAAAAGGTATTCAGTAATTGTTACTTCCATTACCTTAGTGACTACATCATCGAGATATCTTCAGGGAGAAAACTTAGAAGTGATGGGTGTGCATCAATAATGCAGCTCCTAATTAATATACTTTATCATGGCTTATGCTAAATTCTTTACAAAGAGGATTTCATTCAACCCTAATGAAAACCTATGTAGGCATTGTAAATCCCATTTTACAGATGAGGAAACTGAAACAGAGGGAGGTCAATTAGCTTGCCAAAGGGCTGGGGAGGCTGTAAAAGGGAAATAAGCATGCTTCCTGATTATCTGCCTTCACCTTCTTTGAACATCCTACTTTAAATGTCCTCAAGAATAAGAGGAATGACATCTCTACCTTTGCCCTTCGCGACTGCTCCTCCATCCTCTCTACCCCTTAGAAACTCAAGGAAGAAGTGGGAGCAGCCTGAATTCATCAGCTTTTCCAGCCCTTCCAGGCAAGGTCTCTGAAGTTCATTTGTTTTGTAGCTTTAAAGTCTTAGAAAGATCAAACAGCCCTGTATGCTGATTGTACAGCTTCCCAGGGAATCCTTGAGTACCATTTTATTATCTGAGCACAGCACTTTGCTCATGACTTTCCATCAGCACATCATAATTATCTACCCGTTTTTTGTATCAGACTATGAGCACCAAGAGTCCATGTGTCCTCATCTTTGTGTTTCCTGTGCCCAGGACAGGCCTTGACCTGTAGGAGGTAATTGTAAGTGTTTACAGAATGAGTCACTGTTCCAGTGTCTTCTACAAAATTTTTTTTATTAGTCTAGTGCTTAAGAGAAATTCACACTGAGTTATTTTAGCCAAATATTCATAAAAGCAATAAAGACAAGTAAAAAACTATACCCACCCTGAATTCTCAGTTGTTTATATGAAGTGAGCAATACCAAAATCATGAGCTTAATTTTTAAATTAATTTTTTACTAAGATATAATTTATATACCATAAAGTTCACCTTTTCAAAGTATACAACTGAGTGGTTTCTAGATTCACAAGATTGTGCCACCCTCATGGCTTTCTAATTCCAGAACATTTTCATCAACCCAAAGAGAAACCCATAACCCATTAGCAATCAATTCCCATTTTCCCCTCCCCCAGCCCCAAGCAACCACTAATCTACTTTCTGTCTTAATGGATTTGCCTTATCTGGACATCTCATATAAGTGAAATCATACAATATGTCATCTTTTGTGTCTGGTTTCTTTCATTTAGCATAAAGTTTTCAAGGTTCATTCATGTTATAGGATGTATCAGTACTTCATTACTTTTTATGGCTGAATAATATTCCATTATATGGATATACCACATTTTGTTTATGTATTCATCCATTGGATTGTTTCAACTTTTTAGTTACTGTATTATGAATAAAAGTTCAATGAACATTTGTATACCTGATTTTGTATAAACACAGATTTTTATTTCTCTTGTGTATATATACCTAGGAGTGGAACTGCTAGGTCACATGGTCACTCTGTGTTTAACTTCAAAATTAATTTTTAAAATATTTTAATTATCTAATACATTTAAAAATAAATGATACTACACTTCTTATAACTAAGCAGCTGCTCATCAAAAATAAGAATTTTATTGACTTTTGGAACATAGTTTCTTCCTAATTCTCATTAAGAATTTATAGTTCAGCCCTGGCTGGTTTGGCTCAGCAGTTAGAGCATTGACACAGATTGAGGACTCGTGGGTTCAAGTCCAGTCAAGGGCATGTACCTCAGTTGCAGTTCGTTCCTGGCCCTGGTCAGGTCATGCAGGAGGAAACCATTTGATGTGGTTCTATCACATTGATGTTTCTGTCTCTTTCTCTTTCCCTCCCTCCCACTCTATCTAATGATAAATAGAAAAATATCCTCAGGTGAGGAATAAAAAAAAAAAAGAATGTATAGTTTATCATTTCAATTTTCCAATATAAAGAATGATTTGGATCCAGAGATACCTGTATAAGAGCTCTACAGGGAACCAGGATAGGGCTAATCATTTGCCACAGAAAAGCCCAAAGGAAGATGATACAAATAAAGATAACTGAACATTGGCTATAATTCTCGCCTCATCCATTCAGGTCTCCAATTTCTACTGATTGCTTTCTTGTTTGGAATCTAGTAACTCCCTGCTGATAATACCTATCTACAGAAAAAGAAGCAGAGAGAATAATTATCAGGCAAAGAATGAGCAATGCTCCTGTGCTGCTTACCTGTAAAGTCTAAGCTTCACTGTGTCTTCATCAAGAATTGGACAACCGTTGTGAATATACTTGACTTCATTGGGAAGGAAATGGCAGTCAAAGACCTAGTTCACATGAAGAAACGGATAAACATCTGTGAGAAAATTGGCACAAGATTTACTTTTTCCAGCAGTAGAGTACTGCTCAGAGAAATTATGGTCTTGTTTTGTTTTGTTCTCTCTCTCTCTTTCTCTCCCCCCCCACCCCGTGTGTGTGCGTGTGTGTGTGTGTGTGTGTGTGTTAACCACCATGACCTATACCCACCCCCATACCCATTTACAATCCTACTTATACAGTTGTGTCTTATACAATCTGATTATGAAAATCAGATTGAGTAGACCAAGCAGATAAATTAAGGAGTGATTATCTTTCTAAATAGTTATCTTTTTACAGTCTATAGTGCATTTGAAATATGGTTCCATTGATCAAAATATTTACCCACACTCTTCAGGAGTTCATAGCAACTGAGTAAGAGAGGTCGGCCCGTGTGTACGCATAAAAAGGCCAGAGTTCCCCAGCCCGTATAAGTTCTATATACATTTTTCTCCTTTTATTCATTCCACATAGCATTTCCATATTTTAAAAAATGAAGGCACTAACTAAGGACGCTATTGTGGTTCATCAGAGCCAAACCTGACCCACAGTTGTTTCTCATATGCTTTTGAGAGAGTGCTTTTATTACTTATGTAATAGCAGAAATGGTCAAAAAGACAAATAGCAATCTAAAGGCAATTACATCTATTCAAATAAAACTATAATTAACTGGATCACCTCGCTCAGAACTATTAAGAAAATTGCTAACTACTTATCATACTTTGGGAACTCTAGATTTTAAATTTGTATGTTCTCTTTCACCTACACTGTGACCCTCATTCTGCCCATTCTGACTTGGCAGAGTTCTAAGAAATACAGCAGGTCCTCAAATAATGCCATTTCTTTCAGTGTCATTTTGTTATAACGTTGATTAGAGGCAGTAGGACCTTTTAACTCTTGTTTAGATCAATTAGCCTATGGTAAAATTGGCTTTGTTATATATATGTCGTTTAGCTTGAAGTCACAGAATTTACTCACAATGTTAAGTGAGGACTTACTGTTCCCTTGAGGTACTCACACACCGTCATGATTGGGTTCATGGTGTTTAGCCTGTACCTCATTACAACTTCAAACATTCACAGACAACATAATCCTCTCTGAGTAGACTTTACCACTAATACAAATGATTGGCTCCTCTTTTTAATTTAAAACAAGGAAGGAAATAAAGGAAAGACCTTTCCCATATCATTGACAAATAGTCATGGTAATAAAGAGACAATCTGTTTTGTTAAAAGAAACATCTGTTTTATGTTTCGTAATATGTTTTCCTTTTATAAAAGGCGACAACCATAATTGTCCATAAATTTACTAACTAAAACAAAAAAGAGCTAAATCCTTTTCTAATTACTGTCTAGCTTTGTTTTTTTCCACTTCAAGTGCTTTTCAATTACAATTTATAATTAAATTGTCACACATTCCTAACTCGTTACTCACTTTAATGACAGTAAACGGGTTCAAACTAGAGATGTTTTCTCGCTGCTGTATTTCTTATTCGAAAGGGCAAGCTGGGCACTCAGGTGGGGAGCTGTTCCTCCCAGGACATGTTTTGCTTTGGGACAGGCGTGAGAAGGGCGGCGTGAGGAACTCTTGCCCTAAATCATGAGGAAACACATTGCCAGCGCCCTTATCTAATGAACTGCATCAGGAGGATTGTCTGAACAACTGAAATCCCTTTCCAAATATCCTATAGGAAAATGGACCTGTTGGTCCTAAGACAAACTTCAGTAATGAAATGAAAACACTAATTGAACAGATGTTAAGCAAAACATTTTCTGGGCAAATCAAATAAAACTGTTCATTACACAGCAGGGTGTTGTTAATACAGTCCTCTTGCTAGAAATGGGTTCACATAAGCCTTGCTTTCAACATCCTAGTAAGATCTATTAAAGAATAATGTGTAGGCTGTGTGTGTGTGTGTGTGTGTGTGTGTGTACTTGGCTATGTTTAATTTCAAAATCTCCACAGGAAATAAATCCAGGGCGAGGGCTATAGCAGCCCGAATTAAAAACAAACATACATTGCAAACAGTCAGACTTTACTTGAGGATCTTGTTTTTGTTGAAATTATCATAATAAAAAGATAGGAAGATCACCTGGCAGCTTGAGAAACAAAGTTTTCTAGACATTTAGATTTCTTTTTGGTACAAAGTTCTAACGTTTGACCAAAAAGGTGATGAAACTTCACACTTTAATGGATTCCTTTCTCACAGAATGAATTTTAGAATGTGTAAATCACACATCTACTGCATGTGATATAAACCCATTTGGGATGTCAGATATACCTCTGGAAATACATACACTGAACATGTAGCATTTGGGTTTTGTTTGTTTGTTTCTAATGAGCAACAATGTGCCAGGGGACCACTGGGGCGGTCTTAGCCCTGCTCCCTTCCCCAGCAGGTCCAGACTCTCCTCAACCGGCCAGGCATGTTCTTTCTGATCGACATGGTTTCTATCTGGATTTTTGCCTTAAAACCAGAGGAAGTCTGAGATGAAGATAACTTGGAGATCTGTTACAACCCTTCATTCTTGTGACAAGACGTCTTTTTTTAAACCTAGTTTTAGTCACTTAGATCCCTCTCCAGTGCCTCAGAGCCAGCCAAATGGTGAAGACCTTTGAAACATCGTTGAAAATATATAATAGAGACAATTTCATTACTCACAGAAAAGGTGCTATATATATTTAAAAGTCTCTTTGGGATGGGAAGAAGATACCCCTCGTAGGCTGGTTTAAATAACAGTACATCCTCCCCAAATTGCTTTGTAAGGAGGGAGAATCTGATGAATAACAGGGCTTTTGTTTTGCTCAGTGGGGTGTGCATGCTTGGGGCCAGAGCTAAATACCACTAGACCACAGGGTGCCCCCTGCAGCTGGCTCCCAGGAGAAACTTTGCTTCTCTTCGTCCCCCACAAAAGATTCAGCCTCACTTCTAAATAAATGCTGGACAAATGTAAAGTATGTTGATTGGAAGGGATACCAAATTATCAGTTGATCAATCTTTATACAGCACCTACATATATCTACACAGGGACTCCAGTCCCGAGGATCAGGACCCTATCTTGCTGCTCCCCAAAACTCCAAGGGTCTGCTTTTGACCCCAGTCCCTGTAGTCGGGTCTCTGTTGCTTACAGCTAAGCTTATTCATGTCACCTGGTCATCCAGGTCTCTCCTTTCTCCTTGAGGGCTAGGTGCTAATCAACACATTTTCAGAGTGCAAGTTGTATTGGGGAAAGTGAGGAGACACTCGTGGTCCTGGGCTATTCCTGTGTACCAGCATCAGCTCTTCGACTGACAAAAGCAAATCTCATGGTAAACTAGAGGGAAATATCGGTTACTATCACATCAGGAAGACTCCTACAGTGAGAGACCTCCACAGCATTCTGATGTGTTTCAGAACTGAAACATAACTTTCCATGTCCGAAGTAGAATGTCGAGATGTCTTGTGAGCTAGCATCTATCCAAGTCTCTATAATCCACCCCTACAACATCTAGCACCATTTTTGAATAACTTCTTGGAAGGAATATGTTTCTTCAGTCAAATGTAGAAGAAAATTGATGTTTAGAGTTCAGCCCATGGACATGATATATTCCTCCAGAAGCAGCAGCAGCATCCAGTGTTGAATATTCTCAAAATTGTTTGCATTGGGAGGAAGAATAAACCACAGTGGAAACAAGTAATAAAACCAGAAGCAACATTTCTATTGTGTATAGAAATAAACCCCTACTTTAAATAAATACAATATATGATATTACAGATTTTTTTTTCAAACCCAAGGTAATTCTTCACCCTACAAAAGGATTGAGCATAAAATACCTTAAATGAGAAGATCTCCTAGATTTTGATTAAAGAAAAAAATTTGGGGTAGACATTTTTGAAGAAGAGATTTTTTTTAATCCTCACCCAAGGGCATTTTTCCATTTTTTTGTTCAGATAGAGTGGGAGGGAGAGAGAGAGAGAGAGAGAGAAACATCGACGTGAAAGGGACACATCGAGTGGCTGCCTCCTGCACGACCCAACCAGGGCCGAGGACAAACTGCAACCGAGGTACATGCCCTTAGTGAATCCAGGTCTCTCTGGACCACAGGCCAATGCTCTAACCACGAGAAAACTGGCCAGGGTAAGGGTGGATATTTAAAAAGAAGTATCTTCATATCTGTTGCCTTGCTCAAGAAGATATTCAAGTGATGTTACGAGATGAAAATGTCTTCCTACTTTACTTTTTCTATTCTGCAGTCACGTGTTGTGTCCAAAGAATGTCTTGAAATCCTGATATCTTATTCAAAGGTGCCCTGACTAGCAATGGGTAAGATAATTTGGGGCAGGAATAACCCTAAAGAATGACCATATCTCATCACACGAGAGACTGCCTACTTCACCCCTTGGAAAGCTCTGTTTTGTGCCCCCCCCACCCCCACCCCCCCCACACACACACATTCTCACACACTCACATTCATAGACACTACTGAATAGAAAATCTCGGACATGACCTACCTGTGGAGTGAGTTTCCCAACCCTCTGGGTTATTGGCTCGTTCATCACAACTTCTACTTTGCAAGCATCTTTCTCTTTGGGGATAGCAAACTTCAGGTCCTCTCCCGACAGGAAGGCAGAGCTGCCCTTCATCACCCTGATCCCCCGGTTCACGCTGATGAAGGTGGGGCTGGCCCAGCCCAGGAGGAGCAGCAGCAGGGCCTTCAGCCCACCCCAGTTCAAAAAGTTCATGCCGACAGGGGCCAGCTCGCTTCCGTCCACCGGTGAAATCCCTTCAACAAAGGAGGGCTTCTGTGCTTCTTCCGGGGACGTCAGCTCATAGTCCAAGGGGCAGGGCAAAGGGTCCTGACAATGTGCCCCAAGATCTTAACATGCCTCTTTCATTGCCAACTCAGACAAGGAGGCCTTTCAGGGAACCCCAGGGCTTTTAATAAAACTTGCTGATCACTCCTGACAACGCTGGCGAGATTAATGTGCTTTTTTAATCCTGCAAATGGGAGTAGGGGTTGGAGGAAAGGAAGAGAGAGACCAAAAGGTTGGTGTGGTTATTCAAAAGATCCCTACCAACAAAGGAATCTTTCAACCAGCCTATACTTTTAGTTAAATTAAAAACAAATAAACTAACTTGACCTCCAGGCCCATCTGGAAAGCAATGCATCCATCTCATTACACTGCTTGTAACTCCTGCTTCCGGCCTCAACATGCCCCAGTTGAGAAGTCAGCTGTGTGGTCCAACAGGAGCCAGCCAGCCAGCTGCCCAGTGCAGCGTGTGGTCCTGTGTTCAGAGAGAGTTGTTGAACTCTCTGCTTCTGCTTCCTCATTGGTTAAATGAAGACAACAACCTACCTTGTGGAAGAGAGCTGATAGAATTATTTGCACACTGTTTGAAAACATGATTAAGTCTAAATCAATGCTACCCAAATAAGAAATAGGCTTCATAATTTGTCACAAAGTCACAGTTCTGACTTCGCTGGGCAATGACGACACCTAAAAACACATGTAGTATATGCAGAAAACATATTTTGTTTACTAAGTGAATGTTCACATTTTTGTTTATGTGTAAAAGGGCCTAGGAATCAAGTAAAATTGCTTCAGAATAGACAGCTAATGACACAGTGTATGTGCATGGGTATTTACATCACCCACAATGCTAACTGCAGTATAATGTACTGAATTTGCACAAACGGGGTCTTCTTGTTTCTAATTTAACCACTTAGAATTTCAAGATTATTTCTCTGCATTCTATGAGAACAGAAATGATTTTTATCAAAAATAACATGTATGAAAATATACCCTTAAATTAGGCGAACCCATAATAATTTATTATGCCACAGAAAAGCTTTATATTTTGATGGTCACAGTAAATTTCTCTACATAATCAATGGATACTGAAATAAATTTTGACAGAAGGGTGTAGACAAAAAAAAAAATGCCTCTATGATCCACATCTAATACATTAAGGGAAGACTCATTCTCGTCACTGTTTGAACCCTTTCACTTTTGAGGTAGTGTGTGGCATGTGTCACCCGACACCTGAGGGGCAGATGCTTTAGAGAGCAGCCTGTTTTTGACGGTGTCAACCCCAAAATAAAACAGTTCACACACCCCACTGCCCACGCTGCCCACACTCAGGCTGAATTAGGTTGGCTTATTAATGTAAATGTGGGTGTTGAACTTGCACCACAAAATCAAATCTTGTTTCCATTCACATTTGGCATCTCAGACCACTTAGAGAAATAGTGGCTTCACAGAGAAGAGAAGCAGCAGGTAGGTAGGTGTCCCCCAAAACTGAGACATCAGGGGGAAACTTCGCCTTCTGAGATTTAAACAAACGAAGTCAACATGTAAAGGATTCAAGGACTCTACACTCTTGTGCTTTTCTCTTACCTCATTCTTATCCCACTTCCTCACTGCTTCTTCCTAGACTCCTGACGTGTTAATACTGAGGAACCTGTAGCCCAGTCCTTGGACCTGTTTTTTGTCTCTCTTCACTCCCTGGTGATCTCATTCCTTGGCTTTAAGTGCCAGTTATATGCTCATGAATCCCAGATTTATATCTCTAATCTTGTCTCTTAATTCTGGATCTGTGTATGCAACTGTCTGACATCTCTGTGTGGGTGTGCAACGGCGTCTCATACTTGATGGAGCTCGATTTGAGCTCTGGGTCTTCCTACCTCGGTTACTGCCACTCCAACTTCCCAGTTGTTCTCCTCTTCGTCTCCCACTCTACGTCCAAACAGACAAAATAACGAATCCTGTTTGTTCCCTGTGATGGACAGACCTTAGGGTAACCTCCAATAATTCCAGCCGCCTAGAATCCAGAGTTTCTCTCTCCTTGAGTGGCAGCAGAACTTACGACCTCGCTAACCAACAGAATATATGACTCTCCTAGCAGACGGAAGCCAGTTCTCCTGCTGAACTGGAAGACGCAAGCCCCCATGAGCTCTAGTGTCACGAGGAAATGATTTCTGCCGACAACCTGAATGAGCTTGGGACAAGATGCTTCCTAAATCAAGCCTCTAGGTAAGAACGGTGCCCTGATGGCAGTCTGATGAAGCAGATACCCCAGCTAAGCATGACTGGGCTCCTAACTTGTGAAAACTCTGAGATAATAAACTTGTGTTGGCTTAAGCCACTGCATTTGTAAAAATGTGCTTACATAGCAATAGAAATTGAACGCTCTCTTCCTCTGAAACATATCCAGAATCCAACTACTTCTCACTACTTCTGTTATCACCCTGGTCCAAGCCACCACCAACCAACTCTGCTGGATGCCTGTAATAGCATCCTATTGGAGATTCCTGCTTCTCCTCTTGCCCCCCCTATAGGTATTTCTCAGCATGGCAGCCAAGATTCCTATTAAATGTTAGTTATAGAACCACTTCTCTACCCAATCCTCCAGCGGCTGCAGCCTTCACAGTGAGCCATAGGCACCAGGCTACTGTTTTCCCACTGACCTCTCTCATCTCATTTCCATGTGTTCTCCCTCTGCTTGCTCTGCTCCAGCCACACTGGCATCTTTGCTTTTCGTCAAACAAACCAAAATCAACCTTCGCCTTCTCGCCTCCCTCCAGAACCTTCCCACTTGCTGTTCCCTGTGGCGCAAACGTCCTTCCCCCAGATACCCTCCGTTCCACCCCACCACTTTCGAGTTTTCCATGAAATGTCACGTTTGCAGGGTGGCCAGGCCTGACCGCCCACGAAAATTATGGCACTCTCATCCCCAGCATCCTTTCTTTGCTTCATTTTAAACCTTATCCCTTAGAACCATCTCACATAATACAGTTGCTTATTTATGTCACTCATGGTCATCTGCTTCACGAAGGTGAGGATTTCTACCTTTATATTCATGGATTTATCTTTCAGATTCCCCCAGTCAATCCTGCTGCCCAGACTGAGGATGCTGCCTTGCACGTGGAAATGGGGCCACACCATCGGCCGGGGGATGGGAGCCAGAAGGAACCCAGGTCTCTTGGGGTGTGTGCAAAGCAGAGTCACCAAATCCATTCTTCCAGAATTACATCAGAGGATGTAAGCTCATTCCCTGTTTAACCCACTCTTATTTTAGGTTTATTTTGTTACTCATTATTGAACCCTAACTATGCTTTTAATAATGGACTTAGTCTTCAAGTGTTTCTATTAAGTTAGTCACTATTCAGCTAAATACTGTAATTTCTTACCTAACAGCACATGGGGCACTAGCTCATTCTCTATGTCATAGTAATTAGGAGACAAGGGCAAAATCCAAGATGTGAATGTTCATTTACCAGGAAGAAACACAGAGAAAGAGAAGAAAATCTACGTCCTTGGCTCCCTGGGCTCCAATGAAGTGCAAAGAATAAACCTGAACCTGAAAGATGAGGTTCTAATCTTAATTCTGTGAACATCAATTTCCTCTTTCAAAAATGGGGCCATCATCCTCCCTCCCCCCGTTTCCCCATGAGATCGAATTAAATAATCCATGCAGAAATATTTCCTTAATTATAAAGCCCCAAACAGATGTAACATTATTACAAAATATATCAAAGAAATAAGACCAAAGCTTGACTCAAGAAAAACAGAATGGGAGGCCCTGGGCCTTGGTGAAGGCAGCAGAATTAGATTTAGTCAAAGTCAGATGGAGGATGTTTTATTTACATTCTAATTTTCTCTTTTCTTCCTCCTAGTCTTAAGCCACTGTTCTTTTAGGTTTATTTTGTTACTCATCACTGAACTCTAAGTATGCTTTTAATAATTGACTTAGTCTTCAAGGGTTTCTGTTAAGTTAGTCACTATTCAGCTAAATACTGTAATTGAAAACAATTCTATTATTTCAGAAACAACCTGAAGCAAAACGATTGGGAGAGGGGAGAGAGATTTTAAGAGTAATAATTTCCAAATTCAAAATCAAACAAAACTCATTCTTTAATCAACTGGGCTACAAAACTAGGTGCGATGAAGATTTAAAGAAATATGCTTCATTTGAGCTTTATGTTCTAATTTTGCTCTTGTGGTTTTTTTCTTGGTGTGGGAAACACCAAGTATGTGGACATTCCATGGAAAAATTGCTCTGATTTTTCACTTGAAGAAGGTGGGGAAAGAGAAAAGGAATTGGATAAACAGACACAGGGGGAGAGGAAATCAAGACTCTGGATCAAACAAGATAGATGATGAAGGGTCTTTTATCCCCCCCAAAGTGAAATGGCAGTAATTGTCTTGTCTCTGATTCAAAATTAGGATGTCCAGAGGCAGCCAACATTTATTTGACAGCACCCTAATGGGAAGCCTAGCACATCTTGAGAACCGCATTTTCTTGATCTCAACATAGAGCAAGTCAGTGCCTCAGAACCCGCCTGCCACAGCCTGCTCTGATTGCTGATGTGGACCCTCAGATCAACAGAACTAGTGGGGGCGTTTGGACAAGGAAGCAGAACAGTAGCTGGATTCTCAGGGAGCTTGTATGTAGACTTTAGGCATCTGGGACTTAATTTGATCTCTGCTTTCTTGTGTGGTTCAGCTGCTTCTCAGCATTCATAAAAATCTCACGTCACGGCTGCAAATTGGTTTTGCTCTTTCAGACCACTTTCCCACCACTGTCTTTCTTCATGGGGAAGTCATTTATTCCAAGTGCATCTGTACGAGCCAATACAAGTGTGTGAAGAGATATTCTAAAAAAAAAAACCAAAAAAACATGGAAAACCACCCTGCTTCAAGTTAGTTCTTATAAAAATTCAAAATGGTTTCTTTAACCAAATTTTTTTTTTGGTAAATTTCTTAAATGGAAGAAAATAATTTACTAACATTGCATCTGGTGGAAAGAAAATGTGAGCTCGTATTTATTCCATAATTACACATTTAGATTAACTGTAGGAGCATGTATTTGCCATGTTGACATGATCATGATACCCTGTCATTTATCTGAGATAATGTGTGCACAACAAGAAAAAAAAATGGATCACAGCTGTGTTCCCAGGCGCTCTCTGCAATGGAAATTCTGAGGCTCGGTGT